TAAGCAGTGGTAATAGTAAGGGAGGAGAGAATAGAAGGGGTTCTGGTCATATGAGCTAAAGCCCCTGAGTCAATAACTCATGACGATTTAGAAGTAAGAAATGCGTATGTACCTAAAGTTTCGCTAGGGTAGCAGTGGACGTGGACACAAGATTACCTTCATCCCTCATATTTTGTCAGGGTGAAGTGTATCTAGATAAATGGCTCAGTTGGTGACCTAGATGAACTAGGTAGAGTCGGGCTCAAAGTAGTAGAGGAAAACATAGCCTAAGTCCATTCAAGCTTTCCAAACTCTTTCTAATACTTTTTCGAAATATGAATAGTCTTGTCACAATAAATGCAAGGCGGAAATATGTGCTTGCCCTTATGAGGGTGGTCGGGCTCAAAGTAGTAGAGGAAAACATAGCCTAAGTCCATTCAAGCTTTCCAAACTCTTTCTAATACTTTTTCGAAATATGAATAGTCTTGTCACAATAAATGCAAGGCGGAAATATGTGCTTGCCCTTATGAGGGTGTTCACCATGAGAAGTAGAAGGCTTGGAGCCATGACCCCCATTTTGACCATGAGTACTAGAGGCTACTAGGGTAGACGAATTTGACATGGGAGATGAAGGAGCTTTGATATTCATCCAAAGAGCTGAGGAGAATATAGATGCTATATCTAAAACTTAGGTACTAGAAATTATCTGACTATGAATCTGAAAAGCAATAGAAGGTCGAAAACCACTGAGATAAACTTCAGTGATAAGTTCTTTACAATATTGTTCCAAGGTGTGTAGGTTAGTCGTGGGTGATTGATAGAGAAATCACTCTTGCAAAAGAGCTTAGAGACGACCAAAATGATCTTGAACAGACTGATCACCTTGTTTACAAACAAATATAAACTCAGAAATTTTCATTGTGTGACTAATGTTAGTCTTATTTGTGTACATAATCTTCAAGATACGTCATAATACACTTGCAAGCTTAATACATGAGAGAGGCTGAACAATAACTGAAAGAATACTCTAACATATACAAGAGCGAATAATAAAGTTAAGTTGAGTCTATGTATCATAAGTCAAAGTAGTCAGTTCAGATGAAAACTCTGTCAGATGATGTACATGATGTACCAAGTGATGGGCTATAAGAAAACCTTCAAAGCTTGTGGCCCATAAAATATAATTGTGACCATTGAAGGTATATAATAGGCAAGTAAGTTGGGCCCTGATAAAATGAGGTGCCATGAACAGTGCTTCTACCGGAGGAAGTATCAATGGTAGATCAATAAGAGCCGGTGGAGCAAAGGGTGGCGGTGAATCATCAAAGCCGTCAAGTGGCCTTGGACCGGGTGGGTCTTGGGGTCGTCTTGGACCGGCTCACCTGGTTCAGGCCGGTCTGAACCGGCCCGGCAGATATTGGTCGCGGGAGCCCGATTAGGGCGGCGGCCTTGAAAAAGGGGGAGAGGGGGGGGGGGTGGCGACGGTGGCCCTGAGAGGCGGCGACGGCTGTCCAAAGGGGTGGGGAGCGGCGGCCAGAAGGGGCGGCAGTGGTGGCACGAATAGGCGGCAGCAGCGGCGGTGGCCCAAAGAAGAGAAAAAAAAGAGAGGATACCAAGGTAGTGGAGCGGCGACGGCGGCCCGAAGGGGCGGCAGCGGCGGCCCGAAGGGGCGGCAGCGGCGGCCCGAACAGGCGGTGACGGCGGCGGCAGCCCGAAGGGGCGGCGCGGCGGCGGCAGCCCGAAGGGGCGGCGCGGCGGCCAGAAGAGGCGGCCGTACAAAGGTAGAGGAGCGGCGACGGCGGCACGAAGAACCCTAATTTTCTACGGTTAAAAAAATAAATAAATATTAGGCTCTGATACCATGTGAACGGTAAAGCCAATCCATTAAAATAGAGATTACAAGTCTGTATTTATAGCGAGAGAGAGAGAGAGAGAGAGAACGTGACCTAAGCCCTCTAATGGGCTATATCTAACAACCATAAATTCAAGGGGCAAGGGGAGTCCCCTGTGCAGAGAGCACAGTGGGTACTAAAGGCTCTGCGATTGTAATGCAGAAGTAGTCGGACAACATTCACATGCTATGAGTGGTGTGGAGGAATGATCAATCTCAAAGTTGGAGATTCTTGGGATGTGTGTAGATTGATCATCCTAGATCTATCGTGGTTACATGGATATAAGTTTGCGGTGAGTTAGCGGAAGGTCAAGAGGAACACCAACCACATAGCAAAACCTGAACTAAGGGAAATTATTTTTTTGTCCCTTGGTAGTTACCCTAACCCTACGTCATAAATAATTTGAGACCCATCATTTTATCTGGGATAAATGTAGAGAGAATGACCACTTGAACTTTTTTTAGGCTCTGCCCAAGAAGGAAGGATGCTCCTATCCTCAACACTAATCTTTCATCGTTTAAATATAAACAAGATGGAATAAGTTTAGATATTGAACATGATTCTTTTGAAGGCTCGATCATGGGATGAAGGCTCATGCTTATTTGATGCAGGTTTGATGTTTCATTTACTAAATAAATTTAGATTGTCACAATGTAAATTGTGTTAGATTATTAATTTAAAAATATTTTGATGATGATAAATTGATTGAATTTTTCTGCTCATTTAGTGCACACTAAATACACATGAATATTATTTCAAACATGAGTATGAAATTAATTAAAAATATATTCATAAATAATAAAAATTATTAATGATAAATTAATGTGATTCAAGAAACCTATTTAATGATAAATATCCAAATGTACTTTTGAATTATGTAACGTTTGGTGAATTTATCTCTCAAAATTATGATTTTTTTATTATTGTGGAAAAACTAATATTTATAGAAACTATCACTAACGAAAAGTAGTGAGCCAATGCATCATATTTAATGACGATTCTTGAAGTAAAATATTAATATAAAAAAGATATATAGTACGCTAGATATTTATGCTGTCAAATCATTACTTTTGATTATTATTGGATATGGAATTTATTTCTTGAATTCAAACTGTTGAAAATTAACTACTCGGATGAATATTAATTGAAAAATAATTTAAAAATATCATAAGTCACTAAAATCCTGATCCAATGAGTATTTATTATTTATGATTTATTTGAAGCGACCTGAATTAAATATAATATATTTTATTACTTTATTTCAAGATATATTTACAATCACGCTTTAACAATAATGGATTCTTAGTAGATACACAAGAACTGATAGTTCAATGACCACATTTATTGGTTTAACTTTAAAGGATATCTAAACTATTAAAGGATGTGTCATAATGATTTTCTACTACTCAAATTCATTCCTATTTTTTGAAATAATAACAAAAATTTAAATGTTGAAAAATAGGGAAATAAATTGCATCCAGCTTTAATTCATTTGTCTTCTTGAATTTTTTTGACCCTAACTTAATTGACATTGTCTTTTGAAAACATCATTTGTGATCTCACTCTTTATTTCTTGTGGCATAAACTTTTAACTAAATTTTATCTAAATCACTTAAGGGGTTTGCACTCTACAACCAATTTTCACCCACTTAGCCATAAATCTAAAAGAAAATTTATGCTGAAATTCTAAGGGTGTTGAGTTTAAGAATTAATAGTTGTCTCTAAATTTTGTTTTAGGGGAACCAAAGGACGGTGTTTTATTAGAGGGTGGATGTAAGTGAGGGATCAAACTATTAATCTCTTGTGTTTTGAAGCTCTAAATCTAGGAGATCTAGAGAAGCAAAGTATTAAAAGAAGATATCAATAAATATTATAATAATTGACCAAGAGTCAAATCAGAATGAGATTAATTCAGCTCCCCCTTCTTGACCTTATTATAACCTTAAATCTAATAATTTGATTTGATTGCTTTTAGCTGACCTAGTGCAGCCGCTTGGATCTCCCTTTTGTCTCTCCTTTCCTCTCTTGTGCTTGATTGAAGGGACATGGCATGGATGAATCTCCTCTCTTCCTCATGCCCCTCTTTCCTTCTCTCAAAATCAGGTATAAGAAAATGAGAGATTAGGGTTTTTGGAACAAGATGATCACATATTCATATATATGTTTAATATTTAATGGGCTGAGGAATGGGCCATATATGAAACAAACGGACTGGTCCATTTTGTCTGAATATCAGATCCATGCTGGTACAACAAATATATTCTTCTACACAACTACTTGACCATCCATAAATTTTGGATACATATATAATGTAAAGATCCATTTTTCCGATTATAAATGATCCTTAATCTTTTTATATAAGATCCGGACTAGATCTGATGGCTTAAATTTAGGCCCAATATATGATATATTTCATATTTGATTCAGGCACAATAACAAATCACTATGAAATAAATTCAAGACCAATTTCAGGAATATTTTACAATATTATCAAGTAAATAGTTATCAAATCTTGACGATTGAATTTCCACATGCTCTTATCCTCACCTAGAAAAACTCAAGATCTTCATAAGAAGGGTAATGCCTGAATTAACCTTCATGGATTATGATAATCTTCATAACACTTTAAACTTCTAAATCATCATTCATGAGAGTTATTTTAGGGCAGGATACACAAGATGTTATTAGTTCAAAGCCATACAAGATGTAGCCATACTATGAAACAAATAATTTACAGATTTAGGGAATAAAGTTAAGTCAAACGGGTCTCACATGTTTTATCTAAATAAACAGTAGGTAGTATAGTTGGTCCTAAGGTAGGATTAGTTTGTGTGTTGGGGTCCACTTTTTGTGTTGAGGGAATATGATGGGAGTTCTATTAGCCCAACAAGGGGAGTAGAGAGAGGATCAAAACTCAGTAAACTTGAGCTTAATATATAAGACACAAATAACTTAAACCAAGTGCATGGGCAGCTTTTACTTGGCTCCATGGAGGTGGTGTTGTAACCAAGGAATGATCAACAAAAACTGCATGAACAAGCAACATGCATGTGTGGACTGTCACATGAGCAAGCGCATGCACAAATGGGGGAGGTAGAGAGATGTGAAGAGAGAGAACGGTTAGAAACGATGAGAAAGAAGGGGAGCAAATCAACAGTGGATACAAAGGAGGAATATTCAAGACATGAGAAGACCTAGGAGAAGAGGGCAGTGAGGTGTGAGCCTTTTTGCCAAAGCTCTCCCTTGGAAACCTTCTGGCATTCTCACACCTTGAAAAAAGTCTCTTCAATCTATTTCTTTATTAGTGTTTTGAAAATGGGATTACATGCCTTTAAACAGCGTCATCATGGAATAACTATGAAGCTCAATCACATTATAGGCGTACTTTAAGGGTATTATCAAAGTCATACTATGATTGCTTGATTAGAAAAAGACCTAAAAATTTATATATAAATTTAAGGTGGTTTTAAGAAACCCCAAGGAGCACAACTTCTCTAACTTGCAAGGTTGTCAAGATGGTCTTCCATCGAAGTTGTCGATCCCTGATGACGCTGGTTGAATCGAGTCTCGTATCCTCAGCAGTCTTTTCTAGAAAATTAAATATTAAGTAAAACCTGCTAGATCGATAAACCTAAAGAGACAAGATTTCAGCAGGTTTTGGGGACCAAGAGCTAAATTGACAAACAGAGTAAGGTATGGATACTTAAAGCATTTTTCGTGGAGAGAAAATATAGGCTAAGGGTCTGTCTACCCAGAGAAGGTTTGGCTGCATGGGCGAAGGTCTTCAGTCAAGGTCCATTTTTCCCTCTCTGGTGGGTTACGGCGGGGCGTCCGCTGTCAAGAGGTGCGGCCAACTCTGCCTTGAGGCGCGGTGTTGGCACGGTGCCCCCATGAAGGTCACCTTCCCGGAATCCCCCACAGTGCCAAGCGCAAAATCCTCACCAGTTTTCAGCGCGCAGACGAGCCGCCACTCGCTCCACTTCGCCGCCCACAGCCCCGGCTATGCCATGCGCGGACGCGGCAGGCAGTTGACTCACGCACAGCGCAGCACTGTGTAAGAATCCACTGCGGGCCAGTTACCCAAAGTCCACTCCGCAGACAATGAATGGAGTTGACAAGTCTGCAGCAGCCGCAGTATTGACGATTAGACTTGCCGTGCTCTCCGCCGGCGTAAGTATCTTTCGCTCTATGAAAAACCAGAATGGGAAGAGGGATGGTGGGACCGGCATGGGAGACACTGGATGAGGAAGAGTACTTTGCTAGCCCTTACTCTTATGATTTCTGTCTGACTCGTTTTCGTCTTCGATCGGATAGTTTTTTTCTGGGTTCAGTTCTTTCCGTTCAAATATGACAGCAATGTCGCCGTGACTTCTCTCATTCGCAGACCATTCAAAGCTCTCATTGATGACGCCAAGGCGGTGTGATGCCTACCATTAAGAGTCGGCAGACCTCCCGAGGCGTTCTGGGTCCCCGGATAGCCTCGGCCCTGGTCACCGCCCTAACTCCGGTGGCCCCACTCGGCCCTCAGTCAACGTCGCCTCCCCCCCCCCCCTACGCACACTACTTCTCTGTACGGCCCAAAAGTCAAAATCGCGATCTCTATCCTTCTCCCCGTCACTCCTTACGCCAGCTAATCCCCCAGGCGGCAGAAGAAACCATGGCCACAGGTGAGTCGTCAAGGACGGTGCATCCTTGTTACTAGACGATGAAATCACCGGTCAGCGAGGAAGAGGACCCCGAGTTTCACCGCGGTGGATCAGGAAGGACGGAGCGATCGATCTCTGGCTCATTTTCCAGCTTTCCTTCTTCCATCTGGGAATCTCCAGACAACAACTCCTACGCTGAGCGATCGAGGAACACAGTATATATATGTATATATATATTGGATTCTTGGATTTACACGACGCTACGACAGGAAGCACATTAAATGGGTCGTCGGAGAGGGCTGCCTTCGGCATCAACCCTGATGTGGACCTGCGACCAAGAACTCCCCACACAGACGCGGTCACGTAAGGTTGAACACTGCTACAAAGAAGGCTTAATCATTCACACCGTTTTTGGATGAGCTCAGATTTTTTATAAAAATCTAAGCTCACATTCCAACTCTGGGCATGTGAGTGATGATAGAAAATCTATCACTTAGCTTCACTCAACCTACTGTTATAATTTTTATTAATAAGCTTCGTTAGGACGTTGACTCTCTGCACGGGGTAGAGGGCCATCGTTGATCAGATTTGTAGATTCCGCTATGGTTGACTACAACTGGCCTCATGACGCGTCATTTAGTCAGATGGATTCCATGTGAATGCTAATTTAAAATTAAGATGATTTTATTTTAAAATTTTCGTTACGTTATCTACTGGTAGTTTGGATGCGTGATTTCAATATCCTTCACGACACGTGACAGCCAATTAGTGGCCTATACTAATCGTCGTTAGATCAAGAAGATCACTCCGAGGCGACTTCCGTCACGGCGATGAGAACATGTTGGGGAGTTTTGCAGAATTTCGTACCGCCGTGTCAGGCGGAAGCAGGGGTAGATGGAAGTTGAATTGGGAGGTTCGGCTGGACCCCATTCTCACAAGTGTTGACTTTTAAGTACAACACAGCGAATATTCCTTCATTTGATACCCATCCGAGGCCCACCGCCTTGCCCCCTCTCCCTCCCATAAGTGTTCCTGCTTCTCCTCTTCATGCAGCCAGTTCTCTCCCTTCCATTCCATTATCCTCTACTTCCTCCCACCCTCTCTCTCTCTCTCTCTCCCTCTATCTATCTGTCTATCTCTCTCTTCCCTCCCATCCTCTGCCGCTCTTCCTGTTTGACTGGACGTTCTTCGCGGTTGGACAAGGTAAGTTTCCGGAGTGAGCTGTGGATAATTCTCTCTCTCTCTCTCTTCTCAGCCTGGCTGTAGAAAGATCATGCGTTTGACGACTTGAACGCGGTCAGTACAGGGTAGTTGGGCAAGGTCGTGGTCGTGCATGTGACGCCCTCTAGTTAATTTTTCCAATCCATGGGGGATCTTTCTTTTTTCTGTAGCATTACATAGCCGATCGCGTTACTCGTTGCTCCATCTCGGCTAATTTAACGGAATAATTGGAATGAGAGAGATGCCTAAAAAAGGAGTCTTCCGTTTGGATAGTGATGCATCCCTCTGTCTCTCTCCTCCGGTAGGGCCTTCAAGGTTTTCGTGGAAGATCAGTCTACAGTTTAGGCAAATGTCGTGTCGTCTTACTCTCTCACGTTCCTGGGGCCCTGATTCCGGGAACTTTGGTGATTCAGTCACGATAATCCTTCAACAATCGGTCAACGACTGATAAAGATTTTGTGCGTATTTTCCTGTGCATCAATTTAAAGTTAATATATTTCTTTTTTGTGCTTTCTGGCTTTTTTAATTTCCTCAGAGAAATCCTGGAATCCTCTTCTTCCACCCTCTGAGAAATCCCTCTGGTTTCTTCCCCGTAATCCAATTTAATGTGTACTCCGTCCTCTAAGATTCTGTGGATTCTTTACTTTGTAGGATCTGAAGGAGATTGAAAGGGGGTTAGACCATGGCAAGAGATCAGCTTCAGGTCCTCACCGCCCTAGATGTCGCCAAGACGCAGTTGTATCACTTCACGGCGATCGTGATCGCCGGCATGGGGTTCTTTACCGACGCCTACGACCTCTTCTGCATCTCCCTCGTCACGAAGCTCCTCGGCCGCATATACTACTTCAAAAACGACCCTGAGAGGCCAGGGTCACTCCCCCCTAACGTGGCCGCCGCCGTCAACGGCGTCGCCTTCTGCGGGACCCTCTCGGGCCAGCTCTTCTTCGGGTGGCTCGGAGACAAGATGGGAAGGAAGAAGGTGTACGGGATGACGCTAATGTTGATGGTGATCTGTTCTATCGCCTCCGGTCTCTCCTTTGGCCACAGCGCCACCGGCACCATGGCTACCCTCTGCTTCTTCCGCTTCTGGCTCGGCTTCGGCATAGGCGGGGACTACCCGCTCTCCGCCACCATCATGTCCGAGTACGCCAACAAGAAGACCCGAGGCGCCTTCATCGCCGCTGTCTTTGCCATGCAGGGATTTGGGATCCTCGCGGGTGGGATGGTCGCCATAATTGTTTCCGTCGCCTTCAAGAACAAATACGACGTGCCGGCTTACAAGGACGATCCATTGGGCTCCACCGTGCCGGAGGCGGACTACGTGTGGAGGATCATCCTCATGTTTGGCGCCATCCCGGCCGCTCTCACCTACTACTGGCGGATGAAAATGCCAGAGACCGCCCGCTACACGGCGTTGGTGGCCAATAATGCCAAGCAGGCCGCGGCTGACATGTCCAAGGTTCTGCAAGTGGAGATCGAAGAAGAGAAGGAAAAGGTGGAGGAGATAGTCTCGGACCCGTCCAATAAGTTTGGGTTATTCACCAGGGAATTCGCCCGCAGGCACGGGACCCACCTGCTTGGCACCACCACCACGTGGTTCCTCCTCGACATCGCCTTCTACAGCCAGAACCTCTTCCAGAAGGACATCTTCAGCGCCATCGGCTGGATCCCCAAGGCCAAAACCATGAACGCCATCGAGGAAGTTTTCAAGATCGCGAGGGCGCAGACCCTGATCGCCCTCTGTGGCACAGTGCCGGGCTATTGGTTTACCGTTGGCCTCATCGACGTCGTGGGCCGGTTCGCCATCCAGCTCATGGGGTTCTTCTTCATGACGGTCTTCATGCTGGCTCTGGCGATCCCCTACAACCACTGGACCAGGCCCGACAACCGCATCGGGTTCGTCGTGATGTACGGGCTGACCTTCTTCTTCGCCAACTTCGGCCCTAACAGCACCACCTTCATCGTGCCGGCAGAGATCTTCCCCGCGCGGCTACGCTCCACCTGCCACGGCATCTCCGCGGCCGCCGGCAAGGCGGGTGCCATCATCGGCTCCTTCGGGTTCCTCTACGCGGCGCAGAGCAAGGACAAGACGAAGACGGACCCGGGATACCCTGCCGGCATCGGAGTCAGGAACTCCCTCTTCGTGCTCGCGGTCTGCAACATTCTCGGTTTCATCTTCACCTTCCTGGTGCCGGAGTCAAACGGGAAATCTCTCGAGGAGATGTCCGGGGAGAACGAACAAGAGGAGTCGGAGGCGGCCAATGCAGAGGCCGCCTATACCAACAGAACCATTCCAGTCTAGAATTTCCTATCGAGAATACATTGATAGTTCAATTACCTAGAGCTTTTCGTGGATATTACTGACGTTTGAAGCCATAAAATAGTAGTTTACGGAACTCTGCTAAAAACCAAGAAGTTTTATCTCAACGCCAAGTTTCTAGGAATATAAGACGGCTCATCTCCAGAAAAATGCGTCCAGTATCTAAAGTCAACCCAGTCAACTTTTCAACCCTCAATATACGGCGGTCTGCTCTCTCCGGAATAAGCATTCTCACGAGCAGATGAATAGATTTTCTATCCCAATCAGCCGTCGACTCGATCCCACTTGCCCCAGACGACAGATACCAATCCTGGTAAGGCCCAGTGCCGAGACTGAGTGAGAGTTCGCCAGGGAGGCGACTTAATCGACCAAGTCCTTGCTGAGTTTTGTGGGTCCCCTTGAAAGGAGTAGAGACGAGTAGGCCACGGAGTCGTAAGTACTACGAAAGGCTACTGGGAGAGTTCGAGCGACAGGAGCGTCCTCTTTGGAAATATCTACTTCCTCAGTACCTAACATTATTTTTTTGGCCTTGAAATGCCATGAATATTGCAAAATATCCTCCGAGTTTCTGATTCTACATCGATTTTATTTGAAAGGTCTTTATATCACCATAAACAGGGGTCCCAATCAAGTACTTTTCCTGAAAATTTTTCAGGATATCTTCTAGCCTTTCCCCATTTGCCTAGCTCGAAGAAGAAACTGGGTTCCAAGGCGTTCACCTAAACTCTTCGTCATCTGATTTCGACCGTATGATTTTAATATACGAAAGCTGGTAATATCTTCCGAGTTACTTATTTTACATAAATAGCGGTCCCAATCAAGTACTTTTCTTGAAATTTTTTCCAGATATCTTCTAGCCTTTCCCCATTTGACTAGGACGAAGAAGAATCTGAATTCCAAGGTGTGCACCTAACTCTGCGTCATCTTGTTCCGTCTATATGATTTTGACACACGCAAGCTGGTAATCAGATGGTAATAGGAAAGCGTCAGCCACTTTACTGATTGGTTATGCTAGAGATGTGAGTGATTGCGACGCATCACTATTCATTTATCTCGTGAATCTCAAGGTACACCGGTTGACCCGCCGGTGATGAGACCATCACAAACTCTAAAGATGTTGGAAAAGTACGTTATTATTTTCAACATATTTTTGGCTGCTTTATTGGGCCCATTGGAAAAATTTGCAGGCCACGTGTTGGGGCCTGAACGGTCCACTAGTTGCTCTCTCTTTCGCCTCTCTCTAGCTTCTCCCATTCCCACTTTCTTCTCATGAATTTTGCGTGCTCTGGTCAGGCATCGCACACTTGCACGCACCGGGAGGCAATCAAGCAAGTTGTGGGTGGTAGTGACATGAGGGCTGGGAGTGCCAGAGAGTCTCGTGCATTACAGAGGCGAAATCCATTCTCAGGACATCATATTAGTTGATGTGCTATAACACCATAGTCACCATTTCTAGGTTATTTCTGTCTTTTGCTAAGATAGTGTGAAACAATGTTTTTGCTAAGATACTTCCTGTTTTCCACTGAAAGGAAGAATCTCACTCGTCTACAGGAACACATGGAAATAAGAAAATGAGCGAATCCAGAGTTTTGATTGATAGCAAGGGTGCAAAAGGGAGGGAAGGAGAGTCAACTGAGGGCGACGAGAGAGAAAAGAAAAACCACAGACAGATGGGGAAGAACGCCTCAAACGGATACAGACACGTGTGGAGGCCGAGTCTGCTCGCCTTCTTCGTTCTCCCCGGAGAGATCTTCGAGAGACCTTCCCTTGGACTCCGGCACCAGAAAAGTGAAGAAGAAGCCGAGAACGTTGCAGACCGCGAGCACGAAGAGGGAGTTCCTGACTCCGATGCCCGGGGGGTAGCCCTTGTCGGTCTTCGTACTGTCCTGGTTCTGCGCCGCGTAGAGGAACCCGAAGGAGCCGATGATGGCCCCCGCCTTGCCGCAAGCCGCCGAGATACCGTGACAGGTGGAGCGTAGCCGCGCGGGGAAGATCTCCGCCGGCACGATGAAGGTGGTGCTGTTAGGGCCGAAGTTGGCGAAGAAGAAGGTCAGCCCGTACATCACGACGAACCCGATGTGGCTGTGGGTCCAGTGGTTGTAGGGAATCGCCAGAGCCAGCATGAAGACCGTCATGAAGAAGAACCCCATGAGTTGGATGGTGAACCGGCCGATGATGTCGATGAGGCCAACGGTGAACCAGTATCCCGGCACGGTGCCGCAGAGGGCGATCAGGGTCTGCGCCCTCGCGATTCTGAAGACTTCCTCGATGGCGCTCATGGTGCTGGCCTTGGGGATCCACCCGATGGCGCTGAAGATGTCCTTCTGGAAGAGGTTCTGGCTGTAGAAGGCGATGTCGAGGAGGAACCACGTGGAGGTGGTGCCGAGCAGGTGGAGCCCGTGCCGGCTGGCGAACTCCTTGCTGAAGAGTCCGAACGAATTGTTATCCTTTTTCGTGATCCGCTCCACCTTCTCCTGCTCCTCGACTAGCTCCACATTGAGCACCTTGGACATGTCGGCGGCGGCGAGCTTGGCGTTCTTCGCAACCAGCGCCGTGTAGCGGGCGGTCTCCGGCATCTTCATCCGCCAGTAGTAGGTGAGAGCCGCCGGTACGGCCCCGAACATGAGGATGATCCTCCAGACGTAGTCCGCTTGCGGTACCGTCGAGCCCCGGGGATCCTGCGCGAAGGGCAAGGCGTGGTACACGTTGTTGAAGGCGGCGGAGACGACGATGGCCACGATGCCTCCGGCGAGGATGCCGAACCCTTGCATGGAGAAGACGGCGGCGATGAAGGCGCCTCGGGTCTTCTTGTTGGCGTATTCGGACATGATGGTGGCAGAGAGCGGGTAGTCCCCGCCGATGCCGAAGCCGAGCCAGAAACGGAAGAAGCAGAGAGTGGCCATAGTTCCGGTGGCGCTGCTGCCAAAGGAGAGGCCGGATCCGATGGAGCAGATCACCATGATCACAAGGGTTATCCCGTACACCCTCTTCCTCCCCATCTTGTCACCGAGCCACCCGAAGAAGAGCTGACCCGACAGTGTCCCGCAGAAGGCGACGCCGTTGACGGCGGCGGCCACATTGGGCGGGAGAGAGCCGGGCCTGTCGGATCCTGCTTCGTAGTAGTAAATGCGACCGAGGAGCTTGGTGATGAGGGAGATGCAGAAGAGGTCGTATGCGTCGGTGAAGAATCCCATGCCGGCAATCACGATCGCCTTGAAGTGGTACAACTGCGTCTTGGCGAGATCCAGCGCCGTAAGGACCTCGAGCTGGTCCCCAGCCATGGCGACCCTTTCTCCACCAAGCTTCTACTCACCTGCACGTAGTCACACGTATCAGAATACCCTCTTGAAGCCTCCCAGATCGCCAAAATTTTCCAAGATTCGGAGCCGGTGAAGAGTGAAGAAATCGCGGAAGGATTGCCTGAAGACGGAGAATCTGTCGCAGCCCTATTACTGAAGATTACAAGACGAAACGCTCACTCTGGTGGCTTTAGGTCATAACGAAACAAGAGAAATAAAGAGAGTCTAGTAAACTACTAAAGTGGAGAAACCATTATTGTCTAGGTCTCTCGTTCTCTAAGAAAACCGGAGAACCCTGGAGATGCGGAAGCGAGCGCTGGACATGCTCTCCGAGCCAACCCGGAGCTGTTTGGAATAGCTCTCATACAATACGCTCTAATTCTATCGTTAGCAGGACCGGACACACCTTGTGGAGAAGAATGAAGGGAGGGGGAGAGGAGGCGGGGCAGCGACAGCTCACCTTGGGGAGGGAGAAGAGAGAAAAATTTAGGGCGGACTAGGTCGAGGAACCGCTTTGAGGGGGGATGTGATACATTGCTGTGTTTGCTTAAGTAGGTCTCCAGGACAGTAATATCCGGGAGCATATTCCATTTGCATTCATCATCTCTCTATCCCCAGCGAACATGCTTCGTTAGCCGCAGTTTTTAATTACCATGAAAGAGCCCTTTCCGCTTTGGAATTTCATTTATTCGGTTCTCAAACTGGCGCTGTCGCGAAAGTCAGACCACCGCGATGGTGATTGCTGGACGCCCTCGGATTTCCAAACCCCCTCTGTTATCTACCGCCTTCAGCTGCTTGCCAGCCGTTCTCTCTGTTAATTTCTCTCATCTGACGATCTGCCGTAGTTTTTGTTCGCGGATGTGCGAATCACCGTAATTTTTGATTGAAAGTTTGAAAGTATATACGTACTTGCGACTTGTGTGAAGCTTCTTTCCATGTTGTTAAGAGTACCAAGTTATACGTGTGTATCAACACTCCCGGTGGGGCGGAGTTCAATCCTTGTCCATGAATCTGGAACAAATTCTGTCTAAAACATGAAACCCAGGAGGGGACAAGTGGTCCGCATGCGCAGAGAGAGAGAGAGAGAGAGAGAGAGAGAGAGAGAGGAGAGAGAGAGAGAGGAGAGAGAGAGAGAGAGAAAGAGAGAGAGGAGAGAGAGAGAGAGAGGGAGAGAGAGAGAGAGAGAGAGAGAGAGAGAGAGGGAGAGAGAGAGAGAGAGAGAGAGAGAGAGAGAGAGAGAGAGAGAGAGAGAGAGAGAGAGAGAGAGAGAGAGAGAGAGAGAGAGAGAGTTACTTGTGCAATCGTGGACACCGGCTAGAAAACCCCATTGAAGCTCTAACTCAGCTCAGTTAACGGGAATCTAAACTAAACTAATTTTATTTCCAAATTTGATTATAAGGGCTAAGCTAAGGATAGATTGAAACAAGCTTCGGACTTACGCTATTAACACCTTTAGTTATTGATGTGAGTTATCAGCAATAACATGATTATGCCTTAAAAATTGTTATACTCGTGTACTGAATATATCTCAGATATTTTGCGAATCAGTTTCGAATTAGAAAAAATATGGGTATGCTATGAATGATGTCGGAAGATGAACCCTAAAAAAGCACATTAGATATTCAGAAGCTTATCGTGTCTCTGAGAAACAACGACACTTATCAATATTGGAATTTAACTCTTTAAAACCTTGATGGATATGGTGTTGATGGGCAGGCTCAGTCAAGAGTTTGTCCTGTTCTAGTATAATTGGTTTCGCCCTAGAAATATAAATTAAGGCGGATAAAAGTCCGGCCCAACTCTATCACAACTTTGTTTGGGCGTTGACACAGTTTGAACTAGAAACCTAACGCCCATTTTCCTGCTTCGCGCAGGAAAATATACATAGACAAAACATAGAGGGGCACGTAGAGCATATCCAAGCCCGCCCCAGGACCAAGGTGCCGAGCCAGGATCATTAATACTCATGATGTAGACTTGTTTCTAGAAAATGGAACGGGATCCTTGGGTAAGTAGCTGTCCATCACTATCCAACTGGATTCAACCAAAGTCGACGGGAAAATAAATAGCTTTTAAAACTGGTACGTCCTACAGAAGCTCTAAGGTTCTCATGTGATTTCCTCAAGAATAGGCGAAGAAACTATAAAACGGGTATGCCCACAACTGTTAGAAGAAAATTATGATTTTTTGGAAAATTGTAAACATCTATAGAGGCGAAGTCAACGACAGCTATAAATAGATAATTTGGCCGTACATGTCTAATCAGAGATCAAACAACTGTAATCTTACTCTTTCATGTGAGTCAGCCCAAAGGTTCTCAACGGAAGAGAGAACTCCGGGGCTTGACCCTCTTTTTGAAGTCTCGGATTCAAAATCAAGCCCAGGGTGCACATGGCCTGGGCCTCGGTGAAATCCCTCATTGATTGACGAGTGAGGTATGGCAAAATCCGAGTCTTAGCTTCATGGCCCTTTTGTTTTCAGTTTTTCTCTAGATGCCGGGAGATTCTTACCAGATTAGAAGGTCGACCCTGGTCGTAGCTCGGCTGGTTCTGACAGGCGTGCACATCTGAGCATAACTTCACCATTTTTTCCAACGTAATTCAAACCTCATCGTCTAGACTGCGAAGCCACGCGCAGTTGAGTTCCACGACCAATCGGCGTCCTCGGTAGCCCCACTGTCCCGTCATAATCATAACTTGTGAACAGACATGAAGATATTTTCCACTGTCCAGTTGTCTATGATTGCGCTCTTCAGATATTTTCCGCTCTTTTTTAACTGCTGAGGATTGGTCAACCAAAGCAAAAGGAGAATATTCCACGGAATAAACCGTACTTGTGGTTGACTTCTTGATTTTATATTCATGCCTATATAGCCATATGTCTATTTCCAATAATAAATAAGGAATGTACATGTCCCGCGTGACTCACCGGCGAAGACCCAGAGTTTTTTCATTTTAGTGGGGCGTTTTTTAAAGAGAAAATATATTTTATGCTATTAAAGTCAATAACAAGGAAATTGTTGGCGCCCAAAGCCGTTGATGCTCAGACCCTGACACTGCGTTACGTGGCCGCAAAAGGGACTGCCCGTACATCTCTCTCTCTTTCTCTCTCTGTGTTCAGATAAGTACGAAGAAAAGGAATAGGAAAGGATCTGAACGAACAATGTAGGAGAACTTGGAACGGCTCTATGAGCGGGCGGCCCTCGTGCCCGTACGCAAATGGCTACCCAAGGAATAGAACGAGGCTCCTCGTCGGCGGCGTGTCGGCGATTCTTTGGTGGCCTGATGCCACACTCCCTTCCCCGTTCCTTCACCAAATGGAAGGCGCGAGTGAGAGCTAAGGCTTTTATCGGCAGAAGAGTATGTAAACCGAAACAAAGTGGACGTTTCTTTCTCTAGAAAGAAATATGGGAATAGGAGCAGGAAGCTACAATGAGCTCTTCTTGGGCGGCGTGTGTTGGCTGTTCGGAGAGTGAGACGGCATCCGGCAACAGTTCTCAGGACACTCACTCTACTGGATTAGGTTGGACTTGAAGAATCTAACCTTACAACTCTTCGTAATAACTCAAGAATCCAAGAAGAATGGAGAAACAACAAAATGCTCAAATCTATTAAATTGAAAATTAAAGAAATCAATCGGCATAGTCAATCAGTTGCTGAACTGATTCTCTTATAGGACCAGGTCGAACACCTTGTGTAGTAATGTCGTTAAGGTAATTACTACAAGTGTTGTTATCCTGGTGCAATCACAGTCGTTATAACTCCATAATAGATGGCTGTGATTGAAACCTTCAAAAGAAGGAGATAGAGAGAGAAATACAAGGAAATTTTAAAATTCAAAATAAGATGTAAGATCAGGCAGGACTCTTGTCGAACACCTTCCTCAGTGGATTGCGATGATTCAGGCAGTGAGATTAACTCTAACATTCACCTCCTTAAGCTTACTGCTGTTCCACCATGTCTTTCACTCCAATTAGCTCCCGAAAACTTGAAAATTTAACCCTTCCAAAAGTTAAATTTTTATGAACTGACTGATAAAATCGACACTAAGCAACAAGTCTGGTCTTGTGTGAGTCAGGTCTCTCAAAGAGTCCATTAAGCTCTTATAAGAAGAAGCATTCACCATATCTTTTCTTTCTTTCCGGTCAAATATTGGCTTTACTTCAATAGAAGTGAGTGATGAATTGCAATTCATCATGTTGAATGATATGAGAATCTTGAATGTAAATGACTTCTGTGAGAACGAAATAAAATCATCAATTTGACTTACTTGAATTCCCAAATATGATGAGAGTAAGCCCAAATCAGACATCTCAAACAACTTTGTCATATTTTTCTTGAAGTCTTCAATCTCCACCTCAATATTGCCTATGATTAGTAGATCATCTACATATACTCTCACAAATATGTGAGAATTCATCTTCCTCTTGAAGTAGATTGTCAGCTTGAAATTGCTTTTAATTAGTCCAAAAGAAATAAGACTCTTGTCTAATGTAGAATACTAGGCTCTCAGTGCCTGTTTCAGGCCGTAGAGAGCCTTTATGAGTTTATAGACTATCTTCTTCTTTCCTTTGACTTCAAATCCATCTGATTGTTTGACATATATGTCCTCACTGATTTCCCCATTGAGAAAAGTAGATTTGACATCTATATGGTGAAATTTTCAATTAAATTAAGTAAAAACACCCGAATTATTTCAAGTCTTGCTATAGGTGTAAACATGTCAGTGAAGTCAACATCATACCTTTGCACATAACCCCTCACTACTAGTCGAGCCTTGTGCTTGAGAATTTCACCTTTTGGATCCCTCTTAACCTTAAAGATCCACTTGAGTCCAATGGGTCGACATCCTAAGTGCAGTGAGACTAGTGCCTAGGTATGGCTCTTCTTTATTTATCTCAACTCCTCCATAACTCTTTCATACTTCATCTTTTAGAGCATCCTGAATTGATTCAAGTTATTCCTCAGCCGTGAAGTTGCATATGTCATCTTCTTCTAGAATTAGATGAGTTTCAACATATAATTGAGAAAGATTTTTAAATCTTTGATGTTGAGAGGTTTCAGAGGAGGATGAGATAAGTTGACTATCTTTTGGTGAGGCTAAAAGATCCGAAAATAGTTACTCCCCTTGATTTTCAACATTAATTTGGGGATTCTAAGATTGATCCAAGCTGTTGTTGACCTGGTCAACATCAAAATCAAATATAAAAGGAGCAAGCGATTCCAACACTTTTCTTCTTCAAATATTGACTCCCTCATAATGTGAATTCTTCCTGATGAAGGATAAAAAACACAATAACATTTTACTCCCTTTTCATTGCCAATTAGTATCATAGGAGTGCTTTTGTCATCAAGCTTCTTAAGAGCTTATCCAAGTGCCTCAACATACATAATTGGCCCAAACACTCCAAGATAGTCAACTTGTGGTTTCCTTCCTGACCACGCTTCATATAGAGTTTATCTCCTATTAAGATAGACAACAGTGCTTGCTGCTTCTCCCCAAAATTACTAGGTAAGTGTTTTGGTTTAAGCATAGCTCTCACTATATCTAATAGAACGTGATTTCTCCTCTCTACTACATCATTTTGTTGAGGTGAGTAGGGGCAGTCAATTGCCTTTGGATTCCTTATTCATCACACCATTTGAAAAAATCTTTTGAACTAAACTCACTCTCTTGATCTGTTCTTAGACAAGCAATTTTTTCATCTTTCTCAATTTAGCTATAGATATGAATTTCTTGAATGTATAAAATGTATCTGATTTCTTTTTCAACATGGATATCCACATTAATCTCATGCAATCATCAACAAGAAGTGAGAAATTATTACTTTCACTTAGAGTCCCTGGTTTAATTGGGCCACATGGATCTCCATGGATGAGCTCAAGTGGTCTTGTGGCTCAAAATGATGAGGCAGAGAGAAAAGGAGCTCTCGTTTGCTTGGACTTAACACACTCAACACAAAGGTCTTTTCAATATTCAGAAGTCCTCTTACCATATCATGTGAAGACAAAGCTTTTAGTGAAGTGAAATTCAAATACCTATACCTCTTGTGTCATACTCAATTTTGATCATACATGACATGAAAGTAATTATCAATAATATCAAGCTTCAAAAGGTAATTCATCCATCATTTCTCTTTACCTTTGTTAGAAGAATGCCTCTCTGATTGTAAACTGTGAGAACTCTATTTTGTAAATTAATTTTGCAGCCTTATTCATCAAGTTTTCTAAGACTCAAAATATTAGCTCTCAACTGAGGAGTATGTAGGACATAGATCAAAGTAACTCTACTCTCATTTTTAGTATTAAGGATTTTACATCAACCTTTATTGGAATGCGCGAGTCATCACCAAAACGAACACCTCCTTTATAAGACTTATCCAAGTTAAAGAAAAGTGTCTTCTCACTAGTCATGTGAGAGGTTGCTCCCATGTCCAAATATCATATTTTATTACTCAAATTGAGAGATGCCTTGTAGAAGACCATTAGAATCTTCGAATGCCATTAGAAGAGAATTATTACTCGAATGTTCTTCAGCAACAATTGTCTTTTCTTTGTTCATCTTCAGTCTCTCCTTCGGAAAACGACATTCATTCACATAATAGCCCTTATTTTGACAAATGTAACATGTAACTATCAACTTGTCTCTCAATTTTTCATCATCATCAAAGTCTTCAATCTTCGTGGCACTTCTGCCTCTTCCTCTGCCATAGCCTCTGCCCTTGCCACAACCTCTTCCTCTGCCTCTTGCTTGAGTGCCATTAGAGGAATGCTTCTTCTTATTCTTCTTGAGAGCATGAGCCAACAATGCCTTCTCCTCTCTCTTAACATAATGATCTTGAAGTTTATCCTCATAAATCTTGAGAGTTATGAGAATTTCATCTATTGAGATTGTGTCAAGATTTTGAAACTGTTCAATAGAGGTTGTAATAGAGTCAAACTTACTTGAGACTGATCTCAATAGTTTGGCAGAAAGATCTACATTAGAAACTTTATATCCTAGACTCTTTAATTCAATCATGATGCGAGACAATTTCCCAAAATAATGAAGAATCAACTCCTCATCATCCATAGAGAGATTCTCGTAGTCTCTTCAGAGTGATTGAATATGGGCCATCCGCAAGTGTGAAACACATCTACTTTGTAGTATTCTTCACCTTCATGAGATTTCACGTCTACTTTGTAGTATTCTCCACATCTAGCTCTTACGAAATCTCATCAAAGATTGTGCTAAACAAGACAAATTTGACATTTTTTTATTGATTTAATAGTTTCCGATTCACCAACTCTTATCTCTTTCGGAAGGAACAAAAAGAAAAGAAATAAATTAGCTGACATCACTTGTCAATCTTTCTTCTTGACTAGGTTCTCCAACTCAACAACTTCTCACAGCTCAAGACCTTCAAGGTGAAGTCGCATCCTAGATGCCCAAACTTGATAGTTGAGCCTGGTGAGGATTTAGAAATGTGCTTATTTGTATAGATTGCTCTGCTCCTTTCAAATCCTCTCATTATCGTGAGATCCTACGATGAGTCTCCCTTCTGTAGTGCCATAGTGGTCAAGGTGATGTTGGATCACAATTGCTCTAATGCCAATTGAAGAATTTAACCTTACGACTCTTCGTAACAATTGAAGAACCCAAGAAGAATGGAAAAACAACAAAAGGCCCAAATCTATTGAACTAGAAATTTGAGAAATCGATCGACATAGACAATCAATTACCAAACTAATTCTCTTATAGACCAAGTCGAATACCTTGTGCAATAACGCTGTTATGACAGTTACTGCAAGTGCTGTCGTCTTGGCTCAATCACAACCATTATAACTTGATAAAGGATGGTTGTGATTAAAATGTTCAAAAGAAGGAGATAGAGAAAGAAATACAAGAGAATTTAAAATTCAAAATAAGGCGTAAGATCAGACGAAACTTCCATCGAACACCTTCCTCCTCAATGGATTGCGATGATCACAGTGGCAAGATTAACTCCAACAAGACTGCAGCATGAGAGCTTCAAAATGCTTCATCTTTGTTGCAAATTAGAAGACTCAACTTCGTCACTCTTAAAATTATTTAGTTCCTCAAAAAGCACCATCATACATTAATAGGATGGTAAGGATGAAGAGTAAAAGGAAAAAAATGATTGTGAGAGGATAGAAAAATAGATTTAGGTGGGGAGAGCAAAAATATGTATTGTTTGATAGTGGTATCGGACTCCCAGCCCATTATGGCCCATTATCTATCTCTCTCTTTCATCTCTCCTCTCTCCTATATAAGAGTCATGTACTTTATCTTTTGAGACTACATGGATTCCAGGGTTTTTCTCTCCTATGTCAACATGATATCAGAGCTCTAGGTATCCTTTGTCATCTTCTTCTCCAGTGCGCCACCCGTCTTTGGCGTGCCGCTCTCCTCTTCGCCGGCCTCTTCCCTCCTTGGACAGCTCTTTAACGTCGTCGCTCTTCCCTCTTCCAATGTCGTTGTCCCTGTCGTCGCTTTCCTCCTTCCGGCATCGTCATCTTTGCCGTTGCTCTCCTTCCCCTTCCGGCACTACCCTCTTCGTTGTCATCGCCCCTCGCTAGTGTTGTTACTCTTCGCCTCTTCTCCGATGTCTCCACCATTACTATCGAGGCCCCTCCTCACCACCACGCCCTCGCTGTCGCGCCGTTACGGGTGCCGTCATTCTCAGATGCCAAGGGCGTCACCACCGCCGTTGAGGTCCCTCCTCGTCGTCGCACCCTTGTCGTTGCGCCCAGCCCTCACTGTCGCCATCCAGCTGTGGCAGCTAGGGTTTTGCCTCTCTCCTAGTGAGCCAGCCGGCGGTTTTCTTCCGGACCGACCCACTCGGGACCAGCCCAGCCAGACCCGCCAGCCCTATGCAAATCCGTAGGCCCAGCATGGCCCAGCCAGACTAGCATGGCCCTGTCGTCCCCAACCGGCCCCAGCCGGCCCTGCCTGCTCCTCTAGATCGGCCTATCGGGCCCTGACCTGCTCACCCCACCACCTGTCCCTCCAGCCTAGACCTGTTGGCCTCATGGTGTCGTCTCACCCCTCTCCGTCGCCTACCTTTGAGCCCCCTGAGCTTCTTTCAGTTGGTGTTCTCCCTTCTCTAGCAATTCCTCTAGCTCGCCACTCTGTCACAGCGCAACTTACTTGACCGACGTACATCTTCAATGATCATAATTATGCGTCGTGGACATCTGACTTTGAACTCTTTCTTTGATCTCATAGTCTCCTCTATCACTTCTCGGAGGACCCATTAAGCCTTCGGGACCCCTCGTATGCAATATGGTTGCAGCTCAACTCGGCCATCATCACATGGATGCTTCAGAGCATCGAGCCCAACATTGTTGAGCCACTAGCACACATCACCTCGACCCGTCTCCTGTAGCTCACTATAGACATCATGTACACCAATCAGATGAACATCGGTTGAGTTGTGGAGATCTTTGAGTCTTTTCTCTCCTTCAAATAAGGCAATCTCTCTCTTTAGGCCCACTACGGTCACCTCCAAGATCTCATCTAAGAGGCTGATATCTATCAGCCCCTTACTACCAACCTCTTGACCCTTCAATGCTATTGTCAAGAGTTTTATGCTGGGGTTTATCTTAGTAAACTTCATCCGTCCATCACATCCTAGATCTGGGGGGTTGTTCTCTTTGGGGACCACATGCTTGATCTCACCTCCATCTTCTCGGCAGCCCTTTGGGTCACCATTAGTATGCCCGTCCACTCCTCTTCTTCCTCTCTAGGTGCCACCTTTACTTCTTTAGCTCTTGTCGTTGCTGCATCGTAGGCTCAAAATGATACACCTCCTTCTCGCCTTGACGGGGGTCGTATTCTTCGTGGACATGCGTGCAACACCTTTTCTCTATGTCCCTACTGTTAAAATTAGAATCATATGACTACTAAGTGTTGGAAGCAATTCGGCAAGCCCACTTCCGCATAGTCGATGATCACTTCTCCAACTCTGACATCCCCCACTCCATCCTATGTTCCAGTTCTTACCTTCCACATGACCTTAGTGCCTGCAAAATATGATGTCTTTTGCCATGCCAATGGTACTAATGCTTCTATCTCTAATAGTCTCGCTTTACTTTCGACCTCCTCCATGCTAGGTACACACTCTCTCCTTACTTCTTCTTCGACACTGTGAATTATTGATTTGGGAGCCTTCACCCACATGACCGGTATACCTACTATTCTCTCCTTCTATCAGCCTACCCTAACTCATACCCCTGTCATCATTATCGATGGTCAGACCTATCCAATCAAAGGTCATGGTGTCATCTCGGTTTCTCCCTCCTTTCACCTTACCCAAGTTTTCTACATTCTCAGTTTTCCTATTAACCTTTTTTCCATCAATGTTATTACTCATGCCTCTTGTACAGTCACATTCTTTCTCTTTCACTGTACTTTCTAAGATCTGCATACTAGATGGAGTATTGATTTAGGCTGTAAAATTGGGTGAGGTGTCTATGAACTCGTTTCTCACTAACCCTCATCTGGCCTTCGGACCCTTTTTGTCGTATCTACGATTAATTCTTCTCTTTTGTGACATTGTCATTTAGGTCATCCTTGTTTCTTTAAATTACAAAAAAAAATACCATGGCTTTTTCTCTCTAAGTTTGTGTGCGAGTTTTGTCAATTGGGCAAAACATTATCATGTTTCTTATCCTAGTCGTGATGACATCTCTTCTTCCACTCCTTTTGACCATCTCTATTGTGACGTATGGGGTCCATCTCGTACTTTCTTCATTTCGGGCCATCGCTATTATATCATTTTTGTTGATGACTACACTTGTGTGAGTTGGGTCTACCTCTTCTGTGACCGCTCTAAAGTCGTCACCGTGGTTACCCACTTCATCACCGAAGTTATCATATAATACATAACTATGCCCAAAATTCTTCATACTGATAATACTTTTTAATTTGTCTAAGTATCTCTTTGCACCTTCTGCGATGATCGTGGCATCCTCTACTAGACCACATGTCCTCATACTTCATAGTAGAATGGTGTTGTCGAGCACAAACATCGTTAGTTCCTTGACATCAATCGGACATTTCTTCTTGAGATGAATATCCACCACTATCTCTAAGTTGACGTCCTTCTAACTATCATTTACCTCTAGAATTGACTTTCCTCTACTCCTCTTAGGGAGGTCATTCCTCTTCATCACTTAATCCTTGATTCTCTTCTTTTTTTCTCTTCCCCCTCAGGTTTTTGGATACCTTCATCCAAAATTCCTCTTCATCTCTATCTAAACTCGCCCTTTGTGCTCTTAAAGGGGTCTTTGTCGGCTACTCTAGCATGCAAAAAGACTATCGGGTCTACTTCCCTGAATCCCTTCACTATGTGACCTCGGCCAACGTTACTTTCTATGAGGAGTTTCCTTTCTTCTCTCCTATTTGACTCCTCCTCCTCGGGCCGTTATGTCTCCTCCACTTGAGTTCTCTCTTATCTTGGTGGTTCTTACGGACCCTCCCTTTTCTCTTCCCTCTTGTCTACTCTCTTTGGAGTTGTTACCTCTGCTCGCCTCTCTTCGGCCCATGTCTCCCATGGCTCCTCCTATTATGAATGTAGTATTCTCCTCTTCCTCTCCTATGATCCCCTCTGCGCCTTCAGTTGCTGCTCCACTTAATGACCTTTATCTCTCTATTGCACTCCACAAAAGTACACGCACCTGCACTCACCATCTTCTCTCCCAATTTATCTCTTATGACCGCCTTTCTCCCTCCTTTCGTACCTTTGCCCTCTTCGTGGCCTTCGAGTCGCTTCCACGATTGTATGTTGAGGATGCACAAATACTTGCGTGGAAGGTAGTGATGGATTCAGAGGTAGCTGCGTTGGTTGCTCAAAGGACTTGGGATTTGGTTTCGCGCCTAACTGATGCTAATATTGTGACGTGTAAGTGGGTTTTATCATCAAGTATCACTTGGATGGCTCTATTGCTCGTCATTTGTTTGGTTGTTTGGGGCTTCACATAGACATATGGGATCGACTACATTGAGACGTTTTCTCTTGTCGTCTACATCAACTCCATTCGCGTGTTCCTCTCTCTCGTCGTCAATCCAGAATAATTTTTCCACTAGTTAGATGTTTCTAATATTTTTTTCTACAGTGATCTCATGGAGCAAGTTTTTATGGAACAACCTCTTAGGTATGTTGCTTAAGGAGAGTCATCAAAGGTGTGTCTCTTGCGACGTGTCATTTATGGGCTCAAATAGAGTCCATGTACTTAGTTCACCAAGTTTAGTAGTTTATTCACCACCTTTGGCTTTGTCTCTTGCATTGCGGACCTTATCGTGCTCATGAAGAAGATAGAAGGCAGCCTTATCATCCTTACAATCTATGTCGACGATATTTTTGTGACTGAAAGTGATGAGGCCGACATCTCTGCTATTAAAGCTTACTTACAGCGGCACCTTAACATTCATGACTTGAAGACTCTGTAGTATTTTCTTGAGATTGAGTTTATATATCAAGACTGAAATCTCGCCCTCACTCAGCGAAAGTATGCTCTCGACATGTTTCAGGAGATAGGCCTCCTTGGGTACAAGTCGGAGACTTCACCCATGAAAGCTCACTTGCAATTCTAGGACACTTCATCTCCCTTACTTGAAGATGTTAATTGGTATCGACGATTGTTGAACAAGTTGATATATTTCACTATCACTCTCCTCGACAGCATGTACACGATTAGTGTCTTGAGTCAGTTCATGCAAGAGTCTTGATGAGTTCATTAGAAGGGCGCTCTATGAGTCCTCGCCTACATCAAACGATCTTTGAGAAATGAATTCATCTATCGACGACATGACCATCTCCACATTGTAGCCTACTTTGACGCTAGGTATACAGGTGACAAGGGCGACTGAAAGTCTATTACGGGTTATTGCACATACGTCGGCGATAATCTAGTCACCTAGTGGTCCTTAAAATAGAAGGTGGTGTCCTACTCTAATGCGGAATCTGAGTATCAAGCCATTACTGAGACAATGTAGAAAATGATATAACTTTGATTACTTCTCGACAATCTTAGCATTGCTTCTCTTTCTTTAATGCTCATGTATTGTGACAATCAAACCACCATCTTCATTGCTGGCAATCCCACCTTTCATGAATGTATGAAACACATTGAGGTTAATTGTCACTACATTCAAGATAAGGTTATGTTTAGACTTATCTCTACTCCTCATGTGTCATCATCTCATAAGCTTGTAGACATCTTCATGAAGAGTCTAACCATCATCTCCTACGATGACACGTGTACCAAGTTAGACATATTTGACTTATATGCTCCAACTTGAGCGAGAGTGTTTGATAGTAATATTGGACTCTCAACCCACTATGACCCATTATCTATCTCTCTCTTTCTCATCTTTCCTCTCTCTTATATAAGGTGATATATTCTATCTTTTGAGACTATATGGATTCTAGGATTTTTCTCACTCGTGTCAATATATATATATATATATATATATATATATAGAGAGAGAGAGAGAGAGAGAGATGAGAATAGAAAGTGTACATTAGATTTAACCTCTATTGACTAGAAAAAATAGTTCAGGTCATATATAACCTCAATTTTTTGTGATGATTACATTCGTCAACATGTCTGCTGGCTTCTTCGATCTATTGACACTTTCAAGTGCCAATATTCTATCATCTAACCAGCTGTAGATGAAGTGATCCCTCAATTGAATATGTTTCATCCTAGAGTTAAATATTAGAATCTTGGCTGGATGGATGTTATTATGATTGTAAAAAAAAAAAATGTCAGTCTTTAGTTCATATCAAACTTATCAAGTAAATTCTTCAATCATATAATTTCCTTATCTGCCTCTATAATTACAATATACTTTGAGTCAGTTGTGTGCAGAGTATCAATCTTTAGCAATTGAGAAATTTAGGTACTGAAATATCACCCAAGGTGCAGATATACCTAGTGGCACTTCTCCTTACGTTGTCATCACCACTCAAATTTGAATCTACAAAATTTTGTAACTTTAATTTATTTTTCTTAAAACAAAGAGATATACATGATGTGACTCATATAACAAGAATGCATCAGACAACCTCCAATGTTACATTTTTCAAGTTTTCATGAACTTGTTCACAACTCCCATTACATAAGTTATTTTGATTTTGGTGTAGACCATAGCATATGAAACTATCAACAATAGATACATATGAAATTCCTGGTGTATTTTTGTATTTATCTTCATTGATTGATCCTTTGAGAGTTTGAAATAGTTTACTAAAGAGGTACTCATAAGACTTATGATGTCCTGTTCAACCTACAAAGTACATTTTCAACATAATTTTTGTGAATTAATCTCAAGAAATTGGAAACTATGTGGTGAGTGATCCACACTCTAAGAATTTATTTTATTGGTCTCAAGTATTTCATACTAATTTTTTTTCAAATTGCTTCTTTAGTTTGTTGATTTATTACATGTTAGTTGAAAAAATCAACATATCATCAATATAATTTAATAAAATGAAATTACTTCCATCTTTCCTCAAATAGTAGAAGTGATCAATTTTACTCACATGAAGTCATTTTTGGTCATAAAATCATCTAATTTATTATACTACTTATTTGATGGTTTATTTAGCCTATAAATGCTATTCTTCAATTAGCATACTTAATTTTTTTTGCCATAGATCGTAAATCCTTATGATTGTATCTGATATCTATATATATATATATATATATATATATATATATATCATTCTAAATTACTACAAATGAAGACTATCCTCACATCAAGGTCTTCTTCAACCACAATACTTACCATCAATCTAGCTATTGCAAACTTCATGATAGAGGAGAAAAATTTTATAATCTACTCATTTTTTCTATTGAAAGTCTTTTACAAGTAGTCTCTTCTTGTACCTATTGATACCCTTACAACTCAAATAGGCTCACAAGGAAAGAGGTCTCAAAAAAGCTGACCTAGCTCAAGAACAAAGTAAGGCAGACAAGATCCAGACACCAAAAGGGACAACTGCACATGGGAGCCTGCAGGACATGAGATATGTGTTGTGGATAGAATTCGGTGGAGAGTCGTGGCAGACTCAACACCGATGGAGCACATCAAATCTTAGGTCCCATCAAACCTAATTAGAGTGAGGCAAGAGGCAGTTGCCGATGCTAGAAGACTTTGTGAAGAACTCAATGTGGAGTGGAAATTTGTCATCTTGCATCGATGAACCCAAGACTTGAGAGGTCTTGGTTATTGTATTTTCTCTCTCTCTAGTTTTTCAACCCATTCATGGCCTTCCGGTAGAAGCTATTTGGAGGCTATGTGCTTAGAGTTTTCTATGATACATATTTATTTATTAAACTAGTTTGTGTTTTGATGCCTCAATCCAAGGGACCTCATCAATTGGTGTGATAACTAAACAATACTTCTATGGGGCTCAAACGCTCTGACCCCGAGCTCAACTCTCTCGAGAAAGACTTGGAGGAGTTTCGGGACCTCACCAATAATGAGTAGCTCACACTGTGCAGCTCCAAGAAATACGGATGGAGTAAGTTGATGTGAGATAAAGACGAGACTCAGTCTCTCACCAACTAGGGTTGGTGGCCCAAATCTTGGATAATATTTAGTGCTAGGCAGGCATCTCTCCCAATCGAGTTGGCAAGGCCAAACTTTTCCCAAAGCCATCGGAGGAGTGGCCCCCTAAAGAGACCAGCAGAGGCCAACCTTTGGCTCCATCAGGTAACCCCTGTTAGCAAGGGGATCTGGTTGCCAACTCATACCCCCACAATGGACTGCTTGACCATCACCAACCATGAGGAGCTCTGGAACCCAACCCTTGACAATGATTGAAGTTTCTCATCTTCATATGTTTCAACCCAAAAAGCTAGATTATTGTGTGGACATATATTTGTCCACCTATCGGCTAATGGCAGCCAAAAAACTGACAGAGACATGCATCAGCATGGATGGGAAGGCCCTCCATTGGCTCTAGTAGGTTGAATCTTGGCAACTATTCTACAGCTAGGAAGACTTAAAGTATAGGCTGCTATAACACTACAAAGATAAACACTTCAACTCCCTCAACCAACTGTTCCTCAAACTCAAGTAGTTGGGATCGGTGGAAGATTATCGAGGATAGTTCAAACTGCTATCCGATGTACTCCGCTGATGTGCCGGATGCTATTTTAGAAGGAAACTTCCTCAAAGGTCTGCAGTGGGAGATACATGCATAAGTGATCATCCTCAACCCACAAGACTTAGAGGTGATGATGTGAATGGCCTAGAGGATTGAAACCAAGCTGATGATGCTAATGAGCAGAGGTTAGAAGCTCAGAGAGAGGAACCCCGGTGTATGATGACCACTTGTTATGCCCCCTGCCAACCTCGCGAGCAGCTATGAAGAAGAATAGGGGCAGGGCCACCTATGGCAAGCACACTAGCCCCTGCAATTGGTGCCCCTCCGACAAATCGACGATGGCAGTACACCTCACAATGGTAGAAATCTAGGCCCAAAGGGGCCAAAGCCTCTACTTTCATTGCAATGAGAAGTTCGTGCCCAGCCATCGGTGTAGACATGAGTTGAATATTTTATTATCTCCTATTGACTCTAAGTATTGGCCAGATGATGATTAAGAAGAGGAGCTCTTCCCAATCCCTAGAAGACAATGAGACCATGATGTGGGACCAAAGAAGGAAAAGAGAGATATCCAAGACAAAAAAAGAAGTTAAGATTTTAGGATTGACCTTAGCCAAATGTTGGAGGATTGTGGGTAGGCTAATCTCATTGATTTTAGAAAATATTAGGATTGTAATTACTTGAGAAGAATATGTTTTCAAGGATTCAAATAGAGTTTAACTAGGGGTATTAAGATCACCAATAAAAACACAAGAGAGGGCTATCTTATGGTTCACTCAATTCCTATAAGGAGCAAGGATATACAATAATGGATGTCTATCTAATCATTGCAACAACTGTTGGATGGCTTGATAGGTTGCATATTAAATAGATATTTTTGATTGCATTAAGATTTAAACAAAAGAAAGAAGAAAATGAGTAAGTGAGAGAGAGAAAGAGATTTAATCTCCACATTCTCAAGCCTAAGATCTACATCCTTGAGCACTAAAGAGTGAAAGCTCATTGTGCTCAAGTCTTCAACGACTCTAAAGGAAGCTATGAATTGAATTATTTAGCATGTTGAATTATATTTTCTTTTTCTTTGAGGTTTGATGAAATCACAAAATTCAGCACAAAAACTTGTTGAAGCTCGCAGATTTAATCATTGATTATTAGAGCTGTAGGATATGATATATCTACAGAGCATAGGATTCAATATAGTGAAGGCTTGTTGAAGTAGTTGATTTAGTGTGCTTGACTTGTAACTTAGTGGAATCTACATTGTCCTTAGATATTAGAGTCCATAGATGAAGCTAGTATAAATTGTGGCTTGTGAATATTTATTATTTTTTCAGAAACAAAGAAAACCAAAAAAAGACCAGTTCACTCCCTTGTAGGACTATAGTGTTGTCTAAGAAAAACCAACAATATATAAGGGAGATAAAGTAATATCTATTGAATGAGGAATGGTGCTCATTGTTATCAAGATTAATGTTTCAACCTTCTGACTAAATGGACCATTAGACAATAATATTCATTCATATCCACATCAAGAAAAAAATATTAGAGTGGTCTAACAAGGTGACATTAATCATGCATTATTTAAATAATTTATTGATAATATTCAACCTAAGAAAGAATCATTACATACTTTTATTGACCATTTCAGGTAGATGTAAGGAGATTCATATTTTTTAAATAGGTGAAGCAATTAGTCTGCTGAAAAAGTTGTCTATTATGATAACTATAAAGGTCTTGTTTTGAATAAAATTATAAATTGATTAATAATACTTAAATTATATACATGAAAAATTATTTTAAATGTAACCAATACATTTCTTTAAATAAGCATTTTTAATTATGACGAATTTGGTTGAACTTATGAATAATGATGTTTGTTTTTGTGAATAATCTATCATGTGATGCCGTTTCATGGCATAAATGCTTGTAAAATTCGTATGTATGTTATCCAAAAGACATCAAAATTGAATTTGATATGTACTTTGGCCAAAATTTAATTGGTGAATGTACATGATGCTAACATCAATAAAAAGAAAATCACTATTTCATTTAAATCAAAATATTCTATTTTATCTTCTATACTCTTTGAAATAAAGTTTGCAGTGAGAATGGACTCTGTTAAATAGATTTGAAAATGATTTTTTTTTTTTTAAGATATAGAAGTTAGTTATACTTTTTCTTGTAAGAACCTAGAAAGATATTTCTAAAAGTATGCCACATAAAGTTTCGATCTTGAACTTTTAAAATATTTTAAAAAAATTCAACATTAGAGTTCTTAATGGTAAGTGATTATTTTAGAAGCAATCTCATTATCCACATGCATCTACAAGGTCATATCTCCAAACTATCATGCTAGCATTTAATGTTTACCAAGTGGACATTCCAAATGAGGTAACACCTTGATGTACAACATTTGTACTTCATAAGAGTCCATAAAATTTAGCGGAGAGTTCCTTACAAGAATGGAGTAACAGAGAAATACCACAATCAAATTAAGTGTTCATTTTTTAACCTGAAAAATTGCTCAATCCATTTGGGTTCTGTAAGTTGAGCTAATTTCAATTTTACTTTGATTAAAGAAAAAGATTAATTTACCCTTCCACTAACCCCTTCAATACTTAGGTGCCTCATTTCAGACTAAGAATTAGGTAGTTGAAGATACTAGATATATGAACGAAATCAGAGAAAAGACAGAGTCCATTGGAAACACATTTAAAATCTCAAACAAAAGGCTCTTGTTATCGTCATGCTCTGAAAACTCAATATAGATAATATATCAATCTTCTACCTAAAATGTAATCACCACAAACATTAAAAATATATCTACAATCACTTGAACCATCTGTTCCTCATGCTATTTCTATTTACTCTCTAGAAAATTCAACAACAATTGTAACACCCAAAAAACTAAATGTTATCTTTCAAATGGTTAATTAAAAGACAATATGAAGTAAAAACTTATTTTACTCATGTGGGCCCTTTTTAGTTCCCTTTAGTTATATGATAAAGCTTAATAAGCACAATATATAGTGGCGTCAATAGGTTGAAAATAGACCAATCGTAATCATAAATTCGTACAGGTTTGCATGAACCCATAAGTCCACCCAAAAGATGAAGCACAAAACTAAATTAGTCGGATAAAGCCCATTTAAGAAACTATAATGTGAAGCCCACTCAACCAATTTATTTTCATAAATCCTTTTTCTGATTTATATCAGAGACTCCCTTTCTCAGAACAAGTTTATTTCCCCATATTTTCTGATCCATATGTCGACTGCTGAACAGCAAATTAAGTATCACACCACAGTACTAGTTTACAGATTAAGCCCTTTAAAAAACTTCTAAAACCACAACCTCTTCCTGGATGACGATACGCACTCAGATCGATACATCAAACGGATACAGAGATGGGTGGCTGCTGGGTCTGCTCGCCTTCTTCGTTCTCCCCGGAGAGATCCTCGAGGGACCTCCCCTTGGACTCCGGCACCAGGAAGGTGAAGAGGAGGCCGAGCACGTTGCAAACCGCGAGCACGAAGAGGGAGTTCCTGACTCCGATGCCCGGGGGGTAGCCCCTGTCAGTCTTCGTACTGTCCTGGCTCTGCGCCGCGTAGAGGAACCCGAAGGAGCCGATGATGGCCCCCGCCTTGCCGCAAGCCGCCGAGATACCGTGACAGGTCGAGCGTAGCCGCGCAGGGAAGATCTCCGCCGGCACGATGAAGGTGGTGCTGTTAGGGCCGAAGTTGGCGAAGAAGAAGGTCAGCCCGTACATCACGACGAACCCGATGTGGTTGTGGGTCCAGTGGTTGTAGGGAATCGCCAGAGCCAGCATGAAGACCGTCATGAAGAAGAACCCCATGAGTTGGATGGTGAACCGGCCGATGATGTCGATGAGGCCAACGGTGAACCAGTATCCCGGCACGGTGCCGCAGAGGGCGATCAGGGTCTGCGCCCTCGCGATTCTGAAGACTTCCTCGATGGCGCTCATGGTGCTGGCCTTGGGGATCCACCCGATGGCGCTGAAGATGTCCTTCTGGAAGAGGTTCTGGCTGTAGAAGGCGATGTCGAGGAGGAACCACGTGGAGGTGGTGCCGAGCAGGTGGAGCCCGTGTCGGCGGGCGAACTCCTTGCTGAAGAGGCCGAACGAATTGTTATCCTTTTTCGTGATCCGCTCCACCTTCTCCTGCTCCTCGACTAGCTCCACATTGAGCACCTTGGACATGTCGGCGGCGGCGAGCTTGGCGTTCTTCGCAACCAGCGCCGTGTAGCGGGCGGTCTCCGGCATCTTCATCCGCCAGTAGTAGGTGAGAGCCGCCGGTACGGCCCCGAACATGAGGATGATCCTCCAGACGTAGTCCGCTTGCGGTACCGTCGAGCCCCGGGGGTCCTGCGCGAAGGGCAAGGCGTGGTACACGTTGTTGAAGGCGGCGGAGACGACGATGGCCACGATGCCTCCGGCGAGGATGCCGAACCCTTGCATGGAGAAGACGGCGGCGATGAAGGCGCCTCGGGTCTTCTTGTTGGCGTACTCGGACATGATGGTGGCAGAGAGCGGGTAGTCCCCGCCGATGCCGAAGCCGAGCCAGAAACGGAAGAAGCAGAGAGTGGCCATGGTTCCGGTGGCGCTGCTGCCAAAGGAGAGGCCGGATCCGATGGAGCAGATCACCATGATCACAAGGGTTATCCCGTACACCCTCTTCCTTCCCATCTTGTCACCGAGCCACCCGAAGAAGAGCTGACCCGACAGTGTCCCGCAGAAGGCGACGCCGTTGACGGCGGCGGCCACATTGGGCGGGAGAGAGCCGGGCCTGTCGGATCCTGCTTCGTAGTAGTAAATGCGACCGAGGAGCTTGGTGATGAGGGAGATGCAGAAGAGGTCGTATGCGTCGGTGAAGAATCCCATGCCGGCAATCACGATCGCCTTGAAGTGGTACAACTGCGTCTTGGCGAGATCCAGCGCCGTAAGGACCTCGAGCTGGTCCCCAGCCATGGCGGCCCTTTCTCCACCAAGCTTCTACTCACCTGCACGTAGTCGCACGTATCAGAATACCCTCTTGAAGCCTCCCAGATCGCCAAAATTTTCCAAGATTCGGAGCCGGTGAAGAGTTAAAAATCGCTGAAGGAATGCCTGAAGACTCTTGTACACTGATAACCGAAAGTTCACTCCGGCCGGTCGAGGTCATAACGAAACAAGAGAAATAAAGAGAGGTCAGTCAAAAACTAAAGTGTAGAAACAATTATCTTCGTTCTCTCGTTCTCTAGTTAAACTGGTGAACCCTGAGACATCCGGAATCCAGCATTGGCACGCTATGTGAAACAAGCCGGAGCTGTTTGGAAGAGCCCTCATATGATACGCTCCTCCAATTCTATCGTTAGCCGGACCGGAGGCACCTTGCCGAGAAGAATGAGGTGGGGGGGCGAGGCGGGACAACGATAGCTCACCTTGCGGAGGGAGAAGAGAGAGAAATTGAGGGCGGAGCAGGTCGAGGAACCGCTTTGAGGGGGATGTGATCGATTGCTTGGTTTGCTTAAGTAGGTATCCCCGACTGTAATATCCGGGAGCATATTCCATTTGCATTCATCATCTCTCTGCCCGCAACGTATAAACTTGAACATGCTTCGTCAACCACAGTTTTATAATCACCATGCCAGAGACCTTTTAGTTCCGGAATTTCATTCGCTCCTCAAACTGGCGCTTTCACTAAAGTCAGATCTCTGCGCTGGTGACCGCTGGAGGCCCTCCACGGATTTCCAAGCCCCCTCTCTTATCCACCATTGTCGGCCGCTAGCCAGTGGAACTCTCCGTTATTATATGCCCTCAGGCTGCCCTTTCGTCTACCTAAAAACCAGGGATATGACATTTAGTTAATATCTTTTTTCTCTTACAATATCACGTCGCCTTCAGGCAAAGTCAATAGAAAATCTCTCTTCGTTTCCAAAGCGTACGTGCTTAACAAAACTCTATTCACATCTCATCCATCGATACCTTTTTTGACAGTATGTTTAACCTGAGACTAAACAACTATGATCTTACTATTTTCATGCGTCGACGTTAGGAATCTGAATAGAGGAAGATAATGCCATGACCTGGTCCTATTCTATCGATGTCTCGGGCTCCAAAAAAAATCGGGCCAAGGCCTCACCTCAAATGGGTTCCATCTTACCTGATAACTTGAAGCCCTTTCTTATTCAGGTAGGGTTCTAGCCTACTTCTCTCCCCCCCTTCTCTCTCTCTCTCTCTCTCTCTCTCCAAGAGCTCTGAGACATGGTTTTTGAGCTTTCCTCTTGATCCCGTAATGTGTCGGGCCCTTGTCGAGCCGGGTCTGGCGGCGAGCCGATCCCAACCAATCATCATTTTTCGCCAGTTAATTGAAAACCATTTCCGCGTAGATTGTGTGGTCAAGAGTACCTCTGGTCAGCGGCCCCCAGACATTCCTCGGGGCTCCTACATCCGCATGATGGAGTAATTGTGTACCCGCGATGCTACCTTTTCAGCTGTCCTAAGACGCGCTTATCAGATATATCCCCTCTTGTTTAGACAGCACGATAGCTGATGTCTTGTCAACTCAAGCGAAAGAGGACATATTCGCCGAATAATCCGTACCATTGTTGACTTCGATTATCCTATTCCAAAAATTATATTTAATTTTAATATCGGATGAAGTATGTTCACGCACTGGCTGGATCATCGGTAAACACCCAAATTTTCGTTAATTTTGGAAGGTATTTTTCTAAGAAAAAGAGAATTATTTTCTTATTAAAGTCGATAGGGTGGACGTTGTGTGATGCCGTCACTAGTGATTATCGGGGCTGGGTCACCCGACCGTGGCGTGTCGTTGCCTAGCCGCAAAAAGGCCAGACCGTACTCCGTCTCTTGGGATGAGGTAAGTAGGCAGGAAGAGGTGGGAAAGCACCTGAACGTACAAGATCAGGGCTCTGAATGGTACGGCGAATGGGCAGCGCGCGCATGCCCGTACGCAATGATTTATAAACGATTGAAAGGGATGTCGGCGTGTGGACGCGTCTTTCGTAAACTGATTCCAAACCTTCTGTCCCTTACAAGAAAAATTAATCCTTGTCTCAACATGTCTCAAGAGGGAGAAAGGATGAACCTTATTCCGTCCGCTCGAGGAAATTATCCTCTTGACCTCAAACTGGAGGACAAAGTATTAGACGGTCGAGGGCGTCCTCCGCCTCAAACTGGACCAAATACAGACGAGAAGGCAACCTTATACGGACCAAGTCAAAAAAAATATCATTCTCCATGCCAACATATATTAAAAAACCGCTTGCATTAACGTTAACATTATGAGCATTTCTTCATATCCTTCTTATAACTTACGTTGAAGGAATGATAATAAAACAATGTTACATCTCAATTTATGTACATCATTAGCCTCCTCCATGTTATATTTGCTTAATTATTTATTGTTGTATCATTTCTACATAGACCAAAGCTTGAAGCTTGAAAATCTTCATAAATATTTATGGCTACAATTTTTTTTGTACTTTCTAGTTGTTTTGAATTGTTCGTTGAAAGCATTTTCATTTTGAAAAAATACTCATTCCATGTAAAATGATCTATGTTGATACCCTTGATTTTGATAATTAAAAAATAAAAGTTATTAAAAAATATATTTTTTATATTGGTGTTAATTTGTATGCTTCACTTATATAATTTAAGTACTCAAATTATTCAATAAATTAATCATATTAAACCCTTCGTCTACTTATTTTAATTTTAATTTTAATGAGTAAATCTCAAGGCTTTCTATCCTACGAAAAATTCGAAATAAATTGAATAAATATTTATAAATATAAGGTTAAGTATATGCAATTATATTTATGATGGTCTAATCATCTTGCTGCAGTATTTATCTATTCTATATTTATTTCCATATGATATTAGATATGTGTTCCAAGTCATTACAGGTTTCAAATCAATAAGGAACAAATAATAGATTGAAGATTTATTTTTGAAAAGTTTATCTTGATGAGGACATGGCAAAAGTATATAGATAAAAATTGAAGTAAAATCTGATGATCTGAAGCTGATGTGGATACCAAGTAATTTGTCATCAAGTTAGGAAACTATAGTTTAAATTTAAATTCAAAAGATCATAAAAATAGGGAGAATAAAACATTAGAAGGTTGAAGCATGAGAATTGTGTACTGTGAAAAATAGCAAGAATTTGAATAACTCAAACATCTAAAATTCAAAAAAGGTGAGAAACTAGTAAATGACAAAAGCTTATATTTAGTGATTTAGCATTCTTCATCACGATCTACACACTGCAGTGTCAATGACAAATTAACTATTTCATTACTCTTCATTAGCTTGATCTAGTAAATCAAACAACTCAACAACTATAACAAGTGCTCTGCATTAGGTCCTATGATAATTAGGTGGGGAGGAAAGAGTAGATTAGACAAGGTCACATAGTGCTTGTAGCATGTTTGGTCCCAAAATGGGCTAGGTCTTCATGACAACAAACTTGGGAGATTTAGGTCATTAATCCTATTCAAATTAATGTATACCTCTAAAGATAATAGTTAATACTTGAAGATAATTCTCTTTAGTGCTGAAATAAGTTGGATGAGGGAAAACTAGCATTAAAAATTGTGTTCTTGAAAACAAATCACTAATAAGCCTTTTTGTTATGAATAGTCTTTAGGTGTGTCAACACAAACAAATCTGAGTGAGAACCTATTTGAGAATCAAAATATTATCAACATTTTCAAAAACCCCAATTCACATCTTCTCTAGGTGTTTCAACTAGCTCTAATATTGTAAATATCCCTTCACATCATTGTACATTAATATTTTTAATGTTTTAATGATGATTTATTTAACATGCTGCAAAATCCTAAAGACAATTAGCCTCAAGTATATAATGATTTGTCATTTTTTACTTTCAACAAAAGAAATTGGCTCATATATACTAAAAATTTGAAACATTATAAATTAAAAAATAAATATGATGGATCACTATATTATAGTGACTAAATGAGAATTGTCAATGTTGATAACCTTGAGATCCCAAAAAGTGGAAATCTTAAAGCATGTTATCCTTGCACTCAACCCACTTATTTCCAAACATTCATAATTTCAAAGAAAATCTTAGTGCCTTCTTCTTCCAGGACTCATACCTTTATTCCTTTAGCCATCATCTAGCTCCAGATTTATATAAAAAAAGTAAACATTTACTACAAGGCTTCCCATAGACAATGGACTGTCAATTAAATATATGGTGGCTGCACACATGGTTATGAATTTAAGATTGATGAATTATCATTTTATTGAAAGGAAAACTAACTAGAGTTATGAATCTAGAACTAAAGAGGTGTATGTTCATACAATTATGTTAATATTTGCACTCAAGGTGAGTTTACAACTTTATGAAGTTACCTTTATAGAAGTAAAGTAGACTAGGAAACTAATCACTATAAAATCTCATGGTCTATTTCCTCACATAACAAAGAACCAACCCACCCACACTACATTCACCTAATGAATCAACTCACCTAACTAAATTTGATAATTTTTCAACTATCAGGGCAAACATTACACAGATTTCTAATCACATTGAGAATATGATCCGCTTCATTTGTCATGCTATTAAGAATATGCATGGAAAACTATAACACTAACATTATTAATAATATATATTTCGATTTTTTAATTAATAGGAAAATATGATATAACAACTAGAGAGATAATGAATTTCTCGTTAGCATAATTAAACTTCTCTTGGATCTTATTTTCACTTTTTTTTTCATTGTCTGAAAGTTGAATATTCCCAATGATTAGGAGTATCAATGGCCAACAAATAAATAGCACTTATTTAACAATGAAATTTGTAAAAATATAAATCAGTGTGGAAGACCATTAAAAACTTAATATATTAAGCACAAAAGATTAATTATAGGATGAAGTTCATCTAAGACTATAGGAAGGAACTCACTCTATCAGGTTATTTTTACGACCGACATTTGTGGGACAGAGCCCGTTTAAAATCAAGTTTATTTGAAAAGCTTTTGCGCTGTAGCGCCTTAATATCACACAGGGCATTGGAGGAGTAAATGGGATTAGACCCATTTGACTACTGAAGTTAGAACCTCTTCTTGCAATACAAGCAGCCGGATCCATGCCTCACATATGGAAAGTAATGGGTGGCCTCTCCTGATCGGTCTGCTCGACTTGTTCGTTCTCCCCGGAGAGATCTTCGAGAGACCTTCCCTTGGACTCCGGCACCAGAAAAGTGAAGAAGAAGCCGAGAACGTTGCAGACCGCGAGCACGAAGAGGGAGTTCCTGACTCCGATGCCCGGGGGGTAGCCCTTGTCGGTCTTCGTACTGTCCTGGTTCTGCGCCGCGTAGAGGAACCCGAAGGAGCCGATGATGGCCCCCGCCTTGCCGCAAGCCGCCGAGATACCGTGACAGGTCGAGCGTAGCCGCGCGGGGAAGATCTCCGCCGGCACGATGAAGGTGGTGCTGTTAGGGCCGAAGTTGGCGAAGAAGAAGGTCAGCCCGTACATCACGACGAACCCGATGTGGCTGTGGGTCCAGTGGTTGTAGGGAATCGCCAGAGCCAGCATGAAGACCGTCATGAAGAAGAACCCCATGAGTTGGATGGTGAACCGGCCGATGATGTCGATGAGGCCAACGGTGAACCAGTATCCCGGCACGGTGCCGCAGAGGGCGATCAGGGTCTGCGCCCTCGCGATCCTGTAGACTTCCTCGATGGCGCTCATGGTGCTGGCCTTGGGGATCCACCCGATGGCGCTGAAGATGTCCTTCTGGAAGAGGTTCTGGCTGTAGAAGGCGATGTCGAGGAGGAACCACGTGGAGGTGGTGCCGAGCAGGTGGAGCCCGTGTCGGCGGGCGAACTCCTTGCTGAAGAGGCCGAACGAATTGTTATCCTTTTTCGTGATCCGCTCCACCTTCTCCTGCTCCTCGACTAGCTCCACATTGAGCACCTTGGACATGTCGGCGGCGGCGAGCTTGGCGTTCTTCGCAACCAGCGCCGTGTAGCGGGCGGTCTCCGGCATCTTCATCCGCCAGTAGTAGGTGAGAGCCGCCGGTACGGCCCCGAACATGAGGATGATCCTCCAGACGTAGTCCGCTTGCGGTACCGTCGAGCCCCGGGGGTCCTGCGCGAAGGGCAAGGCGTGGTACACGTTGTTGAAGGCGGCGGAGACGACGATGGCCACGATGCCTCCGGCGAGGATGCCGAACCCTTGCATGGAGAAGACGGCGGCGATGAAGGCGCCTCGGGTCTTCTTGTTGGCGTACTCGGACATGATGGTGGCAGAGAGCGGGTAGTCCCCGCCGATGCCGAAGCCGAGCCAGAAACGGAAGAAGCAGAGGGTGGCCATGGTTCCGGTGGCGCTGCTGCCAAAGGAGAGACCAGAGGCGATAGAACAGACCACCATGATCACAAGGGTCATCCCGTACACCCTTTTCCTTCCCATCTTGTCTCCGAGCCACCCGAAGAAGAGCTGGCCCGAGAGGGTTCCGCAGAAGGCGACACCGTTGACGGCGGCGGCCACGTTGGGCGGGAGAGAGCCGGGCCTATCGGATCCCTCCTGGTAGTAGTAAATGCGGCCGAGGAGCTTGGTGATGAGGGAGATGCAGAAGAGATCGTAGGCGTCGGTGAAGAAGCCCATGCCGGCGATCACGATCGCCTTGAAGTGGTACAACTGCGTCTTGGCGACGTCCAGCGCCGTAAGGACCTCGAGGTGATCCCCAGCCATGGTGCTCCTTCCGCTTCTTTAGCCTCACTTGAAGCTTATGCTCACCTGCACACGGTTACATATGCCAGAATCCCGTTTTAAAACCAAATCGCCGAAATTTAGAAAGATATGAATCCCATGAATAGTGAAAAAATGGATGAGGGTTGTCTGCAAGAGAAGAATCTCTCGCATACTGATCACTAAAGATGCTATGAAAGTTTTAAATCCTCACTCTGACCTCTTTACGTGATAAGGAAACTAGAAAAATAAAGGAAACCCAGTAGAAAATATTTTTTGGAGAAACCCTAATCGGCTACCCGTCTCGTCTTTCTCGCTAACAAAAAAACCCTGAGTCCTCCGGAAACGGGGATTTTACACGCTCGCTGAAGCAACCGGGAGCCGTTTGAAACTGCTCTCATACCCTGAGTCCTCTAATTCTATGATGCGCAGGATTGGAGACACCTTGCGGAGAAGAATGGGGGGGGATGGGAGCAGCGAGAACTCACCTTGTGGAGGGGGGAAGAGAGAGAGAGAAGGCAGAGCAGGTCAAGGACCTGCTGTGTGTAGGGATGTGATGGATTACAGGGGTATTTAAGCAAGTCTTCTAGACAGGATTATCCGCAGGCATATTCCATTTGCATTGATCATCCCTCTGCGCCCAACGTATAAACTTGAACATCCTTCCTCTACCAACAGTTTTATATTCCCCATGCGAGAGCCTTTCTCGCTCGAGAATTTGATTAATTTTCCTCAAACTGGCGCTTTCACGAAAGTCAAATCTCCGGGCTGGTAATCGCTGGACTTTCACTGACTTCTATACCCTTCTCTAATCTCCTATGTTCGCTAGCTGCCACCCATCCCCTCCCCAGTTATGTGCCCTTGCCTTTGTTCGACTAAAGAGGAGGGGAAGGCGACGCAACATGAGAGCGAGAGAGAGAGAAAGAGAGGGGGGGGGAATATTGAAGCATTGATCCAAGGAGGATACGTTCGAGCTAAACAGAATTAATTACCTTTCCAATTTTTATTTTGAGGTTGAAAGCTTGAAAATTTTGACCAAACCGCTGACATCCCTCTATTATCCCTTCTAATTATAGATATTAGCATAAGTTGTTAACAAAAACATTATCAAGCGTTGAAACCAGTTGTAATCGTGTAATTTAGATTAGCTATCGATCAAGGGTGTGAACACGAAAGCGGCCCGTTAGATATTCTTTGAACATTGATGGATATCGATGTTGACTGTTTGGTGCGTGAAGACCTCTCTCTCTCTCTCTCTCTCTCTCTCTCTCTCTCTCTCTCTCTCTCTCTCTCTCTCTCTCTCTCTCTCTCTCTCTCTCTATCTATCTATCTATCTCGCTTATCTATCTATCTAGCTCGATCTATCCATCCGTCTCCATCTCTTGCAAAGTGCAGACCCACCGTTTTTATGCGACCTTTTTTGGGTTCTTCTCCATCCCGGGCCCAGCCGAGCCTCGTAGAAGATCCCTGGGCAAAAGCCGGGCCCGCCTGGATCCATCTCAATTTTTCGTAAGTACTAGAATAACCTCAGCGTCTAGATTCCGAGGTCACATTCAGCTGTAGTCAACGGCCAATCCACGTCCCTTCCAGCCGCTGCCTCGTCATGATCGGCTAATTTATGAATATAAGTGAAGATACTTGCCCAGCGGTCATAAGTTGCGGGCGCTCATCAGTTGTCTCCCCAGGTTTTCAACAGCTTATGGCTTGTCAGCAGAAGTGACAGAAGGCATATTCCACGGAATAACCGGTTGACTTTTGGATAACTTATTTCGCACTGATATAATTTTCTCTTTTTTAATATTAGGAGAAGCATGTACGCGCACCAGCCGGCCGTCGGCGAAGACCACTTTTTATAAAACATTTTAGGTCTACCTTTTACGAAAGTTGACTTTTTTCTTATCTTGTGACGTCACTAGTAATTCCGGCTGAAGGATACTCTGACCCGTGAAGTCTCTCTCTCTCTCTCCTTCGACTAGGATAAGTAGGCTTTGAAAAGAGATGGGAAAGCGCGTGAACAGAAAGCTGACTTTGGCGGCGGCGAGCGTGTCGTCGCATCGTTAATGATCTGATTCCATCTCCCCCGTCCCTTTCGAGATAATCCTTCCCTTCTCTCATTGCTATTTAGAATTAGACATTTGGGTTCACCAAATAGCGAGCGAGCGAGAGAAAGAGACAGAGAAACAAACAGACAAAGGGCCGTGCTTTGAACAGGAGGAAGAGATATGTACATCGAAACAACGTGTACTTCAGATACTCGTAGAGAGTAAAATATGGAAGCTGGGCAGGACACACTAAGAGGAGCTCCAACTGCACCGCGAGTGTTGGCCGCTCGGAGAGGGAGAGAGGCCGACCGGCAGCGGCTCTCTGGACGCTCGCTCCCTCGGTTAGGTGTAGATGGCGGCCAGGTCTCTGACACGCCGCAGGAACGACCGCGGCACCAAACCCACCGGACAAGGGCGTCCTCTTCGCCGCAATCTGCAAGATAAACAGCTAGTGGGAGAATCGGAACAGAGTAAAGGTGCAAGGGTAGAGAGAGAGAGAGAGAGAGAGAGAGAGAGAGAGAGAGAGCGAGAGAGAGAGAGACCTCATCCTAGCTACGCAGTGAGCGCCACTAGCTCTGAGGAGGTTTCTCCACTAGCTAAACTGAACTAATTACCTTTCCAATTTTGATTTTGAGGTCGAAACATTGAAATTTTTGAGCAATCCTTTGACCTCTCTCTATTATCCCTTCTAATTATAGATATCAGCATAAGTAGTTAACAAGAACATGATGAAGCTTTCAAACCAGTTTTAATTACCTAATTTAGATCAGCTATTGATCAAGTGTATGAACACGAAAACGGCTCATTAGATATTCTTTGAACATAGATGGATGTGGATGTTGATCGGTTTGGCACGCTAAGTCTTCTCTCTCTCTCTCTCTCTCTCTCTCTCTCTCTCTCTCCCATGAGTGAATAGAACGGGTGAGGTGGAAAATTTTCCGGTATTATCCATGCCTCGTAAAGAGATCTGGCAGGTTTGACAATTCGGATGGAGGCTTCGTTGTTGATAGAAGTGGCAAAGACAACGGCGAGCCTCTTCTCGCTTCCCAAAGGGTAACGTGCTCATTGATCTCTAATCTTCTCGAATGATTTTCTCCAAGTCTAGGTGGCATCTAAAACTATGGAAAGAGAACGATAATTTCTCTATAAAATTTTACTTCATCTTAGCAAAGTCAACGACAACTCTAGGTAGCTATCTTGGCCGTACATGCTTAAACCAAGTTTGGACAGATATAATCCTACTCTTCTATGTGCCGAGTCGCAGATCCTGTTTCTAATCCTTGCCATACTTTTTCAGAACTCGGGCTTAAAAAATCAATCCCAAGCCCGCCACAAGGGCTCGCACGGTCTGCCTGATATCAAGGCTCTTCTTGCAGTCAGGAAGGGGTCTAACCTCTCTCTCTCTCCCTCTCTCTCTCTCTCTAGCTTGATCGCTAACTATCTACCTACCTATCCATCTGTCTCCATCTCTTGCGAAGTGCCGAGCCACCGTTTTTATGGGACTTTTTCTAGTTCTTCTGGAGAACGGGCCTAGCCCGAGCCTCGTAGAGGATCCCTGGGTTAAAACCGGGCCTAGCAGATGGGCCCGCCTGGATCTACCTCCACCATTTTTTCCGAAGTACTAGAATAACCTCAGCGTTTAGATTCCGTCGTCACATTTACCTGTGATCAACGACTAATCCCTGTCCCTTACACCTCGTCATGGTCGGCTAATTTATGAATATAAGTGGAGATACTCGCCCGGTTGTCGTAAGTTGCAGCGCTCATCAGTTGTTTCCCCTCGTTTTTAGTACCTTTACCGTGGGTCAACCGAAGTGACAGAAGGCATATTCCACGGAATAACCGGTATACAGGGTTGACTTCTAGATAAGTTATTTCGCGCTTGTTAGTTCTCTTCCTTTCTAATGTTAGGAGAACTACGGTACACGCATCGGGCGGCTCATCGGTGAAGACTCACCTTTTTTTTTTAAAATAAAAAATTGAAATGCCACTTTTGCGCACGTGGACTATTTTCACATCAGCTTGACGTCACTGGTGATTCCGTGTTAAGATTTTCTGACGCGTGTAAGTGCGGGTCACTGGTGGGGCAAGAAGACCGTCATCTTTAGCTCTCTCTCTCTCTCTCTCCGTCGACTAAGACAAGTAGGCCATTAAATGAGATGGGAAAGCGTGTGAACAGAAAGCTAGTGACTTGGGCTGCCGCGGCGAACGTGTCGCCGCATCTTTGTAAAGATCTAATTCCCACCCGATCCTTCTTAGCTACTACATCAGTAAAGAGAGAGAGAGAAGTAGAGGATGAGACATTGGGGTTCATCAAATATCAAGAGTGAGAGAGAAAGAGAGTCAGGGTCGTGATTTGAGCAGGAGGAAGAGATATGTACATCGAAACCGTGTATTTTAGCTTCTCCAAGGAAGAGAGAGAGAGGGAGAGAGTAAAAGATGGAAGTTGGGCAGGACGCTACGAGGAGCTCCAACTGCACCGCAGGTGTTGGCCGTCTGGAGAGGGAGAGAGGGCGGCTGGCAGAATCTCTCGGGACGCTCGTTCCCTCGGATAGGGGTGGATGGCTGCCAGGTCTCTGACACGCCGCAGGACCGACTGCGGCACCAGACCCGACAATGGCTTCTTCTTCCCCTCAATCTGCAAGAAGAGCACACCTTCCTTCGTCGCTTCTCTTATAAACAAACAAACAGCAAGAGAGAGAGAGAGAGAGAGAGAGACCTCATTCTTGCTACGCGTGTGAGCGCCGCTAGCTCTGAGGAGGTTTCTCCACTTATCCTGAGAAACAGACATCGAATCATCATCATCATCATCATCATCTTCCATCTGAAACGGTCGCAGGTAGGAGAGAACCACGAGAGAAGCAAACCTTCAAATCGACGGAGGTGCGATGACCCGAGGATGAGAAAAGAAGCCTCTTTATCTTGGTCCATCGGCCGACCCCGTATCTAGAGACCCCCTCTATCAGCTTCATCACCTCGGCGAGGGTCCACAGCCTGTGGTGCTTCCTCCGAGCCACACACTTGACGCCCTGACCCGCCAGCGAGGAGCCGAAGGCGCCCTCGTTCTCCGAATCAGACAACGCCGACAGACCCCTCCCCGGCTTGCTCTCCGGACCGAAATGCCTGTTGCAGGAGCCCTTGACATCCTCTGCCTGGCCAGAAAACCATAGGCTGTTGTCAGTACCCATATAAACACTCTGAAATAGAGCAAGTCCTCTGACATGAGACCCTAGATCGGGAAGCTTTTTGAGAGAGAAAGTCAACTAGAGGCCAACCCAGTGGATCAAATCAAACGGCTGTTGCTCTATTCGATTTTACACAGAACATGTCTGTAGAATCGTAAAGAGCATATATATATGCAGATGCAGACTGGACAGCAGGAAGGCAAGGCAAGAGCTTCTCACCAGATGAGTAAGATTCTTCCTCGGCCGGCCTCTGCGCGGACGACTGGCGCAAGAAACCCATCCGCCATCTGAAGACGACTTCTCCGAGCATACCACTCCCGCCCACTCAGACCTCCTCCAGTGAACATGCAAGGCCTTATCTTGGGGGCTTGTCCTAGGAAATCTCTGCCTCTCGGTGCACAGTGTGCATTTGGCTTCCGACGATTCTTCAATATATCTCCGCGTGCGTTTCCTCGTCCTCTTCCTGGTCGAGTCTCCACCTTCCACCTCTGCAAGCCCAAAACCCGACGCATCTGAGTTCATGGTAACCACCTCGGCGTCTCCCTCATCGGTAGATGTGCACAGGGCGGCCTTGCCTTCAGACAGGACAAGGTCATCAGCATTCTCGTCCTCAGACGGCGTCTTCTTCAGACTGCCCGACGTGTGGTCCAAGTCGATCAGGCTGCTGAGCCCAACTAATATCTGTTGCTTCAGAGACTCCTTGCCCAGAATCGATGTGCCTCGACCGTAGGTGCTCCTGAAGGCGTCATGGAGTCCATGCGCATTCATGGCATCGGGATGTAAGGCGCTGTGATTAAACGTGTCATGAGGCTTCAGGTCGATGCTGTGAGCCAAGTGCAGTTTCTCATCAACATCACTACCCACTTCCAAGTTCTCGTTATATTCGTCTGGTCTTAAATTCTCCAAGAAGAATCTATAATCCAGGTGGGCAACTCTTTCTGCAAATCTACTTTCTGAAAAATAAAAATAAAAATAAAAAAGCTTAATTGAGTATTATAACCTCGACAAACAAAATGAAATTGATCACATGCGAAGCATCATTTTACCCGAAAGATAATCAGGGCAGGCATTAGATATATTCCCAATCACATGCAGAGTTTGTTCGTCATGTTGTTCCAGCTTGCCGTCCAGAACCTGTGAGGGCATTTGAAAGAGCCACGTGACTAGTGATTTCTATTAGAAAAGCTTAATTCGGGGAAAAGGGTAGACGAGAAACTAGACATCATTTCAATTGTGTATAAATACTGAAATATTCAGAGGGTTTGGGGCAACAATGGGGCATAAAAAAATAAATTTTATTTACTAATGAAACATGTACAAACTTAATTGCAGGACAAAGACTGTCAACAACTCATGGGAGGAGGCCCATTGGATTAGGATTCCGGTGAATCCCACTTGATAGGTTTCTTGCATTGAAAATTCATTCGTGATTTATGACATGGAAGCCCACTATCAAACGAAGCCTATTTGACTTACCTTGTGTGATGGATCCCCTCCTCTTAGGGGATGGAACCCATTTGAGGAGTCCAAAAGGCTCAGCAGTGAAACACTATTGATCAGGTTCTTGAACTGAAGAACATTCATGAAACACTATTGGGACGGGGGAAGAATCCAATTCACCAAGCCTCTTAGTTAAGACACAAATCTATGGGATGAAGGCCCATTCAATAAATTCATGGGATGAGAAATATTCAAATACATCTCTATTGGATGAGACCTAGTCGACAAACATGAGAGATGAAGCCATTAAAATAATGTCTATAGGATGAGGCCCACTTGATAAACTTATGAGATCAGACCTATTTAACTATGTAAATAAGATGAGGAAGAAAATGCTCCATCGACTATTGAACTCTAGACCCAACTACATATGCTGTTAAATCCTCAAGAGTTGAGCACAGCCCCACTTACAGTCTTTACTGAACCCATTTCCATTAGTTTGAACCATTAGACGCAATGCCCACGTTATGATTTATTGGATCCTGTAAACTGAGTACAAGATAGAATAAGCTCTTCAAAAAAAAATTGGCTGCTGATCCCCAAGCTCACATAAGTCCTTATTAAGATCTTTTGACAGTTGAACTCCGTCAGGCTCACCTTTCCTCTCATTCCTCTACCTACCTCTTCCTTCTCCTTCTTTTCTTCCCTTTTTTTTTCTATTCTTCAGTTATACTGCATGACTCCTATGCCCACAACAGCACAAGCATGGCTGACCTGAGCCAGTCCCCTTGCCCAGGCTGTGTGGAGAGGAAGTCTTGGATGTCACGTGGCAGTCCCATGACTACCCACGCGGCATCTGCCTCTCATACGGTCTATATGGACTAGGGATTTTCGGATTCTCTTAAGAAAGAGCCCTGAGAAGAAATCTGCGGATGTCTTTTCATTCATAAACAATGATATGATCTTTTTGGCATGGAATGAATAATAAAAAGTTCAGACGGACATATAGAAAAGGCAATATAACTTGAATCCCATTTTGAACATCCTGAACTATGTATCAACAACACATCACATCGAAGTGAGAAGAGTTCAATGAGTCAGTACCTGGCCTTGATTTTGTGCAGCCTCAGTAGTGGAGATGCCTAGATGTGAATCAGAAACATTCCTCAATTAGAAACCGAACAAAATGCATTTATTTGATTGCAAGATAATCAAATGTTTGCCATCGATTTTACCCATTAGAGTAATTTTATAAACTTTCCAGCGCGTATTATCAAGCCTTTTAGATTTTTTTGAATTTTAGAATTTAAGAAATTTTGGGGAGAAAGCAATAATTTTATGTCACCTAGTAACACAAGTGGACTATTGGTGGGAATCAAGAATTTCCACAAATTATCATGGAAAAAGGAGACTCATACATACCAACATAATCAATACATGCGTAAAGATATAAACTACCGAGAATAATAGTTCAATGAACATCAAGAAAGATATTAGCTCAATCCAAAGGTTCCTTCTCCTTTCTTTCTTAGAAGCAAAGTCGTTGATTATTCAAGAGAAAAGCTGGTTACGAGAGAAATAGATGGGAGAAAAAGTGCTAAATAACGAGTGTTAAATGAGAGTTAAAAGACAAAAAATGAGTGTTAAATAATAAAAAATTAAGTACAGATAGAAGCACGGGAACTCACCAGAGTCATTGTTCAAACTACAAAATTCATCTGAATAAGGAAAATCTTCAAGTGTAAGGTATTTATCCGTTTCCGTTGAGTTCATGCAGATGACATCATCCTCTGTGCCTCTCTCATACTTGGCGGCCTCTGCAAATAAAGGCTCGACGCCAATCACCTCAACTTCTGAAGGAAAAAAGGTGTCATCTTCCTTGACCTGACAGTGCATCAAGAAGAACAACAGTAAGGCCTTCTTTATCCAGAATACGTAGTGATTTCGTTTCTTAGAACTAAAGGAAAGAACAAAAAGTCAAAGGAAAAATCTTTTTCTTAGCTTTGCTCAACAAGCTCCACAACTAAATTTTAAAAAATTGAAATATTTCACAGTCATCCTGATCAAGTGATCATGGGATCATAAAAGAAGACGTAACGAAGTTACTACTTTATCTAAGCTTCTACTCTCTCGGTTCCTTCTTTCTTCGTACTCTAGAGCCATCGTTAAATCTAGTCTTCTCACTTCTCTTCCCAGCAATCCACTCTACTCCTTGTTCATGGGAGCTGTAGCTGGTTTCTTTTTTGCCCGTGCAACCGATCTCTCTGTTCATGGAGCTCAACCCATATAATCATATCTTTTACTGTTCTCCATTAAAAACCTAATTGCAGGGACTAAAGAATGGAACCTATTGCAAGTACCTTGTCCTCACTAATCTAAAAAATACTATACCACATCCGCTGGGCTCATATAGACGAAATGAATGGAGCGAGGAATTGATCAAAGAAAAAGTTCTCGTCCACATTGATGAAAGGTTAAAACAGAGGGTCGACTGCAAATGAGAACTGCAAAATATTTACCTTCCATGGCTGATTCGGCAAAGATATACTCGTCCACATTCGCAATGAAAAAATTTATTTTAGACAATCTAGATTGCTACAAATCCCTGACTGGAAGTGTGATCATGCAATGCTTAATCACACAAAGTCATAAAGAACTTTACCCAGGAGAAGAAACAGAGTATGTGAAAAGTGGATTAGAAAAATATTTATCCGAAGATGCAACCTTCATACAAAAGAAACTCTGGAAAAATGCAATCATAATGCTTACAATCGATTAAGTTATATTAAAGTAAGCACATACAATTCACTCCCCATATACAGCATCCCTCTCACAACGGCAGACAAAGATAAAGTGGCCACCGTTGAAACCGCCTCAGATACTTGAATAGGAAGCCAAAGGAACATAATAGGAATCAAAGTAGAGTAAGGAAAATGAAAACCAATGCCTGGGAACAGTAATCTAAGAGGAAACTCTGTAAAAGTCATGCATACAGTCTCCTCCGAAGTACATGCTCTGCTTTTATGGACAAAGAATGGAGCAACTTTCACCCCACAAATAATCAAACTAGGTCTCCATAACCACTTACAGACATCACCATTCACTTCCCCTCCGGAGGAGGAGCCACACATAATTCCATCACGCAGTCATTGAATGTGCCTTTCAAAAAACATGAAGGCACCGATGTCAAGTTGGAAAAAAAATGATAACATTTCGAATAAAGATTTTACTCTTACTGTGTGATTGAGTTTAAGCACTTTAGTAGGTTGCTCTTTTCTCATGACTATTTTCCATTCACATTACTGTTCCTGTATAAGTTCATTATGTAGATTTTGTGCTCACGATATTTTCAATGAATTGGGATGACATTGAGACAATCGGTAAATATTCGTTTCAAGATGAGATATTGCATCCTGATATGAACATTGAGACCATCAAAAGGTCATCTACTTATCATACCTAATGTATCCGGCCATCTTCTCCTTTGGTGTAAACAGCAAACATAGATTATTAGCCTGCCCACTTGATACTGTACGAAGGACTATTTTTTACTAGTTCATTTAATAAATAATATTGAAATAAGGATGTTCATATTAATACTTTTATCATTTCTGAGAAACTTAACAACAGTTTTACAGAGTCAATAAGGTCATATTGTCCTTTAAGTAGCAAGTCTCTCCATTGGAAAACCACTACCGGACTAGCCATTTGGCACTTTCTTTTAAGATATTTACAAATGCGTAGACTGGAAACTTCTTTGAAGTGATCTTCACCACGATATTTTCTCCAATTACTTTTGGTCAGCGTGAGGACGGTGGATCTAGCCAAGTCGATGTATCCCCATAAAATCTTGACCAGCATAAAGTAGGGACGAGATTAGCAGTAAACTCATACGCACATGTGATAGCTCATCTATTAGTGAGTAGAGCCAAATGAGCAAAGAAGTAGAAGGAAACTTACATTCTTGCATCAACCAAAGAAAATTTGGAAAATATTTTTAAATAGTTCTAGAAAGAAATCCCCAGAAATGCTGATAAAAAATACAACCCTTTGGCCAAAATAAGTGGTTACAGTGGGTGCATAAGAATATGTCCATCATGAGCAAATCAATAAGGTAGGTAATCAAATTCTAAAAACGTAATACAAATACAACTGGGAAAGCGAAACCAAATCTAGAAAAGAATAACACAAGATATCAAATTTGAAATAGTAACCGCTAGAAATAATGGTATCTAACAATTTTCCTTACCACTGTATGCCTACACGCAACATTGTTCCATCCATCTGTTGAAACTGAAAGTTGATCATCATGAAAGCTCTGCCGTGTCACACATTTTGCATGCCCATTTCCTGACATACTCTGATACAAACAAAGGAAAAATTTATCATGCAATCAAGAATGATCAGAAAAAAAGACAGAATTCCATCACTCAAAGACTCTTTTAGTAAAAAAGAAAAATGGGTTACACATCAGGAAGTCAGCTCAAATTAGTGGCATGAATAGGCATCTTCAAGCCCCATAGTGCTGACATTGCTAGGCTAAGCCTCATCAAATGACATTGAAAATTAAGAGAAAAATTTCACTGCAAGAAAATGTACGAAACCATCCAAAATGCATATGCCATATCAGCTGTCCCAGTCACATCAAATTTACCAAATTTATCAACGAGAAAACTTCTGAAATACTGAGAGCACTGAGAATCTGTCAAATAAGCTGTTATTGGATAGATAGGCGGGAAACATAATTAGGAATTTTTTTAGCGCCAGCTTGTGACGATCCAAACACAACACTGAATTGAGAGTCCAGAAAAAGCAAGCCTTTTAACACATCACGAACTTTTAAATATAAGATCCATTTTTTTTCTAAGAAAACAATACATCTGCCAACATCAAGGATGGTAAAAACATATTCTATTTTGACATCGACATAAGTCGCTCGAGATAAATTTTATATCCCTCTCGGATTCTTTTAACTTTTTATACAGTCATCTCCTCTGGTACAAATCAATGTTAGCATACATGTGTACATCCCAAGTACTAAACAAACATGAACAAAACAATCTCTTGGCTAACAATTCCAAAATGTTTACAATCATGATGAAATATTTATAATCTGCATATCCACATGGCTAGATGTTACCATATTAAGCTATAAATCAGATGAATATCCCGAATGTTCACGAAAAAAAAATCCCCATTATTAAACTGGAAATATTGATAGTTTTTCCATGGACTCATTATATTGAGGAATAGTTATTTCCCACCACAGCCCCTGATCATGGAAGTCAATGAAAGAAGACATTTTATAAGCATGATACACCCCTAAAATGATATTAGCTACTCTCAGAAAAATATGCCACACTCATATGCTACTACTATCTATCCTCATCCCACTACCATTGACATTGTTGACTCTCCAACATTCAAACTCCAACAGCCACATTTTTTATGGAAATCAGCAGTCTTGAATTCAAGCTACAGCCACAGTTCTGTGATCCAACCATAAAGAAGTAATCAAGAAAAAAACTTATCCATACTCATCAGTTCTGAAGGCTTTGGTAACATCAGCAATCAATCATCAACCACATACTATCGCCAGCATGAAATCCAAAAAAAAAGGGTTATAATCCTCCACGAACACCAACCGGCCTTGAAAATAAGTCATCAGGATTTTTTCTGTCCACTTACCTCCATTCTACTTGTAAGTTCATTTCTTCCCTTCTAGATTCTAAGTTAATAATAAATAAATAAATGGGAGAAAATTAAAAAGAAGCAATAATATGCCTCGAATGAAAAAAATAAAGGAAAAGCAACAAATACATTGTAAGACAACAGGATCACTTGCCAATCTGGCTTGCTAAAGATTAATTACTTACAGCATCAGTCGTGGAGAATTTGCTACAAAATGGGCCAACTGAAAAAATGCTTTTCCTGCTACCAAATATAAAAATTACTTGAAAAACATAGCGCAGCTTCCAGCTGATGGTACCACGGAACAAAATTATAAGAAGAAATTCTCAATATCACGACATCCTCATCGACAAAAGAAAAGCAGAAGACAGGCGCCACCGCCATCTAATCCTTCATCTCTTAAGAAACCCAGTTTGCCCCAACAAGCCGACCCCTGCCACCTCTAACAAAAGAAACTAAACCACCAGGAGCCCAGGTCACGGGCCCACCATCCAGTCGCCCACCTGTCAGTCAGACCGTTTACTGGTGCCTGTCCACACAATGTACGTACATGGCAGAGACATAGACCGGACCATTCCTGAAGAAGAAGAAGAAGAAGAAGAAGAAGGACAAGGACAAGAAGCACACTTGCTAAAATTAGAAAGTCGAGAAACCAAATATCCCGGTTCGCAGACATCTCGACACATCCGCGTGCCTCAACCTAGAAACAATCGCAGAGTCGAGACGGCACCCCACCCCGCCGAATATGAAGAAGAACCACCCACAAGAGAACAGGAAACGGACTTTGCAGAGGCATATTCTCCCCATATAGCCACCGTTCATTCTCAAGAACGCGTCAATTGAGACAGCACAGGAGAACGAAAAAACCACCACCCAACCAACAGCGAGAGACAGAGAGAGAGTATGGAAGGGAGAAGCTTACCATAGAAGCAGAGAGGATCTCCAGAAAACGGGGAAGGGGGGGAGAAGGGGCTGCTCCTGTTCGAAACCGAAAGACCAGAACTGCCAAATGAGCGCCACGGTGAGAGTGGGCGTGTGAGCGTTTGATTAAGACATGGAAAAGGAGACCTGCCGGGCCGCTAGCCTCCGGCGCGGACCCCAGACGGGGCTACCAAAAGCTACAATGGAATACAAACCTTTCGCGTCCGTCTACACCTTGTCGGAGTCTACTCTGGTTCTGTACGGAACGACAACAACGGCCTGATCGCCAGGGGAAGCTTGTCGGAGAGAAGCCTAGAGCCCTGGGAGCCCACTTTTTGGTATACGCTGTGATGTGCACGGACTGCGTGCGTATATACGGAGAGATGGAATCCACGTCAGCGGTGGTTGGTAGCACCGACTGCACTTCCAATAAATAGGGCCGCGGCCGTGTTCGACGAGCAACGGTCATGTCGTATCTGGACCAAGAAAGAAGCCCTCACCGTCGTGGAGGCGAATGGCGTCCATCCGCGCCAATCCGACGTCGCGATCTCCTTGATCGCGGAGAGGCGTCGGCTTGCGGCCGCCGGCGACCAGTTGCGAGCTGCTTGAGGGAGGTGCGTGGAAGGAGACAAGGTCACAGGAAACGAGCAAATAGAGGATGCGAGACGAGGAATGGCGGAGAAGCGATTCAAATTCTGAATATTCACCGGTATATTATACCTGGCGACGCCTTCGACGGATTCCTACGTTTCTGGTATTGGCGGTCATTCATGCTTAGTCCGATCCGCTCCCATGCTCCTTTTTACGTTCCGGCGTCTCGAGGCCGTTCTTTCTCCATCTCACTTTCAATTTTCGATCTCATTCTTGCGACTTACCTAGGTCTGACCAGGTTTCTGCGTCCAGCTTCCGCATCAGCGCTGATTAGATTGGATCTGTTATCTTCACGGATTTTTAATTCGTTTCCAGAGTGCGTGAGGATTTTTTCCTGTTTTTCTTGTTTAGATAGTCTTCGATGCTTCTAGGGTTTGATAGGGCGACGATTGCAATTGCGGGCAATAAAGCGTTAAATTATTTTTTAAGAATATATTTTTTGGCAGGTGTTCAAACATGTCCTGCTTCAGGGTGCCAGAATTGGAGGAAAAAGCATCCACATCTCTTGTGATATCATTGATGAAAACAAAGACAGTCTTTAATTCGTAATTTTTAAAAAAAATGTAGACGAGCAAAATTAATTTCTGAGTCACATAACTGAAGGCTCTTCAGTCGTTTCGGCCGAGGGTAAACAGGTTTTAAATCATGATGGCAGAAGATTCTTTCATCTCCAATCAGCGTAAACTAGTTATGAAACAGCCATCACTCCAGATTACAGAATCCAGAAAAAAATTGACAGTAGATGGCGGGTCTGGCAGTTTAATGGCCAGCCATCAATGGATTTCAATACTGAATTTATGTTTAGTGACCAGTCCATTACACCACAATGAGGCGAACATAAAAGATGTAATAGAGACAACAGAGTTTCACTACTCAAATGCTAGAATTCACCATGTTATCTAAAACTCATAAGCTAGAAAGTAGAGGGGAAAAACAACTGAACTCCATAGAGAAACGCCTTGTTTAGATTGACGGGGTTTGCCAGCCAAGAATATAATTTTCATGTAACTTTATTGCCTTCACTTTTTCATCCCAAGTTAAAACACATAGCATTCACTTTTAAGCTAAACTATAGAGGTGAAAGTCTTTATTAGAACGTCTCTTTGTTGAATTTTTTTCTCTCAGTGGATGGCACCCGTCTGTTTGAGACTTTGGTGTTTTTGTCAAATTGTATTAAATATGTTGAATTCCATTGAATTTTACCCTTTTCTTTTACTAAATTCCCTGCTCTCGACAGGTTATTCCATTGGTTTTACCAGCTTTTTCTGCCAGACTAATACTCTCAGAGCTAAAAGAATTTAGAATGTGAATAATGAACTGTTGTTCTGGTTTAGTAGGGAATTGAATGCCAATACTTGCATTATTCAGGAGCACCTGGTGCGTTGGGTCGCTGCCCATCACACGAGAACTCTCAATGTTGCCAATGATCTGTCCTTTTTTTTCATCGATTTTATTTGCATCAAGGCATATGACTCCTCATGGAGAAGATGAGCATCTTCCTCTAGCTTTTCTGTCAAGGTAGGTGATTTCTCCAAAACATGCACTCTTTTATCATATGAGCTTAAAAATTAGCAAAAACGGAACGATGAAAATAGACTTTTTTACCATGATGGGTAGTATAAATTCACTAAGTAAAAAAAAAAACAGAGGCATAGGAAAAGAATATTATTAGTCAAGATATGCACGCTTGCATCATTATGCTGCTCCTAATACCCTCGAAGAATCCTATGGAGGATAGTCTGCCACATCTCTTAGCCTCCATGAACTGTGCCGACTGGCTACGGATCAATGGAGAAATCTGTTGTTGATTATATTCATTAAGGTTGGCACCTAAATTGAGATGAAAACACCCTACTTTGCATAATTTTCATTTTATTATTGCAGTAGTTCATTGCTAAATATAAATCAGAGTTGGATTCTTGCGAAAGGAATATGTCCAGTGCTAGCCGCGCTCCATCTTCTTCATTATTTTCATCTTCGTCTGTGTCATTTCCTCCGTCGATATATCCCTCGCATTTGAAGATTGCAGAGTCCTCATTGATTCTGACATCATCATTCTATGATTCTCAGGAGCTGGTGTGGTTGGCTGACTTTAGCTAGAGATGATGGATCTTGTGCCGCACTCAGTTTTGAGGTTTTGGGTTGAGCGAGAGTAGGAAGGAAGATAAAGGAATATTTGCCAGAAAAAGAAGTCAATTCTGTGAAATCAGAAAACCAGATGAACAGAGCCGTCCTCCAACCAAGGAAACACCGGAGGGCGGGGGGGATGGTGGATGAGATCAACTCTGCGAGACCGACGAGTCCTCCGGCGATCTGCGCTGCTCCTCCTCCGGCCACCGCGGTTCCTGCTGGTCTCCCTGTTCGTCGCCCGCCGGAGGGCACATCAGCATCGACGTGTAGTAGGGGACGCGGTGGAAAGCCCCCCCCCCGGCGGAGGAGAACAACTCCACGGCGTTTACAGGGAAGAACGCCGTCGGGATGGTGGCGATGATCCCTCCAACCCGTCCCCCGGCGGCGCCGCCGGGGGAAGAGGAATCCGAGCAGGTGGTCGCCGCCGCCGCTGGGGCGACCCCCGAGCCGGTGGCGGCGATGATGGAGGGCTCGGCCTGCCGGAGGAGCCACTCGATTGTCTCCCCGTCGGAGCGGTGCCCCAGCTCCCGCGTTAGCTGGAAGATCCTCGCCGCCGTCAGCGCCGGCATGCGCACCCGCCGCCCGCGCCCGTTCACCTTTGTGTGCCGGTCCTTCGACGTCGACGACGAGATTGACAGCCGCCGGCCGGCGCCGGCGCCGGTGGACGGCCGCGGCCGCTGCGGGTGGAAGAGGACGGGGGCCGGGCTCTCCGCCGCGGGCGTGGCGGCGCCGCCGGTGGCCGTGGCGGTGGTGGTGGTGGCCAAAGGACTGTACAGCGCCAATTCCGAGTCCATCATGAGAGAAAAGAGGGGAAAGCGGGGCCGGAGGAAGAGGAGGGGCCGGGGGGGGAGGGCCGCCGGCTAGGGTTCTTATAGGATGGACCTAGAAGTGGACTCGAGGGCCCAGAGTCGGATTTGATGTGGTTAGGGTTTCCTAGTCAACGTCGTTCTCCTGCTGTGGAGTCATCATCAGAGGGTTAGACTGCGGCGCCGACTGGATCTTGATGCGGGCCCAGCCCGCAAGCCCCGGCCCATTAAAGCATTTGATTTGAGCTGGTGGTCCCCACAATGATTGAATGCCCGCGAGGGCCGAGCTCAAAGGTGAAATCTGCTTTTTACAGAATTGTCCTGTTCTTATTGATTACTAGGTTTTCAGTCTATAAGAAGTAAAATTATCTAAATACGCAAATTCTGGGAGTATTTGCGTAATAAGGGTTTTCTTTTGGGCGGAAGGCGATCGGCCATCGTCTCTCGAAGCATCCAGAGCCCGCGAATCTTCTGGAAGAGCTTTTTGCTTGTAATAAAACCAGAAACATCGCTTCCTCGAGTCACCTCTCTCTCTCTCTCTCTCTCTCTCTCTCTCTGCTTAGCACTCCGAGTAGGGAGGAAAGATGAGCACGGCCAACTCGGTCTCCGCCTCCATTGTTCGATCGCCTCGCCAGGTTTTCATCTCTGTTTCTCTCTGCATTGCCGTCTGTCCCCTTCTCCTGTTGCTCCATTCTCTTATCCTCCCTCCGTTCGTGTGTAGGTAATTGGTGAGAAACGGGACAGTCTGAGGAGAGTCGTCCAGGGGCGGAGATCGCCCTCGGCTCGCAGGCTTGTAGTCCGTGCTTCCAGCAAGGAAATCGCCTTTGATCAGAGCTCTAGGAGCTCCATCCAGGCCGGTATCGACAAGCTTGCCGACGCCGTCGGTGTTACGCTCGGGCCCAGTGGTGTGTATACATCTAAGCTTTCTATTAAGCATGCTTTGGTTTCCTCATTCGACTTCAACTGGCGGCGAGTTGTGATTCCACCGTCACCTCTTTTCTTCCCGTCTTTATGCAATGTGAGACTAACGTTCAGATGTCTCGATCTTTGAAGGGAGAAATGTTGTTCTCGACGAGTACGGGACTCCTAAGGTTGTCAATGACGGAGTTACCATTGCCCGGGCCATCGAACTCCCCAATCCCATGGAGAATGCCGGTTCTGCCTTGATCAGGGAGGTGCGATTTCTTGTTTCCTCTCCCGTTTCTTCTTCCATCTTGGCTACTCGATCATTTCTTCGTTCTTCTTAGATGTGTGAAACTTCCCTGAAGTTCTGGTGCTCTGTGTCGCAGGTTGCTAGTAAAACAAACGATTCGGCAGGTGATGGGACCACTACTGCATCGGTGCTCGCGAGAGAAATCATGAGATTGGGGTTGTTGAGCGTTACATCGGGTGCAAATCCAGTTTCTGTCAAGAAGGGGATAGACAAGACTGTCCAGGGGCTTGTAGAAGAGCTCGAGAAGAGATCTCGTCCAGTCAAAGGACGGGACGACGTCAAAGGTACCTTGCATGAAATCGGCATCGACTGGATGAGACGTGAATCTCATCTGAATTAATAACTCTTAATTCCGTCCTGCAGGGGTGAACGAATGATAAGTTTGTTCGATAGTTTTTTCTTTTTTTGTTCCCATATTTTTTTGGTTCAGAACCATCAACTATGAGCATCTTACTCCAGGATCTCCTTTTTGGTCGATCGAGCTCACTCTCAGATGAATGTTTTAGATATGGCAAATACCCATGAAACTAGATAAAAATTACTGAAGAGCATTCTCACCAAGATCTGATGAAAAGGATGGCTTCCCAGAATGTTTTTGAAGCACAATAGAAGAAACACGAGATTGACTAATTGTCCATTTATCACTAATAAACAGAAAATTCTATTGCAGCTATTGCCTCTATCTCTGCTGGCAATGATGAGTCCGTGGGGACTATGATTGCCGATGCAATCGACAAAGTTGGCCCTGATGGAGTCCTCTCTATCGAGTCCTCATCCTCTTTCGAGACTACAGTTGATGTTGAAGAAGGAATGGAGGCACGTTCTTATCTCTCCTAACCAACAACTTCCGTCCATAAAGTCTGCAATGATCTCCCTTCCCCTGACGTTGGTGTTTGGGATCGCGTTCGCAGATTGATCGAGGTTATATATCTCCTCAATTTGTGACGAACTCTGAGAAGCTGACTGTTGAGTTTGAGAATGCAAGAGTTCTGGTGACAGACCATAAGATTTCTACCATAAAGGAAATAATCCCCCTTTTAGAGAAGACGACGCAGCTGCGCGCTCCGCTGCTCATCATTGCAGAGGATGTCACCGGCGAGGCCCTGGCCACTCTGGTTGTGAACAAGCTCCGAGGTATCCTGAACGTCGCTGCTATCAAGGCACCTGGGTTTGGTGAGCGAAGAAAGGCTCTTCTTCAGGACATCGCCATTGTCACAGGTGCGTGCAGAATGATTGCCCTCTTTCTTTTTCAAACGAGAGATAATTCGCCGACTATGCATTTCTTGTCTGTAAATTTCTTTTGAATTACGATGTTATCTTCTTTCTGATAGGCATCTTTTTTGGCCTGCAGGGGCCGAATTCCAGGCGAAGGATATGGGTCTGTTAGTGGAGAACGCCTCCGTTGAGCACCTCGGAACAGCCAGAAAGATCACCATCACCCAAAACTCCACCACCATCATCGCAGACGCAGCGACCAAAGACGAGATCCAGGCTAGAATAAGCCAGATCAAGAGAGAACTCGCAGAGACGGACTCCGTCTACGATTCTGAGAAACTCTCCGAGAGAATCGCCAAGCTCTCCGGCGGAGTCGCCGTCATAAAGGTCGGCGCGGCCACGGAGGCGGAGCTGGAGGACAGGAAGCTGAGGATCGAAGACGCCAAGAACGCCACCTTCGCCGCGATAGAGGAAGGAATCGTCCCTGGCGGCGGCGCCGCCTACGTCCACCTCTCCACCTGCGTTCCGGCCATCAAGGACAAGCTCGAAGACCCCGACGAGCGCCTTGGCGCCGATATCATCCAAAAGGTACGCCGTTTCCCAACTTCTCACCAGTCCTTCTCAAGTCCGAGCATAAATGCACAGAGAGATGGATGGATAGATAGATGCAGAGAGAGAGAGAGAGAGAGCCGATTGTTGTTGGTGTGATGGTGATGGTGATGGGTGGTGTCTGTGACAGGCGCTGGTGGCTCCGGCGACGCTGATAGCGCAGAATGCGGGGGTAGAAGGGGAGGTGGTGGTGGAGAAGGTGAGGGAACGGGAGTGGGAGGTGGGGTACAACGCGATGACAGACGAGTACGAGAACCTGGTGGAAGCAGGCGTGATCGATCCGGCCAAGGTAACCCGGTGCGCCCTGCAGAACGCGGCGTCGGTGGCGGGGATGGTCCTCACCACCCAGGCCATCGTAGTAGACAAGCCCAAGCCCAAGGCCCCCACCCTCTCCTCCCCCGCTCCCGGCTCACTCGCCGTTTAGGGATCCCATAGAGCCCAAATGACGGGGTCCAGCCCTCCCCCACACGGTAACCAAGCCAGAAACGTCCAAGTCGGGTTCTGGACTTGGCCCGGCCCACTTTTTCTTTCTTAGCGCCTAGTCAAATATTGGCTCGTAGAAAAGCAGTCAAAGTTCGCAGAGTATCTCTCTCTCTATCACCCAAAGCGACGTGGGAGTTCTGGATACATCTTTAAAAGAAAAGAAACGCCTATTCTGTTCAAAGGTCTGTGAAAACTGCTCGGACTTCTATGGCCGCCCACCCTTCTTTTCTCTTTCTCCTTCTCACATATGCTACACACTACACTCGCCGCGGCCTGTACAAAACCATGGCTTATTCCAGAGCACCTACCTATCTACACGGCCCAGAAAACTGCTCTCTCTCTCTACTCGTAACGGATATTAGACTCTCCCTTTCTCATGTACAGCTAACTCTTCCTCAACTCCCAGTAATCACCGGGCCTTATGGCGCGCACGACGGCATCCTAACGCGCAGCTCTGCAGAAACAAACGGAGCACAGCAGCCCCCAAGTAAGTCAACTTAGGCCCGGCCCATTAGGCCCAAACAGAGGGGAAGAGAGAGAGAGAGAGAGAGAGAGGAACTACCCTACCTCCGGCGGCAATGACCTTCTCCACACGGGAGGAGATATGCTTCCAATAGGTGTACTTCTTTAGGGAGCTCACGTGAGCCTTGATCCGCGATAGAATCACCTCCCGGCTCCTGTCGTCGCACGTCTCCAGGGCCGTCTGCACCACGTAGTTCCCAAACTGGTCCTTCATCATCGCCTGCGCAACCCCCCCACTCTCATCTGAGTTAACGTGTCCTCCAAGGGAAAAGCAAAAACAGAAAACGAGGATCATCGCGCACCACCAAGGCCTCGTTCTCGTCGGTGGACCCGAGCATCTCGTTGACCATGCGCCGACGCTCTTCGGGCGTACCGAAGGTCAAACACTTCTCCACCACGTTGGAGGCGAATTTCTGTTGACTCAGAATCTCAATTTGACCCGCGAACCTGTCGATTATAGCTGATCGCTCCTGCCGGCTCCCCCGCTGTAGGACGTGCTGATGAAACAAGCCAAGCTCCGGGTCAGTGACATCTAACGATCCTAGGAAAGCTAACGATCAAGCATATATATATATATATACCTGGACGACGTAGTTCCCATATTGGTCCTGCGCCAAGGAGAACACAGCTTGCAGGATCTCGTCCATCAGAAGGCTTTGACTCTTTGCATCACTGCAGTGCTCCAGAACCCTCTGCCGGGCATTTTTACAGGGGGCGGAAAGCATCAGAGCGCGGCGCAGTAAAAAAACCGAAAAAAAAAAAAAAAAAAAAAGATGTGGGAGATGTGACCTGGATGACACGGCAGCCGTACGGATGAACGGACAGCGGCACGACGTGTCCGTGAAACGCAGATAGAATGAACTGAATCCTGTCCTGAGGGACGCGCTCGATGCACTTCTGGATCACATGGTTGCCGTTCTGATCGCAAACGCATCTCATGACTGACCCTTGGAGTTCCGACACCAACTGAGTTTGTTGATCCACGTCGGTGACTTCCAGAGCCTGTTATGTGAAGAGAAACTCATGCACATGATTACCCGACGTCGAGTGACAAGATGCTCTAAATATATCATATTAAATTCGTGTGAAGTATCTAAAAAATGCAAGAGGAACCCGATTTAATAAGGAATAATATGCCATACGACCTAGAAAAAATGTCTAAAATTTGTCTAATGAATGAAAGTTATGCGGAACAACAGCACAAGATAATCTGGTTTTGTTTCTAAAAAATAAATAAATAAATAAAGCTTCATAACTGAAGCAAAGTTGGTGAAAAATGAAGTAAAGATTCGAGCATAGTAGATTCTGACCGGTAATCTGGTTTTGTTTCTAAATAAAAAATAAAAAATAAAAAAATAAATCTTCATAACTGAAGCAAAGTTGGTGAAAAATGAAGTAACGATTCGAGCATAGTAAATTCTGACCGATAATCGATGTAACAAGGAAATCATGGAAAGCTTATGGGGTTGACGACTGCACCTTCTGAATCACCCTACAGCCGTACATGTGAAGGCTGAGAGATAGAACATGGCCGGTGAGTTGGCTGGCCAGCTGCTTTCTGTGGTTCTCGTCCCCGTGCTCGAGAAACTACCCATTCAAACGTTAATAAAATTGTTTCAGGGAAGCATTAATGCGGCATATTTTCCCCAACAAGAAAAGGAACGGCCGGAGGAAGAGGATCGTACTTTCTGTATCACATAGTTTCCAAAGACATCTGTCATCAGAGCTCGAGCATGAGAAAATATCTCCGGAAAAATCTTGTTTTTCCCCTCCAAAGATGCAGTTTCTAGCTTCTGTTGTATAAATCGGCTTCCAAATTGATCAACGCTGCATTAGAAAATTAAATTAAAAAATATATAAATTCAGCAAGTTGACCCATACATAGCATGGCCTAAATTTTCACAAGAAAAAATTCCAGAGAAAAAGAGTACCTAAATTCAACAGCATGGCCTACAATGCTAGAGAGTTCAAAATTCTTCGACCTGCTGCTTTTGCACTCCTCCAGAAGAGATGAAGGAAAGCACTCTACCCTGGCACGATATTCAGAATTCCAGGAGCCCATAGAAATTCCGGCGCTTCTCATTTTTGGTGGGAACTGCTGAGAATGTTTATTGCCTTGCCTCACAGGACTTACCTGATCCACTGAAGGAAAAATGAAGCTAGAGACGGAATTCGACGGATATTGCACGCGTGGGTTGAAAGCACAAGTGCCATAGTATCCGCCATTAAAACCACCTGATTTTTCTACGAAAGGTATCTCATACTGGGCTGTGTGATGCTCCTGCATAGCCTCAAAACAGGCCTTTTGATATTCAGATATACTCACGTTTGAAAAATCCACAGGTTTCCTTCCTGAATAAGGATCGCTGAAGCTGGCAGCAGCATTTGGGGGTACACTGCTTGGTTGAAAATGCTGAGAAAATAATGGATCCGTACAAAGATCCTGCATCCCATATTCACTATGGTTTTCACCTGCCAGACCATCTGCCAAAAAAAATCATGCAGCAAGAAAATTAATGAAACGAGTGAAAACAAGATATTTTGAAAATATATATATTCACGATAAATAAAATAAAATAAAACACCCAGTAGACATAATATTACCTCCATAGATCTGACCGTTCGTCAGTGATGGCAACCTCTGACTTGAAAGGAAATTGTTTGCATGACTCCCAGAAAAGTCAACATTTGTAAGTCCATGGTTGATTTGAGAATCGTAATTGTACATGAACAAATTACTACCTTCAGCTACAAGTCCATGGGATAAGACAGGGATTGAGGAAACACTTGACGAATCAACTTCAGGCTTATTCACGTTCTGCTGCTGAAAATTTTCGCTGTCATAGGATATACTGCATACGTAATTCGTTCTGCCAGAAATATCTCGAAGAAATGCTTCCTGTACACCATTGCCATCATGTAACAAATCAGATAAAGCAGATGCCATGTCGTTCTTATCAGCCGCGGATGTAGAGGCATTACTTGATGGAAAATCGTCCCTCCCTCCAAAAGTAGGCAGACAGGTGTTTGAGGATTTGCCAACAGCTTGCAGTTCGGGAGTTGTACTTCTTACGAGGGATGAACCCAAAACAGATGCAAAAGATTGGGAAGCTGGCGAACCAAGTCTCGGGATATTAACGAGCCTGGAAGAACTTCCTTCTTCTGATTTCAGTTTATCCATGGCTTCCAAGCTACACTGAAAGTGAGCTTGAGGGACGTCAATCTCCCCGACCTGATCATTCCCTATCGCCAGCCGTGAGACATTATTAGCTACAGGAGGAGGTTGCCCAAGATTCTCCTGCGATCATCAGATTGTTATTGCCAGATCATAGAAAACATACAAAAAAAAATCCCTTCGACGGACAGGTATGGACGTATGTACAAGGCATGGCACATCTGCGCAACGGAGAAGAGAGACGATAATAGGTACGTACCTGCAGTACATCAGCGAAGCTCCTAGTCTTCATTCCCATGCCATTGCCAGGCAACCCAATGAAAGAGTCGCCGCCGCTTTCAACCCATTCCCCTGCTGGTTGCCGAGCTGAACTAGTCTCAGGCACCATCATCGGCTCCGTCAGCCCTCCACACGCGCGCCCCATTTGAATATCCGGCTGAAGCGTGAACAATGAGCAGCTGTTCCCATCGCTAGCCCCACTGCCTATGGCCTGCTGCCTCCTTTCACCGATCTTTCCATAGGCGGACGTCCCCACCTGGAACCTCTGAGCCATACGCCAGTCCTCTTTGGATAAAGCCGGAGGGGGAAGCCTCGGATTCATGTTCCCGTTCGAGTAGTAATAAGACAGGTATGCCGGATGAGACCTCATATCTTCCTCGGATACCGTAGCACCAGAGCTATATCCGTTCATGTCAACGGCATGCAAGTTACCAAAGAGGCTGCTGACGGCATTGCGAGACCCCTCCACCGACGGCGGCGCACTGCCGCTGCGGATTATATTGAGCTCCCTCTCCCGTTCGGCGGCGGCAGCCTTGCCCCGGCGCTGACGCGGGCTATCCCGGAGCAAAGCTTCGAAATCATTCCCCAAATCATCCAGGTCGCCGTCGCCGTTCGCCAGAGTTGGCGGCGGCATCCGGCCATTAGCCGCGGCCATTGTCGAAAACCCTAACCCTAGCCAATTCCTCCGGAAGAAACGCAATGCGTGCAGCGGCCCCCGCCCCTATAAATAGCAGTTACAGTCGGATCACCGAGAGGCCGAACCCCCCACCCTCAAGATCTTCCCCGTCGATTCGACTCGACAGGCGACCGGCGCCAACTAAGACGCCAACTCACAACGAATCCTTAAAAATGGCAGCCGCAAGAACAAATCAGGAAAGAGGCATGGGAATCGCGGGATTCCCCAGGCGGCCGCCGCCCGGCAGGTTCTCCCGTCTCCTCCAAACGCGGACCTCCGAGCTGAGCACGCGCACAGAGAGAGAGAAAGAGAGAGAGAGAGAGAGAGAGAGAGAGAGAGAGAGAGAGAGAGAGAGAGAGAGAGAGGAGAGAGAGAGAGAGAGATTGCAGGGCGGACGGAGGCGATGAGAGGGGAGAAGAGAGAACAGGTGGAGACATGAAATGGGGAGACGCAGAGAGAGACAGAGAGAGAGAGAAGAGTCCTCTTTCCCTCCGATACTATGAAGCGATCCGCGACGTTAGATCGGCATCGGAGGGCTGCGCGGCGCCCGATTGGTTCCATCCCTCGGAAGCCGTTGGCCGTTTGGGCCCTTCCATCTCTGTAGACCTTCCCGTTATGGCCGCGAGGGAGGGAAACCGAAATCGGAGGCGGTCGGCGTGGGGCCCATAACCGAACGACATGGAAGCTCGGCCCATCCACGTACCCCACAACGACAAAAACGCTCGCTCCCCCGTCCGACGTGGCCCCACACCAAGACCGTTGGTAACCGGAAACGCGTCGCGGCCAATCCACCTGTAAAGGCTAATTTGCCCCGCCCGGCTCAATTAGTAGCCGCCAGATATTTGTGGGCCCACTCAGCCGCTAAGCGTTGACTTAACGCCAAACGTTGACCTAAAATTTTTATTTTAAAAAATCTCGTGTTGACTTATTCCCGGAGCTGAGGGTGGGGGTAAAATTGGGAAAGTGTTGAGGGACCGCCGTTCATCGGCGGTGGCATCTCTCTGTTCGTACATCGATGGGATCTGAGAAGGAATGGCGTAGAAAGATAAATAAAAGAAACTCAGGGACCGACGGGCTAACACACGAATTATCGGGGGGGCGGGGGGCGATCAACCCTCTAAACTCTGTATAATCCTCGAGACCGAGGAGACCGTGCCTACGCTGGAAGCCACGACCCCCACTACGATGATGAAGATGCAGACTGACCCCTGGGAGAAGAGCGGAAAGTCAACGCATTTTCGATTTAATAATTCCGGATTTATCGATCTTTTCGGGTGGAGGAAGCGTACCTCTGTCCAAGACACTCTGCCCTTGAGAATGCTCAGGAAGCAGGCGCACGGGAGAATCAGAGTCTGCGGGATATAGAGTCAGAAAGTCAGCCTCAGTCTCCAGGTCAACGGCTGTGAGGGATTTGATCGTGGCTCTATAAGAGCTGTGAAAAAAAAAACTCACCACGAGCATGGTGAGGAGGGATCCGATCAGCGACATCACGAGCCCTGAAAAGCGATTAGAACGCCGATTAGTGGGAGAGTTTGACCGACGCGAGGAGGGCGGGGAGGATTACCGAAGAAGGGCACCGAGAGGGCGACGAAGAGTGTGGAGATGACCAGAGCGGATCTGATCATGATCGGATAAGCGTGAGACTTGAGGCGGTTCGAGGGTATCAGCTCCTCCAGACTCAGCGCCAAGGGGGTGAGAGTCAACGCATATGTAAGCCTCATTAAGGAAACCGAGAGAGCGTTGACCTGAGGGACCGTACAAAAGAGGGATTTTGGGGGAGGGGGGGTTGACTAAAAAGGATATTTGGTTATCGGGTTCACGACCTGCAAGACAGAGAGAAGGGTTCTGGATTAATTAGATCATTAACCTTGTAATTATTTTCTAAAAGTGGAAGAAAAGTCCTCACCGTTGTCCACACGGCAACATTGGAAGCGACCAGCTCGTGGGGCATGTTGAGGGTGAACTGAGACTCGGTGGAGTCCCCGAACATCATGTAGCCCATCACAGCGACCCCCGCGAACATCACCGAGCAGACCGCAAATCTTTTATAAAAGAAATTATTGGAGGAAAAAAAAGATAAAAATGATATTTTTTTAGGATAATGATGATGGGAGAGAGAAAGAGCTTACGTGGTGAACACGACTGAGGAGTAGTGGTCGGGATTCTTGAGCGAGGAGTAGATGTTGGGGAAGACGGCGTGGCCCGAGAAGCAGTATCCGTAGAGCCCGAGGGCGATGGGGAAGCCCTTGAGGTCAATCAATGTCCCTCTGTGCGTGAATCCGACTTGGTCAACGACCCCGACCCAGAACAAGCACGCGACCACCATTATCGAAGCAATGACTCCCCCGACTGCAGACACAAGGAAGAACTACTGGAGCATGCCCATGGGGAGATGATGTCTCGATTCAGAGAACCAGCAGAGATCGCGTCACCTGAGATGTAACTGAGGAGGCTGAGATCGCGGAGCCAGGTGGTGGGGAGGACTATGAGGGTGGTCATGATGGCGAAGATCAGCTTGGCGTTGAGGTGGAAGCCACCAAGGTCGAGATGGACGTGGGGGAACAGGGAGGACAGGTTGTCGCTCTCTAGAATTATGTATTCCACACAGCAGCCCTGGAAGAACAACAACAGACAGACGAGATGTGATGCTCCGTTCATTGATGCGAAGTGTGCGTTGGAGTTGATCAGAAGGAGTGCTTACGTAGAGTTCGACGTACAGAACAATCTGCGTCGGGCAAGAGAGGAAGAAGACGAGTTAGCTTGGTGGCGCAGAGCTCGAATTCACTCACAGAGAGATGACGGAGTACCGATATGAAGACACGGCCGACGGTGCCGAAGGCTGCCTGGCCGACGTCGGGGTAGGTCTCGAGGCCTGGTTCGCTGTCGATGCATCTGCGGAGGAGGATGCCGGTGTAGCAGGACAGCACCGCGAATACGAAGAGGACGAAGAGCCCCACCCAACCACCTTCTCTGATCGCGTACGGCGTGGACAGGATCCCCACCCCGCAGAGCACGTTCATTCCTGCACAGAGCCAGAGAAGCGCGAGCCACGGCGGCCGTCAGAAGGATCGATCGCTAGGGTTCATCTTCTGTCTCCGCATGTGAAATAATCAAAGTAAGCCTCAAACTTGATCGACAGCGGGCGGCATGGGCGCATAGATAACGATACATTTATTGTTTTCTCAACAGATGTAAGACTGTGGAGACGACGGCAGCCCCCCGACCTAACTGAGCTCGCTCTCTTTCTCTCTCTATAGTGAGTGGGAGACGGAGAACCGAGCCGTGGGCGTCTCTGACCCCGCCGCACTGTACAGGTGACTCATCTTCCATGTGCAAATGCCAAACGACACATGACAGCGACAGAAATCCATGAGATGGAGGACAGAAGACAACTGGAGATCCGCAATATAGAGACAGAAGAGAGATTAGAGGGTATACCGCTCTAGACTTGGGTGCATACCGCTCTAGAGGAGAAAGAGAAAAAGGCCCACGACAAACGATGCATTTTTTAGTCTCCAGAGCTAGTGATGGAGAAGTAGGATCCCCAATGCCGAATGAAGGAATCGAGGGCACGGAGGGTGGAGGCGTACCATTTAGAACCGCTTGGCTGTAGGAGCACTGGCGGGAGGCCGATGGCAACTCCTGAGAAGATTTGGCGGTCCTGTGCTTGGAGGGGATGAGGGGGGGCAGCAGCGCGTGGGAGCTCCGCCGATGGTGTCTCTCCTGCTCTGTAGCTGGTGCGGAAGTGGGTAGCAGAGGCTTGATGAGGGACGATATGATCTCTGGAGTGTGCTTCCCCCTGAACGAGGTGCTGAGGAAGGAGCTGCTCAGTCTGGTCAGCGTCGGCGTCCCCAGAAACCCAATTGTGGGCGGCGTCACGCTGCTGTATATATCAATGGACTGCCTGCATAGAAGGATCGAACACGACGGCGACGTCAGAAAAACCAGTAGATCCGGGAGATTTCAGGATTTTCGATATCATGATCGCACCTTCATGTTCATATATTATATCATGAGAATTGATGAAACAATAAAAAAATATGGCCCTTTTCACTGCGTTTGGGAAAAAAGTAAGCTCGCGGAGGATTTCTTCTGTTATTGGGCTGGACCCCCTCTTTTTGTCTCTTTAAGACAACAAGTACCTCCATCTGCCATACTTCCATTTAATACTGTCGACAGTGGGGCCCGATCGGCGTGCCACGTCAGAAACCCTGAACTCCCCTTAATACCTTCTAAATGATTATGCTATTTAGTGGGCCCACATTCTCACGAAGAAACATCTGGATGGGAACCTCGCTCCAGCGCGTTCTCCTCGGATCTCGAAGGGTTGCAAAGAAAGAAGGCCGTTCTCGGCTGGTAGTCCCCCCCCCCCTCACCTTGTTCATGGCTGAGACAGCCGGCTAGAAATGGAGAACTAGGGAACCCCATCCCCATCCCAGATCCCCTGACATTCTTCCTCAGGGGAGACGGCGCCATTGTGCCAGACGGCCGGCGTTTGGAGAGATCACGCCGGAGAGATGACAACGCTTGCCGGAGGTTTTCTTCGTATCATCAGAGTTTGGAATCTACTTTACCTGTAACTTTGGGGCCAGGAGGTGGTGTAGGAGTTAGGCCTGCTCCGGCGGGGGCTGCCGCAGGAGGACGACTCCGACGGATCGGAGTCGTAGCCGGCCTTGCTTCCATCCTCCAGAACGCCATCTTCCTCCTCCTCCTCCTCGTTGACGACGTCATCGTCCACGTCGGTGTCCTCCGCATACAGGTTCCTGTCCGATACCGAGTTCTTCATTCTTTCTCCGCCTGCAGGCCCTACGAAGAGGCATCGCCGGTGCGAGGATTGAGAATGACTAGAAACAAAAAGGCACTGGAACGAACAAACGAATGGAACAAAGAGGTCGATCTGCTATTCCATATGCGCCATCTCGATAGGATCTGAGGAAGAAGCGGACACGATGAACTTTCTGCGGCCATGAAGATCTAGGAATGCCAATCAGGAGAAACCGAGAGAAAGAGATAAAAAGAGAGAGAGGCTACAGGAAGTTACTCCTCCCGCTGTCTCCGATGTCCCCTGCAACCGCGTCTCCCAAGATCGGCGGGGATCTGTAGGGGGAAAGAGAGCGAGAAGGGAGGACGGCCTTTTCGGCGAGGTTCACTCACTTCCAGACTCGGGGGAGATTCGCGATGGAGAGGAGGAAGAGGACCGCCGACCTAAAAAGATAGCGACGATGGGGTACATATTTACCAATAGGCCCAAAATTTCTTATTAAATTGATAATTGACCCTTCCCCAGGCAGAATGCAATTTCCATCCCCGCATCCTTTATTCAGTAAACACGGACGAGCCATTCCCCGTTTTCCACCCGCTCCTTTTTACCTTTACACGTGGAGGACGGCAGTTTTTATCCCCTCCCCGGCGGTCTAGTTTGACGAATTATCTCTGCCGCTCAAGCCCCACGGTGGGGCCCACACATACGATACCAAAACCAGGGGTAGTTTAGTGGGTCCACCCCCCCAACATTAGTTCATAAAACTACTGTTTGGGATATTTTCTGCATCGAGGGAACGATGGTAAACCAAAAATAATAGAGCCATTTATCGACAATTTCCCTGATTTCCCAAAAATACCCTTTTCCCAGGGTCAACGGCTGGGATTATAATTTCCCGCCTCCCGGAATTTATCGATAATTTCTTTCGGAGCGGTGCCAAGGTTTCTAATCATGGAAATACCGGCGGCTGTCAAAGCTTCGACAGTGGGTCCCATACATGGAAATACCCTTCCACTTGCCTGGATCTTCCAACACTCACGTACCCATCATAGTATCGTCACCTTCGGTAACTCCACCACTCTCTCTCTCTCTCTCTCTCTCTGTGACTGAAATGTATGGGCGGTTGAAGCGACAAGTCGGGGTCCGTGTCCCAGCGCCATTAAATAAGTATTAAGGGAAAATATTGGAAGATGGCATTTTAACTACGACTCGGATCAGATTATCGGATCTTGACCAGACGGAAATCCTGTTGACAGTGGCTGACATGGACAGGTGGGCCAGACATGGTGACGGTTCGCTCGAACGAGGGCCGTCCGCTTGCTGGGAATACGGTATTCTATTCTCCGAGGAAGACACGACAAACGACCCGAGATCGGCTGACTGGGTGACGAGATTCGCTATTTGGGGCCCTGCTATTTAATAGCTACAATTTTAGAATTAAAAAAGGTGGAAAAAATATTTTTTTTACAAGCGAAGCAGGGAATATTATTAAAATAAATACGTCAAAAAACAATTTTCATGAATATAATTATTAATAAAAAAATCCTATTTTGGTCAAGATAGTGACTTGCGGTTGAAAGAATTTTTTAAATAAAATGAGGCCGAAAATTTTCAGCCTGAAAAATATGTTATTTATTTATGTATTTATTTCTGCTCTTTAATGAGCTTCCGAGTAGGATGACTGTACGGAGAATAAATAAATGCATGGCTTCCGTTCTCTTTGGCTATACATTTTCGCATAAAAACACGGCCGAGATTGATCGAATCGTCGAGACGATTCACGACACGTTTTTATTGAAGAATAAAAACAAGTCGAGGGGGCCATCGCGGCTGTGCTATTCCCCTCTGGCGACGGCGACCAGGCCAGGCCGTCTGCATCTCCCTGTATACGAATCCAGGAGATTCCCGGGCTCAGCAAGGACGACAATAATCATGCATACAGAGAGACAGAGAAAGGCACAGAAGAGAGAGAGAGAGAGAAACTGGAGCATGACGATCATCCTCAGAGTCTTCTGCAACAGGCAAGTCCCAGAAGAAGAGACCAGTGGAGGTTCTGTCTCATCGGACTATGTGGGCTCAGAAGTAGACACCTCTGTTTTCAGGGGAGGCACAGCGGAAGACGAGGAGACTCCACCGCCTCTCTGCCTCTCTCTCTCTCTCTCTCTCTCTCTCTAGCTATAAAGGTCGTCGTCGTCTGCGGCGGCGCCGGCGGACCCGAAGGGCTCGGCGGCAGCGCCGCCGGCGGGAGCCTCGGAGCGCTCGGAGAAGCGGAACTCGGTGCCGAACCCCCTCGACTGCTGCAGCGTCTGCGCGAAGGCCTGGTACTTGCGGATGTCGGCGTCGCTGACGCTCCGGCGAGCGTACTTCATGGATTCCTCGAAGTGGACGGCCTTGATCTCCGCCACCTCATCCGCCACGTCCTCCTCCATCGCCTCCGGGTTCTCGCTCCTCCTCTTCTCCCTCTCGATATCCTGCCCCCGCAAGAGGAAGATTAACCAGAAGAAAAACAAGAAGAAGAAGAAGAAGATGATGATGATGGTGATGGATTACCTTCTCGATGTTCTCTCTGATGGCGTACTTGCAGGCCCGCTGGCAGATCTCGGTGATATCGGCGCCGCTGAAGCCCTGGGTGTACTTGGCGAGGGCCGAGAGGTCAACGTCCTTGGCGATGGGGGACTTCCTCAGGCAGGCCCTGAAGATCTGCAACCGCGAGGCCTCGTCGGGGAGGGGGATGTAGATCAGCTGGTCCAAGCGCCCGGGGCGGAGCAAAGCCGGGTCGATGATGTCTGGCCTGTTGGTAGCGCCGATGATGAACACCGTCTTCTTCGCCGTCATCCCGTCCATCTCCGTCAGCAGCTGGTTCAGAACCCGGTCGGCGGCGCCGCCGGCGTCCCCGACGCTGCTCCCTCTCTGAAACAGAAACAGGTGCAGGTACCCGGTGAAGAACCGATCGGGAGGGATGATTCAGTGCGAACAATGGGAGCGAGCGAGAGATGAAAGAACCTGGGTGGCGATGGAATCGAGCTCGTCGAAGAAGAGGACGCAGGGGGCGGACTGTCGGGCTTTGTCGAAGATTTCACGGACGTTGGCCTCGCTCTCTCCGAACCACATCGTCAGGAGCTCAGGGCCTTTGACACTGATGAAGTTGGCCTGGCACTCGTTGGCTATGGCTTTCGCTAGGAGGGTCTTCCCACACCCGGGAGGGCCGTAGAAGAGCACCCCCTTCGACGGAGACATGCCGAACTTCTCAAACTTCTCCGGGTGCTCCACTGGATACTGAACAGTCTGCGAAGAAGAAGAAGTAAGTGACAGAGACTATGGGTGGATGGTGAGAATAGAAGAAAAAGAGCAGCTTGGTGGCTGGATTACCTCCTGGAGTTCCCTCTTGACGTTCTCGAGGCCACCGATGTCGTCCCAGCTGACGTTGGGCACCTCCACAACCTGTTGACCATCGAAATGGGTTCAGGCCTTTTCCCAAAAGAAGCAAAAGATCCACCAAGAAGAAACGCAGCAGGAATCAATCATGTGGGGGCGCCGGGAAACTTACGGTTTCGCGAAGGGCGGAGGGGTTGCTGGTGACCAGAGCCGTCTTGAAGTGCTCGTTGGTGACGGCCATGGAGTTGAGTATCTCAGCGTCGATCGTCTCGTCCTCCAGGTCGATGATGTCCATCTTCTCTCTGATGCACTGGAGAGCCGATTCGGTGCAGAGAGCCGCCAGGTCGGCGCCGACATAGCCATGGGTGTCCTTGGAGATTCTTTCCAAATCAACCTGCGCGAGGAGACACAGCCTTCAGCTTCTCCTTCCAAGCTTAGTTTCGAAAGAATCAGGGAGAGAGAAGGCCTCCACAGGTAGACAGTAAAGGGGAACCCCTACGTCGTCGGAAAGCTTCATGTTCTTCGTGTGAATGCGGAGGACTTCAAGCCGTCCGATCTCGTCCGGGACGCCGATGTCGATCTCCCGGTCAAACCTGCCGAACCTCCTCAGAGCTGGGTCGATGCTGTTGGGCCGATTGGTCGCCCCGATCACGATCACATGGGCCCGAGACTTCAGGCCGTCCATCAAGGTCAACAGCTGAGAGACGATCCGCCTCTCAACCTCTCCATGGGTCTTCTCTCTCTTTGGGGCGATCGAGTCGAGCTCGTCGATGAAGATGATTGACGGCGCGTTCTTCTCCGCCTCTTCGAACGCCTTCCTGAGGTTACTCTCACTCTCTCCGGCCAGCTTCGACATGATCTCAGGCCCATTGATGCAGAAGAAGAAGGCCCCCGTTTCGTTTGCCACCGCCCGGGCAATCAGAGTCTTCCCAGAACCCGGCGGCCCGAAGAGGAGGATCCCTTTTGGCGGCTTGACACCAATCGACTTGAAGAGCTGAGGGTGCCTGAGAGGGAGCTCAACGAGCTCTCTGATCTGGGCCATCTGCTTCCTCACGCCTCCTACATCATCGTAGCCAACTTCATCGAGCCTGTCCTCATCTTCCCTCTTTACCGGCTCCCCCTCGCAGAAGATCTCTGTGTCGGGGGCGACCACGCAGTACTCGGACGGATCAGTCTCGATCACCTTGAACTCCACGCTCCTCATGCCTCCTCTCACAAGGAAAAGATCCCCCTTTCGCAGTGGACGGTATGCTTCCAAGAAGTAAGCTGTAACAGAAGAGAAAAGGATGAATCCAGTGACTGATGGGACCCGACTCGAGCAAAGAAACTGGGCAACCTACAATACGGAAGGAGTAGAGGGCACCGGACGTCTTGCCCAGACCATCTAAGGCCGAAGGAACTGAACTTTGTCGTAACCATTTTAATCTAAGGAGGTGGAGAGAGATTTTTTTCCTTTGGCTGGAAATAGGATCAGAGGCCAGATGGTTTTCCAATGTTTGTCTTTCAAGACTCACGAAAGATCTTCAAGCATGATCTGGTGAAGGTAGGTGAAGAGTTACTAGGGCAGGGGCAGCTCACTTATGAGGCCTCGACATGGCATTAAAGGGTTAGTAGGCCTGAGAAAACTGGAGCTCGTAGACTTAAAGGGCTTTAAGCCCACTAGCCTTCTCCACATAATATCTAAAATTTTCTAAAAATTGCCAGCTACTAGACTTGAGAGTGAGATTAATACAATAATTACTAGTACCCCCACAAGTACCTTCATCAAGGGCAGACAGTTTCAGGGGAGTCCGTAGTAGCATGGTGAGCTTTCAATTAAACTATTTCTGTTGACATGTAAAATGGAACAAAGACCAACTTATGGCTATCAGAAGACAACTTCCAACTAAAGGCTATTTATGTATACCGTAGGGAATGAGGAATTGAATTGGGAGGGCAGGGAGCCACCTCCACACGTAGATAAACATGTCTCTTGAGGATTTAGAGTTGTTTCTCGAATATCTTCTGTTAGGAGATCCAAAACCCACTACACTCGACCGATTCAAAATCACTAATTTTTGCACATTTAATGTAGAATTAAATGTAGAATTAGATTCAGACATGAAATAAGCACATAGGATGGAACTAGTACATCCGTTCATATCCTGGACAAAAGTTTGAGTATCTCCTAAATAAGGAGCAAAGAGCTCATCCCACGTGTAAACACCCTTTCCTTTCAAATTCTGGGAAGGAAACATTGCTGCATTTTAGGTAACATTATCATATCCCCAAAAATCCAAAAACAATGGTTGGCAGCAATACAGATTCTACGATATACAATCTAAAGGGAAAAGAAAATCCAACTATCTAAGAAAAATAAAACAGTTTTGTCAATCCTCTGCGAAGGCATACATGATGGTTCAGTTTAAGTCCATTGTTTGCAGAGGAATCCCCCCCATCAATCCGATTTCGAACCCACCCCCCACCCCCCCACCCCCCTTTCTCTCCCTCTTCATGATTTTTTTAAAATGTGAATAACCTAGAGAGATTTCAATACTGTTCCACGAAAACATCTCAACCATAAGTCAATCGTAACCCTACACGTATGCATTTTTAAAAACTCGACAATATGTAGGAACAAGCTTTTGGGAAATTATCATAGAGATTCGTGATTCTGAGTGATATGTTTCAAACCGTAATTCGAAAGCAAAGCCATTGACTAGATCACATAATGCATTTAATATCAAGGACAGATTACGTAAAATATCCAGGCCGTAATAGTCCACCCAAAGATTCTTAGCATGTACAGTGAGTTTTTTCCCTCACACATTAGATACTTTGAAAGAAATATGGTGATGGATAAAAACGTTTTGATAGCAACATGACGAAAGTATTCTTAACTATTGATGGCTATGAGTACCGCAAAGGAAGCCAAACTCTGCTAACACTGTGCGATCATTCATAGAAAAAAGAAAAAAACAAACTAACCCATATAAACTGTCTGGGTAGGCAACGTGGTTGATTGTGCCCAAAGGCATATATGCCTATTGGAAAGTATTTTTCACGATGAAGGTAACAGTGAAGAGCATATTATAATATAAAACCCCAAATATCACACAACGGAAAAAAATGACCTCTTCTTTATGGGGTGCTAAATAACTTAACCTTCTTTTTAACAAGACTTGCAAATCGGTCAGCAGGAGGCATTGACAAGAGACGTCCAAAAAGCTACACAACTGATGATGAGCACGAAGCACAAATATGATTGAGTTTGACCATGTAGTGACAAGGCTGATGACACTCTCAATGTATGTTCAACTAAACATGAGATAAATATGTTTACAGTTTCCATAGATGCAATGTGCATGCATAACGCACGAGTAAAATGTCATTAAGAAAAAATAAGGATAATACAAAAAAACAACGAGAACAGTAAACTCACGTTTCAAGTATGCATCAAAAAGATTCCCGGTTATTCCCTCAATTGTATCGTCAAGAGGTAATATATGAACCCTTTTTCCATATTTGACATCTTGGCACTGATGCACTGAAATCACATCACCAAGCCGAACCCGTAGATTGGATCTGACAACTTTATTCATCCTGATTTTTGGTTCCTCACATGTATCATCAGCAAGAGCGATGCAAATAGTATCCTTTCTCTTCTTTCCCTGAAATTAACCCAACTTTTTGTTTAAATATGAAGATGGCATATAGAAATTAAACGCCCGATTCCCAAAACATGGAGAACCGATGAAATTATTTTCTCAAGGTAACAAGCACGAAATTAAAATGAAAAGGAAAAAGGTATGCTCCCATGCAAGTGCTAAATCGAAGATGCCCAAATTCGTCAGGATATTGAAAACATCAAGATTGTGAATGGGAGCCGTTGAAGTGTTCCAGAAACCGGCGAAAGCTCCATTCACGAGGTACATCCCACAAAGCAAAACTCTTCACCATTTCGTAAGCTCAGACGTTTCAATTTATATCGCGTCGTCGATAAAAGATACAATAAATCACCAGCTAAGGGGAAAAAATAAAACTAACCACGGAAAAATTGAAAAAGAATCAAACCCAGCCCTGCCGAAACCCAAGGTACTTGAAACCCATAAACCCTAGGTTTTTTTCCTTTCACGCGATTTAGCATGACAGAGCCTCTGATCATTCCAATCGAGGAAAATACGGTAAAATTGGACATAACGGAGACAAACGCCACTACCTTGATGAGTACTGTGTCACCCCGAAATAGCTGCAACTTCTCCATCGTTTCCGGGTGCAAGGAAACCACCGAGTTGTCATCATTGAGAGCCTCATCGACGATCAGCCGGTTCGCGGCCTTCTTCCGCTCCAAAATCGCCGTCGAGAAGTCTTTTTTCCCCCCTTTCCTGAGAAGGAACACCCATACGGTCCGGATCGTAAAGAAATTCGACGACAAATCAACCAAAAACTTAAATAAGTTGAGGGGAAAATCCGCACGGATCGGAAGCAGCCGAGGATGATTCTCCCTGGTTCGTCATCTCGGAGAGGAGTACAAACGAACGACGAGAAGCAGTGACGAACAGATTGGAGAGACCAAGCGATCTGGGATTTTAGGTACAACGCCCCTTCTTTTTATATAGCTCTAGTCGGTGGAAGTCTGAGAGAAGGAGAGGTGGGGGGGGGGGGGGGGGGGAGGGGGTAACATCCCAGCCAACCTCACTGGAGATCTCAGGGATGCATTGGCCGTCTGATGAACCTACCTAAACGGTGTTCTCATCTCGAGTCGCACCCATCGGAGGGCTGTAATTGTCCATCGTTGAAATGTGAAGAGCGAGCTTGGAATCGGATTTGTCGTTTGCTTCCTCTCTCCTACCAAAGGAAAAGCGTCGCGGCATGAGTTTCTACTCGCAATCGGCACCATCAGACGGTTGGTTTTTGCAACGTGCTAAACTTGAACGGCAATACCCACGTCCTGAGCCAGTGGTCATAACGGGCCGAGCCGTGATGTCATGATGGGCTCCCCCACAGGCCCAGTATGTGTATATATATATCTCCCTCTCTACTTAAGCAGCTACAAGATTGGTGAAGCAGGACTAAATATGCTCGATGGACTCGTTGGGGGTGGCGCCGCTCCACTCTCTGTACTCCTCGGCCAGCCCCCAGGGGCTCCGGAGTGGCTCCGGAGGCCGCTCGGCAGCAGATCCGTGGAGGCACCGGCGGAAAAGCTCGTCCACGAGGTCGATCCGTTTCCAGAGAACGTCCCCATGCGCTACTAGCCTGGGGACGCCCGACCTTAACAGAGGCCGGAGGAGAGCAGCATCGCGTTCCTAGGTCCGGCGGAGGACCTCGGTGGAAGATTCGGTGACGTTTCTCAGTCTGGAATCCCGGATGTCGCTGTGGAACGCGCTCCCCGTCCCCGCTCACGATTGCAGGTTTTCTCGATTTCCTTGCTGCTACTCAAGAATATATGCCATGATTGCGGCGTAGGATATTTGGGGATCTAAAGTTGAGAAGCTCAAGATGAGGCCGTTCGATGTCGACGATGTCCAGCCGATTGCGCATCACAGTGGAAGGAATCAAGGAAACTGGTTAGAAACTCATCCTCGAAGTTCGGCGTCATGTGATAATCCTCGGGAAAAGCGGGGGGCCCGAGGTTTTTATACGGGGCCGGAGAAGTCAACTCCTGAGCTCGTTCATGAATCCAGGAGGATTTGTATATTGCGAAGAATAGACGAGTGCGATCTCATCCTTTGTACACTGGAGATGAAAACAATCGGAGATTATGTACAAGCGGCTTCCTCCTGCTGGCGGCGATCACAGGAAGTCCCACTGCCAGTAGACCTTCTCGACGATGCCGCCACCACTTCTGACCGCAAAATGGAGGGTTTCCGAGGCGGGAGGGACGCCCCAGAGCAGCGGCACCGCGACGATCATTGTCAACCTCTCGTTCAGACCCTCCTCACTGGCCTTCTCCGCGGCGACCACCTGACCAAGAATGTAAACCCTAAGTCTGATGAGCAGCGGCAGCCAGGCGGATGCGTGAGTCCCCCAGTTCTGCGATCATACGCACCTCGCCGCCGTGCTCCAAGACGGTGTCCTCGACGACGTCGCTGAGCATCTCGATGGAGCGGCAGAACCCGAAGATGCAGAGTCTTCTTCCCGTGTCGAGGCCCTGGAATCGCCAAGAACAAGAGAATGGATCATTGAAACCATGGGCAAAACCCACCGAGAGGGGTCACCGGCGCCGGGGCTCGGCTGGTAGAATGGGAAGAGCTTACGTTCGTCGCCGCTATGTCGAAGAGGGCGCCAAGACAAAGACCCTGGTTCGGATCCATGTAGTCGCTCTCCTGAAATCTCTGAAGTCTCTGCAGCGCCTTCGATTTACCTTGTTTTCTCTGTGTGACAGGAATCAAGCGGAAGAAAAATAAGAGAGAATTCGACGAACCCTTCAGCTCAATGAAGTAAGAAAAAAAAAATGCTTAGAAGAGTAATCTCAGGAATCTATTTAGTAACAATATCTTGAATTAGACCAAATCATAACCTCTCCATACATGTTTCAGCGCATGCACAGAAAAGCTTCCGTCTAGTGATGTGTGGGAGAAAGAATTACATCGGAAGAAGCTGCCCGACGAGGAATGAGAGAGCCACCGATCTGAACGAGCCCCTCGGCGGTAAAAAGCGTGACTCTGTCTTCAGGCACCCACTGAATGTCTGCAACAGGAACAGAAGTCAACACCATTTTACTGACCATGGAACTATTCTAATGGAGGCGCCATGAAACGAGTCGAGAAATTTACAGCCACAATGCCATCGAAGAGAAGAAGTTAGGCCAGGGGCATGGTGGGTTTGAAGGGCATCATCATGTTCGGAACCCATCCATGATCTAACCAGACCACGGCAGGCTTGTTGATAGAGCTCTCAGGGGCAATGGGTGAGATTGGTTTATCTAATCATCATGAAGAAAATGGCAACTATGAGATTGGTTTATCAAATCATCATGAAGAAAATGGCAACTATCCTCTCATGATCCAGTATTGGATGGAAATCTGCGGAGGCTAGGGATTTCCCCAACGATTGTCGTTTCCGAGGAATGTAACAAACTGGTATGGCCCAATCTCTGGATCCTCGACAATCAAGAGAATCAGGTATGGGATCGTCCCCACTTCAATCCACATTTCCATGGGTTCCTCAAGAATCTGACGCACACATCGGAAAATCTTCTTGCCGTGATATGCAGATCAAACCTAGCGGGATCAAATTCTCATTCTCATTTCCTCGATATATTTTCTCCGATCTCACCCACCCTCACGGAGAACATCTAAGATGAAGCGGATCTTCCTCCTTTATCTGCAATTTCAGCGCAAATTGCAAAGAACAGCACGTATTCCGATCTCTTGATGAGCAATTTCTCAGGTGATCCGGGGGAAGCCTCACACCAGCCACGGTACAGGCCAGATTCCTGGATAGTTCGTCATACAGATGCCGGTTTGGCATTACGCTACCTCAGGGAGAAACTACAGGGAGTGAGAGATGGAAGAGGCGGCACAAGATCCAGTTCACGCGGGAAGATCGGCTCACCTTCCGCACCGCCAGAAGAAGTCCTGGGATCCCAGGGGTAGAAGCCGTAGACGTCGTCTCCTCCGAACATGCCGGCGTCGTCGCGATCCTTGGCGCAGCACCTGAAGATGCGCAGAGATCGGCCGCCCCGGGGGGGCGAGAGTCTCCGCGAGGAAGCCGGAGAGGAGGAGGAAGACGGTGCCGGAAGGTAATTCAGGGGGAGAGCTTCCCCTTCTCTCGACCGAGCGTAGGGCCGGAAGGTCGAAATCGAGGAGAAGCGGCAGAGGGCTGAGGCTTCCGCCATCGTGATCCGGAGGGATTGGAGGAGGAGGAGGAGGAAAGGTTCGGAGGTCGCAGAGATGGATTGGAAGGAGCAGAGACGGAGAAAGACTCTGCGGATCGTGGACCTCGCCTTCTTATGGCGCCGCTCCAGGCCTTTTATTTTTCTGCGCGAGTTGTTTTCCTATTTTCCGGGGAATCTGATGGGGGCCAGAAAAAAAGGTAGAAAATTTAAGGTGCCACGTGTCCCCGTTTCTTGGTGGCACGTCATACGAATTCGTCCCTCCCTTCCCACTAGCCGGATGCTGCCCCCGTTGACGCGCACGCTATCCCTGCGCATCAGAGAGTATCATATCCACACCGAGAATAGGGATTCCTCTTTCTTCTCTCATCTGGGCCCCACAGGAGCGAACACCGCCTGGGTACGTCTCGCCGGACACCACCAAGATACATCAGTCAAGCCGGTGGCAGAAGAGCAAATCGCCGAAAGAATTTTAAAACGCACGTGTTAATTGGTTATGCAATCAGATGAGGAAATTGCTTGTTTTTTATTTTTTCCCCGGCAGTGAAACCTCTTTATCGGGCTGCATGATGAGCTTAAGAGTAACACCCAAAAGGGAAATAAAAAACCATTAAAGGTATAAAAATAATTTGTTTTTGACTTCATCCCCCGAGCTCCTTCCTCCGGAGCACCACCACTTAAGCACCTGGAAAGTACGCCAAAGTCTCAAATTTCCCACCAGACAACCGCAGAACAGAGAGAGAAAGGGAGAGACAGGGAACTCACCTGTGGCGTGCTTGCCGTCGTGAAACTGGGCGTTCTTGGAGGATTTGAAGGTCTCCAAGAATTCCCTCCCCTGCCGGAGCTCCTCCCTCCGCCGCCGGCGGTCCCAGCCGTGTTCGGCGGCCATTATCTCGATAACGCGTGGCAGAGCCCGGCCGGCGGCGTCGGTGTCGAGGAAGGCCAACCTTGACCTCCGGGCAATGAAGTCAACGGCTGACTCGCAGTACTCTTGCCGGGCGCAGTACGCCACCTCCGCCTCCAAAAACGGGTACCCGTGGGCGAGCCGCTTCCCGAGATTCTCATTCTGAGAATGCACAGATGGAATGAAGGGAGAAGATTCTCATTCTGCGATCATACTCATTCTCGTTCATTCTGTACCTGAGCTATGGCGGCGACTCTGTGGGCGAGATTGCCGTAGGCGTGGGAGAGGTGCTTGGCGGCGGCGCTGTCCATCACGCCGGGGACGACCCTCCCGGCGTGGGTCTTCTTCATGCGGACGAAGTTCTGGGCGAGTTCTGTGAAGGACGATGGGTCCCACCCGTCGCCGCCGACGAGGGGCACTCGCCCCGTGAGGCAGCCGTTGGAGGGCTTCAATTTGCCGGACTTGACGGCCGCATTGACCACGTCCTCCGCCATGCTGCAGGTGAGGGCGGCGGCGAATGGTTAGGCCGCCCAGAGTCAAACAGGGAAGAAGAAGAAGAGCTAAAAGACGATGAACCCAAGACAGCCAGGCAAATAAAGAGGAGAAGGAAAAGATTTTCATCACAGATTTAGTGTCCTCGTTGACTTTGTTCCTGCATGGATGTTGACTCAGCATTTTTCTTTTTTGAGTAAATTCGTCACGAATGGTTACCTTCGATAAGTGGTCCACTTCCCACCTGTGATCGTGATCAAACCAGGAAAGTCTTCCAACACGACATGATCCCGGGAGATGCTCTCGGTGTTCTTCGCAGATGGGTCAACGGCCAACGGACGAATTCCGCTCCATGCCGACAGGACATCCGAGCGCCTTACCTGCAGAAGTCAAACTGATGAAGATGAGCTATCGCAGAGTCTACTCTCAGAAGTCAGTCAACCAGGCGAGCCTCTGACCGGAGCTGAGAGTCCAGAGAACAGAAGGTGCCCACCTTGACGCTGAGGTAATCACAGATGGCGTCCAGTATAAACTGTATCTCGTCTTCGTGGGGTTCTGGGAGCATCGTGATTGCGGTGTTGGAGTCTGTGGTTCCGGCAATCGTCCTACCGAGCCATGGCAGCATGAACACAACGCGGCCATCCTTCGTCTTGGGAACGATGAGGCCCATTCCTTCTGGGGAGTAGTAGTCGGGGAGAACGACGTGGACGCCGCTGCTGGGGCAGATCATAGGGGATGCGCCTTTGTCGGCCATTTGTCTCAGAGCGTCGCAGAATGGCCCGGCCGCATTGACCACGACTTTCGCATATGTGTCGAAGACTTTTCCTGGTTACAGTTGGCAGATGGAAATATGATGTGGCAAGCAGAAGCTGGTCAACTCCACAATATATCATCTTTATTTATTTTGACAAGGAAAAATATGATAAAAGTTATGATGGTTAATGTGACCATGGAGCTAAGTCAGAGTTGCATGCTTGGATCCATTAGATCAAGTCAATGTGTTCTCACTGCATTAGTCAACGAGTCATAATATAGCTATAAATAAGTAAGATGCACAGAACGAAATCCCAATTCAATAAAATCCATGGTATTTTATTTTTTTAATTTCTCAGCAGAGGATTGATATCATACAACTTTTTACGAGATCAAGACAAGAAACAGCACCAGTTTCTCTAGTCAACGCCAGAGAAAAAAGTCAATTCGCCGAGGCAAAACCACCAGTCCAGCATCTAGAGATGAAAACCCACCCCTAAATCATCTGACAATAGAATGCATGAAAACCGAATAAATTGAACAGAAGCTGAAACAAAATGATGGTACCTGATAAATTATCTCGAACACGAGCCCCAATTATTCGACCAGTCAAATCATCTTTGATAAAGGAGATGACCTCTGCATGGTTAAGAACAGCTGCGCCAGCCAAGGCAGCAGTGCATGCCAATCCGACATTGAGGCGGGAGTCGTTCATTTGTCCATCATAGTAAACTACTGTTCCTTTCAAGCTTCTGTTGTGTCCTTTTCTAGCCAAGGTTGGGAAGAGTTCAACAGATTCATTTGCGGAATAATATCGCGATAAATGCAACATATGGCGATTAGCAACAACATCATACAACTTCAAACCCAACCAGTAGTACACGACCTCAAACCATTCAAAACACGGCGTCATGCATGGTAGTGCGTGGCATAAATGTGGGGCATTCTCAATAATCCGTTTACGCTCCTTGAGGGCATGGAAAACAAGTTTCAGCTGCCCATAGTCAAGATTAAAAACCGCCTTCTCTAGGTACCGAACCCCTATCAGGAAAGGAATAAGCACATGAATAACACAAGTAAAATATGCTATTATTTTCTCATAAAAAAATAATACAAGAAGCTGAAAAAGATGCAAGAAACAGATTGTGTGGTGTACTGAAATGTCCAAGTTCTATAAAAATAATAATCACAGGGTTGCTTGTGCTCATGATGTTTATTCTCTACCCTGCCCTGCCTTGGTAGATTTCGAATTCGCCAAACCACCACTAAATAGGACAGAATTAGACAGTGGCAATTAGGGCGACTCGTGCCCCAATTGACGTATGCAAGCACGTGAAAAGCCACTCAATATCAAATCATTCTGATGACCACCAAAGGTATATTGACTACAACAGAGAGATGATGCAAAAAGAACTGATGAGGAAAGTAGTTAGACAGCAATGCTGCACCCCTTAGAAGCACATCAATATGAAATCGAGGCGTCTTTCGAATGGTGTCCATTCGTAAGTCAACACAAGGATAAAGCATTGTGATTTTAAGAGAAAATAATCTTTTTCAAACCGAAGTACGCAACCTTGGAAAAAATCAAACATCCAGGATGTACATTTACCGAGCAGAATAGAGGAAAATAACTCCCCTGCCACAAGAACTGAAAAACCCAGAGTGCTAAAATTGACTAATTGCTACGAATATTCTCATCTAAACGCTGAATGAAAAATATGATAACGTAAGCTGGAAAGAAAAATGAACCATAGGGACATGATCCCTGGGAAATTTTAAAAAAAGGAGTGTGTTAAAATTTATCTCAAAATGAAAGGAGAAAATAAGATAATTCTCGGGATATTTTGTCACCCAGTTCTGTAGCATACAAAGTCTACTTGCTTGACAATTCGCTAACAAGGAAAATTGTTCATTACACAGGTTTGGGTTAATTTTCTAATGGCTAAGCCATGATTTCTACTTGTGTCAATTGATGTACTCTCAACATCACTAGTCGTAGAATTTTCCATACTAAGGAGATAACCTCAGACGCTTTTCTAGGCATGCTGAGTTAAGTAGTTTGAAAATAGTGCTGGACCCCATAGTTTAGAATTTTGAATTTGAATGACTCCCATGTTGAAAATAGTGGTTGCCAAGGAAGCACACATGTTGGGCTAAAATCAATTGCCAGGACAATACATCTCCCAATGTTCACTAGGTGGCACCACCAGGAAAGTTTCTGACACGAGACCGAATGACAGCCAGAATGGACATTTCCAAATGCATAACAAGAGAGAAAAATAAAAATTATCTATAAAAGGTTGACTGTTTATGGCTTACATGGTAATTTCCAATGTACACCATTTCATTGTTTATTTGTGTCAATGAGACTTTATAATGGATCTTATGATCTTTTATGTTTTCCCTTTACAAATAAATAATTTTAATTGGTAATACCCGAATACTTCAAAGAAATTGTAGCAAGCTTTCGCTGCACAGTCTACAGAACATGGTATTCCATGTTACATGGTAAGGATAAAGGAAGGAGATGGATTAATCGGCCCCTTTTTTTCTGTATTATGATGACGAAAAAGGAGGCATTGAAGTCTGCAAACTTTTGCATGTCTCCAAAATATAGGTACTCATGGTTAAAAAATTTCAACAAGAAAATGGAGCCTACAATCCAGTTTGCGAAAATCACGTGCTGTTTCAAAGAACGATTTTTTTGGCTTCAGCAGTTTCTTGCTTAAAATTCCCAATAATTCACCTATATCTTCAAGTCAAAACGTCTTTGGTGTATTTTTGACTTATTACCTGGAAGGAGAAAAGTAATGCCATTAAACTACAAATGAACTCCTTCAGACGAAGGAGACAAATGAACTGACTCAATTACTTGGCTCTCTCAACCATCCAGTCGTCACAACATCAGAACCATATATACTGGGTATTATTCTAAAGAGCAGCGTAAGAATGTAACCAGGTGACAAAGAAAATCGAAATTATAAATAATCACGAATTATTAGAAATGGAAAACTTAACGTCGATAGGTTAAATCGTTAATTAAGTGGTCTCAGATTGTTTCAGTGATTCCACGTCAACGGAAACACTCCCTAGTATTGTAGCAAGTAGCCCAATTAAAATCCACAATCATATGAACAAAGGAGAGAGTAAATGTCACGGCACGCAATTCTTGAAGCATAAGAAGAGAATATACGAAATTATAAGGAGCTTACCTCCGTGAATGAGCTTGGTGGATCGAGAGGAAGTTCCGGAAGAAAAGTCCTCGCGCTCAACGAGCCCGACACTAAGCCCGCGGCACGCTGCGTCGAGGGCAACCCCGCAGCCGGTGGCTCCCCCGCCCACCACGAGCACGTCGAGCGGTTTGACGGTGCTGGAACCCATCAGCGCGGACCTGTGAACCTCCCGCGACGGCACGACGGCCGCGGGATCGGCGATCTTCCGGCGCACACTCTCCAAAGCGCCGCCGGTGCCGGCGTCATTCTCGGAGGAAATGAGAGGGTTGTACACGATCGCGGCCCCGCTTCCAGCGGCGGCGGCAGCCAGGGCCCCGACGACCCTCAGCCGAGAAGCCGCCATCTCGGAGCCGATCTCCCTCCCCCTCCTCCCTTCACCCGCCGCCCGATCCCTCGCTCCCCGTGCCACTCCCAACAGCAATTAGACTCGGCCAGCGTCAGCGATCCAACTTATACTCCGCAAGATGGCGTGGGAAATAGGCAGAGACAGATTTCGAAGGTCAAAAAGACGGTCTAAATTCACAGATGGATATACCCCGGTCACGTCATTCCTCGAGATTCGTGCCACCACACCGCCACGATACCACCGATAGGTCCCCTCCTACTTTCGGCCCTTGCCCGAAAATGGAAGATGCGCATCGTATGGCAGGCGGCTCAACGGGCTGACCAAATGGTCAACGGTCGAGACACGTGCTCTCAGCCCATTAAAATCCTACCAGAGGGAGGATTTACGGAAAGGATCTTCATTTTATCATCTTTTGCAGTATTTATCCTCACGAAAAGGATCTTAGGTATAAGTCCTTGTGAAGTTTTTAATGTGGACACTTGTCCGTCGAGGAGGCTGTATGAAGATTGTAACTTCGTTGTGGAGAGCATCAGATATCGATTAAAATAAATAAATAAAAAGGACGAATCGGCCCCGGCAGACCAAGAGATGACGGCAAGTCAGCGCAGACCACAACACCACCCACTGGTCAACCCCGATTGGACTCACGCGAACCTCGCCGAAGCGACTCCTTAGTCCTCTCTCTCTCTCTCTCTCTCTCTCTCTCTCTCTCTCTCTCTCTCTCTCTCTTATCCACGCATTCATCTCCTCAGCGTTGCAGAAACAAGACGTCCCACGCATTCATCTCATTAATGATGCATCTCGGTTTGCCCAACTTGTATTTGATCAACAAAGTCGTACTCTACGAATAAGTCTTTTCACCTCAATTATTTTGGCATGAGATTATTTTACATTTCAAATCAGTTCATCGCCACATTATTATCAAATTTGAATGCTAACATATTGACTTTTTAGTTCTTTTATGGCAACTAAATATCCCTCATGTATCAGTTGACTATTAATAGATAAATCGGAGGCATCAATGTGTACCTCAAGGAGCTATGTAAAGTTATACATCCAAAACATACATAGACTCACTTCTAATGACTCATTTCAAGTCATTAGAGGAGTCGTTTGACTTATAGTAGCTAAGCATAAATTTCTTATAGCAATTAGGCAGCCTGAGAATTGACCTGAACTCCACTATGTGGTTGAATGTCGGCCAAAGGTCTATACCATGAGCTGTTGACTGTAAAAAGTGGCACTTAACTGAGTTGAGGAACAATTGATTATTCTATCAACTTTGTGAACATCTCTTGTAGGTGGCTCATGTGTTCCTCAAAGCTTACATTGTACACCAATATATCGTCCAAGTATATCAGAAAAAAATGATAAATGAGGTATCTAAAAATAATGTTCATTAGGGTTAGGATGTCATTAGTAGACTAGTAAAGTCAAAAGACACTATCATGAACTTGTATGAGTTAGAGCAAGTCATGAACATGCTCTTTTTCTTGTTGATTTTTCACATTTTGATAGCAGACACTCTTCAAGTCCATCTTGATGAAGAATTATGTCTCCCATAAGTAGCTCTTTTGCATTGGGTACAAGGTACCTGGTATCTATTATTTACCTAATTGAGTTAGATAATCCACACCCATCCTAAGTTTATTGTACTTCTTCAAGAAGAGAAATTGTGCACCATTAAAGACTTGGAAAAATAAATCAACCTAACTATCAAAAAGCCATCGACTTGTTATCCTAACTCATTGAGGTACAATGGTGCCATTCTGTAGATTATAGACTAGAATGAGTGCACTAGGCACAAGCTTGATCTCATGCTTCACCTTGCATTAGGGAGATCTCACAGCTATAGGAATATGGACAATAAATCTTGGAAATCTTCTAGGAGTTGTGCAACTCTAATCAAGAGATATCGTTGTGGTCATCCTTGAGCCATCTGCAATGGTTGGGCTCACTACAATACCATGTGGAGTTGACCATTAGAGATGAGCAATGCTTCACTTTTGTGGAGCTCAACATCAATGCCAAGCCCACTCCTACATAATCGGGCTTGACCTTCTCATGGTGAAATGATCCTTTTAAGGATATCAACTCTAAGGCATGTACCTTTTCTAGTGTAACATGCAGGACCTTATTGTGAGTCAAGAGAAAAGATTCTTCAATAGAACTCGTAGTCTTTCCCATGGATGACATTAAAGTTATACTCAATAGGTGTAAGAACATTGTTTGTTGTTGTAAGGGCACACTTGACATAAATAGTAGTGTTCTGACAAATTTGCTTTAGGTATTAATATTGGTCACTAGAGGGATAAACATATGAATCAAGAGGGGGGTGGAGGTGAATTAGTTCTTTTTATTTGCTTGGCTCTTAGTATCTAGTATTTTGGATATTTATATCAAAGTTGCTGCAATCAATTTTCTTGTTCTTTGATTCCTTCAAAGACAATGTTCTTGGGTTCCATTAACTTATTAGTGGCATGTATATTGATTTAAAGGCTTAGCCACCTATTAGATTTCATAGATCTAGTGGACTAAAAAATTATCTTGAAATCTCCTTATAAATTCACAACTCTAGAGTGTCAAGGACCAAATAAGTTTCTAACTTATTTCTTATGGATTAGTGGCTTTAGAGGGCCACATGATAAGGTCGCAAAGGATTTACAATACATGTAACAATGTTACCAAGCTAGGGGTTAAACTCCTTGCTTCTCATAGGCTTTTGATCCTCTCCTCTTGTTGTTGGAGAAGTTTGCCGAAGAGGAAACCTCAAAGGCTTGAGCAACGGTTGTTTTGTATTCTCTCTTGATGATCAAGAAGGTATGAATAGCTTAAACTCATCATTAAGTTCACTAATTACATAGCATTTGATTGTTGATTATAAGGACTCAATTCTCACAATGTTTGACTTGAAACTCTTTCTAGATTCATGACTCTCAAATGTCAAATCATTGATCATAGAGATCAATTGTCCCTAGTATTATAGTTAGTAACACAATTCACATCCAGAATCAAATGAACAAAGGAGAGAGTAAATTCATGACACACCAGTCAAAGTATGAAAAGAGAGAATTAGACAGTATAAAGAGCTTGCCTCTCTAGATTATGACCAAGTTCTAGAAGACAAGTCCTTCCACCCAATGACCTCAACACTAAGCCCCCAGCACCCTGTGTCCAGGGCAACCTCATAGCCAGTGGTTCCCCCGCCCACAACGAGCACGTTGAGTCGTTTGATGGTGGTTGGAACCCATTAGCGCGGACCTGTGGACCTGAGATCTCAGGGTGGTCTCACTCCTGCCTTCACCTGCCACCCAATCCCTTGTATCCCATGCCACTCACAGCAGCAATTGGACTCAACTAGCGTCAGAGATCCTCTGATTATACTCCACAAATAAATAAAGCAAATAAATAAAGATGAAGGCGTAGAAGCGGTCTAAATTCACAAATAAATAAAGCAAGCCTAATCATGATCCCTTATGTCTCGAGTTTATTCACTTAAGCTCTACCTATTTATTTATTCACAAATAAATAAATAAATAAATTCACTTGAGCTCACTAGACGACAGCACAGAACCCTTGTGTTGGGTCCCTTTTGATCTCAGTCCCCCCTCCAATAGAATGATCAAAAGTCATAGAATGAACATAGTAATACATGCAGTTCAACTTTCTGACTTTCTCGTCAACGATCAGAACACCTGCTCCTCTATTTCAGTGATTCTCCATATTCACCAGCATGCCACTTAAAGGGTCATAAAATAAGGACAAACCAGCCCCAAGATCCCCAGTCCAAATTCTGAGTAAACCAAGTTGGCTACCGTCAACGTACACCACCACCCGTTGACTCTCCCAGATTGGACACGTAAAGCCATACGAAGTACCCGTCGTCTTGGGGTCTATACGCTTACGACAAAGAAGATGTCAAATCTTCATTACTCTAACAATTACGAGGGAAGAAGTAGAAGATGATGGCGACAGGAGGTACCTGCATCAGTCCGGTGGGGTGGGCTACTGGCGTTCAATCTGGATGGTGATGTGGCTGATGTTGTACTCCCGTTGTATGTACCCAATTACTTCATCCAGGACTCGGTCCGCGTCGGCCGCCGGCGTAACGGTGACATGGCAAGCAAGGAGGACCTTGCCGACGGTGATCGCCCAGACGTGAAGCTCGTGCACGGCCACCACACCGTCCACGGCGCAGAGCCCAAGCTCGAGCCGCGTGGCATCCACCTCCCGCGGCGTGCTCTCTATGAGCACCTCCAGGATGTCCCGCAGCATCCTAATGGTTGTGGCTAACACCACTGCTGAGAACATCAGCGTGCACACCAGGTCAATCACCTTCCACTCTGGCTTCCACCATATCACCGCTCCCCCGATCATCACCCCCACACTCTGTATGCAGTCCCCCAACACGTGCAGGTACGCCCCCCGCATATTGATGTTCCCCCTCTTCTCCTCCTTCACCTTCCTCTCTCCTGCTGCAAGCTCCTCCGAGCACCTCAGTAGAGGCTCGTGCTCCTCACCCGACTCGGCAATGGTCACAGCATGGGTGTGGCCGTGTGTCTCGCTGTGGCTGTGGCCGCGGTCGTGGCTGTCGCCATGGTCGTGGCCGTGGCCGTGGCCGAGGAGGACGGCCATGAGGGCATTCACTACCAGGCCGAAGGCGGAGACGGCGAACATGAGGGACCCATGGACCTCGCCGGTGGACCCGACAAGGCGCACAATGGCTTCATAGACCAGGATACCGGTGAGGAGCCAGATGAGCTGGATGGAGACGAGGGCGCCGAGGATCTCAAGACGGAAGAAGCCGTAGGACTGGCGCGGTGTGGCCTCCCAGCCGGCGGCCCAGAGGGAGAAGAGCGATATGGCGAACGCCGCCACGTCAGACAGCAGGTGGGCTGCATCGGTCAGGATGGCCAGGCTGTTGGCCTTGATCCCGCCGACGACCTCTACGCTCATGAAGATGACGCAGAGGATGACTGCCCAGAGGAGCTTCCTCATCGAGGCGGACCGCTCCTCCGCATCCTTGGAGCTCGCACTGGCCTCAGAGAAACCACAGGGGGCGCCGCTGCAGACCTTCTTCACCCCCACACGGGAGACCGCCCCGTTGGACACATCGGCGTAGACCTCAATGATCTGGCCCTGGAGAGGGCTCTCTCCCTGGCGGTCCTTCTGCTCATCCATCTGAGATGCAAGGCGACGGAATCACTGAGAACAGGGAGATCTTTCTTACACTAAAATAGCAAGATTATATTTCAACGATCAAACAAAAAAAATATGGGTACCATGGCCACTTGTGCCTGATACGAGCTGACCAAGCTCTCAGGCACTTCACCCAATCGGCGAGCAAAACAGAAGAAAGTCAACGTTCGTTCCATGTCGCAATTAGCAACTAGCAATTAGCAAAAATCTTCTCGTCGTGAAGATGCAAGGTCAACGTTCGTCCCATGTCGCATAGCCGTATAAAGATCTTTCTAGGCTGTCATATCACCCATCCAGTGTATATACATAAATAAACGAAATTCTATTTCCCGTCAGATAGCAGACGACAAAAATACCACTCTCGCGGTAATGGTAAATTTCACGCAGAACGGAGTGATGATCTACGGAAAATCGTCGGAAGGAACGGGACAACACAGAAAACAAGGCAGCGAATCAAGCCAGATGGGATCTGCAGCATTCGTAGCCTCGAATCATAAAGAGGTATTAAATTGCAAAACGGATTGGGAGAGAAATACGAAGATCTCGACTCGCCGACGGACGGATCGGACTCAGATCCTCACCTCGTCGCGACGGCGCCCCGAAACTGACTGCGGCAGTCGGAGAGCTGTGCGGAGCCGCGGAGGAGGGGCCTGGACGGGAGCGGAGAACGAGGCGCTTAAGCTTACGGTGCGCGGGCGGCGTCAGCAGGCGGGAATCTGACCCATTCAACCTTCACATATAAGACGGACGCCCTGAAATATCGTAGGATTCGGAAGGGAATACCGTGATTGGCCCAGCCTTCGCTGGATGGAGTTCAAGTGGTCCATCTGTCTGATGGGAACATTACGGCACGCCCGTCCATGCCGGAGCGTGCCGCCCTATGACTCCACGCACGCAACGCATGCCCACCCGCGCCACAACACGTCTTCAAGTACGCCTCCGTGCTTACGTGCACAGGACAACCGTGCCGCACTTCTTCGGCTAGCACAGTTACTGCGCCGGTAATCGTTATTCTTCATGCCGAGATCGTCATATTCTCCTCCATGCCTAAGCGTGAAATTCGACATCATAATTTAGTCATTTCCATGAGTATGGAATTTTCTTAACTTGATAGTACGAAGATCCTAAATATTTTTATACATGTTTAATAAAATGCAGAAATTTAGGCATATTTGATTATTACCTACCAAATAATAGTGGAGAGTAAGGCATTTTATCTTGATTTATTTCAGGTGGATAAGGCATAATGGATCTTTTTATTAGGCCTAAATAGAACCACAATAAATCTCTTATTGGGACTAAATTTAAAGAGCAATAGATCAGATTATTGGGCCTGGATCGGATGAGAAAAAGATTTGTTATTGGACCCCGAATCTAAGGATTAATAGATCAGATTATTAGGGTTAAATTTACAAAGTATTGGATCTATTTATTGGGCTTGAATTTGAATGAGTAATGTATCTCATTAATGGCTTGAATAAAAAGCGGAATAGATATGGTTAGTGGGCCTTAAATCTAAGGTGGGTAGGATCTATCCTTTTGTATGCTAGATCTGGTTTTGGAAAAGAGGTTTCACATCACTTTACAACAAGGTAAACAAATATATTACTTATGTCATCCAAATCCAGAATCAACAAAACTAATATGGTTAGTTCTTTGGATATAACCACAATTAAAATAAAAAAAGACTCTTTTAAAGATGATTTGTTCCTTGGCCCAAAAAAAAAAATCAAGAGTATTTATATTAAATAAATTTCATTGGGTACCCTAACCTCTTATTTTTTAAGGTTGATTGTCATGGGGGAAAAAACACATTTCAGTTACCAAACCAAGGTGAGAGGCTCTATAACCAGACAAAGAGATGTTGGCAAGAGCCCATAGAGATAGATAGATAAGAGGAGAAGGGAGAGTAATAAGCTTTAGTTGAAGAAGAGAAGCATGAATATGATTTGCTTCATAAAACAATCCTCGTAATCTTCGATGGTTTGACTAAAGAATTGTGCATCACAAGCTATCTATGTGCTCATAATGTGTGGATAATGAAGCAAACGTTCTATTTGTTATTGACCACGGTGTACCTTAAACAATGTTCTTCATCACTATAAAAAGCTTATGATAGTGATCTTTCAATAGGTGTTATGCCCATGCATGTCTCCTTAAAAAGATGTGGTTATTTTTGTTGAAGCCACTTTCTATACATAAATATAGGCAAGATGTTAGAACACACCACCCTATCATGTTATATTTATTTTTATTTTCATTATATAAGATTGTCCATTATGTAAACCAATTATAAAAGGAGCCACTAACCTGATAACTTATCACCATTTTCGGATGTTATAACCTCTAATGCTGGGGAGATGAAATGACACTCAAGACAATACATCACCCAGCTGTCTCCTACTGAATCCCACAAAGAAAGAGATTGATACAACATATCTACACCTTTCTCTTCAATGCTATGGATATAACACATCTACACCTTTATCTTCTCAGTGTTGTAGTAAGTTGATGTTCTATTCCATCCCTTATTAATAAGACATCAAGCATCTTATGATCACTTCTAACAAGAAAGAGCCAGAGACAATGATACATCCATGTCACATCTTCCTCTTGCTTTCCTCACCCCTGGACGAGAAAATAAATGTGGTAATTGGTTCACCTCCTTTTGTCCCTATATGTCATTGACTTAGCAAAAAAATGGGTACATGATGTTAGTGGTACCTACTCAAAATGGTTTCTTGTTGTATGTTTTTCATTTAATTTTTATGTCTTAAGGAGGGAGATGCCTTGCATCACAAGTGTGCCAAAGCCTCATATGTTTATCGGTGCACTACTAAACATGACAATGATCTGCTCTATGAGATGGAAGTATTCTTCCAACATCTCATTATTACGCTATATTTAGTCGTCTATTTATAAGAGGAAGTGGGTGAAGAACTTGAGTTGTATTATTTCTCACTAATAAGGTCATAATGAAGCCTCATGCTCGTTGCAGTGTGAGACTTTTCTATATTGTAGAGAAACTCATTACCATGTTGTTCATGAAGACATCAAATTTAATGTGAATGAGATAATGACATCCTATCTAGAGGTAGTTCATCATCCCCTTCATCTCATACTCATAGATAGAGCATCATAGCTCAATCTCATTTACTTTTCAATTCTCATATACCACCACATGGTCCTCATGCATCAAAACATTATTGATAGATAAATTAGAGGCATTGGTGTGTACCTTGAGGGGCCATAAAAGTCAAGTAGCCACAATAGAAACATGTTTACAAAATCGTTGAAGAAGCATTGACACTTGCTTGACTAATGATACTTCATGCCCTTCTTCAAGAGGTCTACCAAGTGGGCCATTGACTTAATAATAATTACACATAAACTTCCTTTTCGTGGTTAGTCAATCTAATAAATACTATCACTTCTATCACATGTTTGTGCAAACTAATTATCAATAACTTGGACTCTTGCATGCACACAGTAGCATTTAGATGGGTTGAGAAATAGTTGATTATTCTTTAAACTTCTTGAACACCTCTTGTATGTGTTTAATGTGGTCATCTAAACATTTGATGTCTATCAAGATATCATCTATATACATTATACCGAATTGGTCAATGACATACCTAAAAATGATGTGCAAGACATTGTAGTGTATGTGTGAAGTTAAAAGGTATCAATACTAACTTTAACAACTTGAAAGGAGTGATGTATGTAATCTTTTACTTGTTGACTGTTTGAATGCAGACTTTATAATAGATGCTATTCAAATTCTCTCCTGAAGTATCATGCTTCTCTTAACTAGTCGAACAATTCATTCACATCAGACACATGGTACTTGTTATTTACCATTAACCTATTAACTAACTAATAATCTACGTATAGTGTAAGTGACTTATCCTTTATTTAGAAGAACATATCAGATCTAACAAGTCATCAAGGTGTCAACGTACCCCCTTGAGGTACATTACCATCCTTGTGTTGGGTGCACATTTTCTGGTGAGCACACACTAGGCACAAACTCAATCTCATGCTTCACCTTGTAATGGGGGTGATCTCATAGCTGGAGAGACGTCAGCAAAATGTTGTACAAGTTTTCTAAGAGTTGTGCAAGGCTATGCAATAGTATCACTATAGCCATGTTTCTTGTTGTCCCATTTGGTGTGATGGTGTTACTTTCATTAAGCATGCACCTACTCTAATAGATGACATCAGTTGCACTTACCAAAGATGACTTTGATGTCATCAATAGGCAACATCATAAAGTTTATTGAACTCTCTCATCTGTTGACTCACATTAAGATCTTACATATTATTCTATTTAGGGTATGTAACTTAGAGTTGACAACCTTGATGCAAATATCTCCCATGACAACGTCAAGTTCAACCATGTGAAGGTTAACTTAGCATCAATATTTGAGATGAGACAAACAAAAAGGGTTAGAGACGACTCAATAAATTCTAAGGATTTCTATTCGAATTCTTTCAAAGCCACCCAGTGGAGAATTAGATATCTCAAGTGGTTAGCTCCACACATTGTTGTAATCAAGGCAATTAGTGCACAACTGCCCCTATATTTGCATGTCTCCAACAATCTTATTTGGTTTATAGAGAGCTAGGCAGATGAACTAAAAGGGAGTGAATTGATTCTTTTTCTTTGCTAGGGTTTCTGGCTTCTAATGTTCCAGGGACATATATCAAGGCTAGTATGACCATAATTTTATAATGATTCAGTCCGCCCAGCCCACTCCATTCTCTAGGGACTATGTCCTTAGGTTCTTAACTCCCTAGTAGTGTACACATTGATTTAAAAGCTCAACCACCATTAGATTTCATAGCCCTTAGTGGACCCAAAATTTTTCTTGAAACTTTGTTCTAGATCCACAACTCTAAAGCCACAATAATCAAAGAAATTTCCCACTTATTTCTTTTAGAGGATTCACTCTGGAATAATGAAAAAATATCCCTTTTGTTAGGTCCCTCCTGCTCTCTTCCCACCCTCCCATACGTAATGGAATAATGAATGGCTTGTGGGATGCACAATGTAACGCATGCAGTTCAGTGGGCTGACCTACTAGTCCATAGCAAGTATATGCACTCTTGTACTTCAGTGACTACCATCCATATACATCAACCCCATGCCACAAAGGGGGCATTTTACAAAAATACCTTTCACTTGATTTATCCTTTTTAATGTTTAGTTCTCACAAAATGTATCTCTGGGATTTATCTACCTTGTGTAGTTTTATTCATAGACATTTGTTTGTGAAGAAGGGCGTATGAAGATCCAATTTACTGAAGAGAGTAGAAGATACCAATTAAAATGAAAAAATCCTAGGAAAAGAGAAGGATGAATCTACCCCGAGTACCCAGACCATATTCTGAGCAGATCAAGTTGGCTACTGTCAACGCAGACGACCACCCACTGGTCCAACCGCCATGAAGACTCTTGTTCCTTCTCTTCAACCTCCTCTCGACTGCCATAACCTTTCACCTCCAAAAGTGATGATTTGTTCTGTGGGTGTAGTAGGCCAACCTCCTAACCATATTAAGATATTTGGGTCAATGCCATGGTTGTGGATTGGTGGCTATAAGGAGAACATTTCGTGGGCATTTACTACAACAGTTACAAGGAAAGAAGAAGATGATGATGGCGAGAGGTACCTCCGTCGGTGGGGCAAGGTGGGGCTACTGGCGCTCGATCTGGATGGTGACATGGCTGATGTTGTATTCCCGCCTGATATACCCGATAACCTCGTCCAAGACTCGATCCGCATCGGCCGTCGGCGCAACAGTGACATGACAAGCAAGGAGTACCTTGCCGACAGTGATCGCCCATACATGGAGCTCGTGGACGGCCACCACGCCGTCCACAGCACAGAGTCCGCGCTCAAGCCGCGTGGCGTCAACCTCCCGCGGTGTGCTCTCCATGAGCACCTCCAAGATATCCCGCAACATCTTGATGGTTGTGGCCAGCACCACCACTGAGAACACCAATGTGCAGACCAGGTCGATCACCTTCCACTCCGGCTTCCACCATATCGCCGCCCCCCCCACCATCACCCCCACGCTCTGTATGCAGTCCCCCAACACGTGCAGGTACGCCCCCCTCACATTGATGTTCCCCCTCTTCTCCTTCGCCACCTTCCTTCCCCCCGATGCAAGCTCCTCCGAGCACCTCAACAAGGGCTCGTGCTCCTCACCTGACTTGGTGATGGTCACGGTGTGTGTGTGCCCGTGCACCTCGCCATGGTCGTGGTCGTGGTCGTGGTCATGCCCGTCGCTGTGGCCATGGCCATGGTCGTGGCCATCGTCATGGCCGTGGCCGTGGCCGTGGCCGTGGCCGTGGCCATGGCCGTGCCCATGGTCGTGGCCGAGGAGGACGGCCATGAGGGCATTCACTACCAGGCCGAAGGCGGAGACGGCGAACATGAGGGACCCATGGACCTCGCCGGTGGGACCGACGAGGCGCGCAATGGCCTCGTAGACCAAGATGCCGGTGAGAAGCCAGATGAGCTGGATGGAGACGAGGGCGCCGAGGATCTCGATGCGGAAGAAGCCGTAGGACTGGCGTGGGGTGGCCTCCCAGCCGGCGGCCCAGAGGGAGAAGAGCGATATGGCGAAGGCCGCCACGTCAGACAGCAGGTGGGCTGCATCGGTCAGGATGGCCAGGCTGTTGGCCTTGATCCCGCCGACAACCTCCACGCTCATGAAGATGACGCAGAGGATGACTGCCCAGAGGAGCTTCCTCATCGAGGCGGACCGCTCCTCCGCATCCTTGGAGCTCGCACTGGCCTCAGAGAAACCACAGGGGGCGCCGCTGCAGATCTTCTTCACCCCTACACAGCGGACAGTCCCATTGGACACGTCGGCATCAACCTCAATGATCTGGCCCTGGAGAGGGCTCTCTCCCTGGTGGCCCTTCTGCCCGTCCATCTGAGGTGCAAGGCAACGGAATCATCAGAACATGGAAATATTTCTTACACTTAAATAGCTGATTGAGAACAAAACATAATATATATATATATATATTGAAGAATGAAAACAAAACATTGATACAATAGCTTCTTGAGGATGACACCAGCTGAGTAAATCCTCAGGGCCCTTCACCAACCTGTGGTGAATACACAGAGTTGGAATTGGGGTGAACACACTAAGGTGGGCCAAGACTTGGTTTCTGCCTTTTAAACCTCCATTTGATATCGAAAATGACATCAGCCATTATATCTTTCAGTCCAAACTTCATCATGAAATAAGTTAGACTTGTGAGGAGGATATTTTCGGCAATTAGCAAAAAACTGCTAGTCATGAAGATGTGTACGGTTGGCGTTCATATCACATCACATAACTGCATAAGATCTTCAAGGTCATCATAGCTCCCATCGAGTGTATGTATCAAAAAACGAAATTCCATTTCCTGGTGCATGCTAAGAGTTCCCTTCAAGATAACAGACAACAAAACTACTACTCTAACAAACGGAAACTACTCTCATAGATGGGGAAATCATCATCAAGACCTAATAAAAAAAATTCTTCCCTTATGACACAGTGTGGTCTGCCCAACCCCGCAGGGTTGGTCTTTCCCTAAATCAAAGCAACACAGTTGCGGCCAGCATTTGCTTATAAATTTACTAAATCTCCAAGTCTGAGATGGAGGACGAGGGTGTGAGAAACTTTTGTGGTGATGGCCATGAGCCTGAAATGGTTTTCAAGTAGCGGAGGCGATCTGAAGCTCTCGGTTTGTAGGCTATAGAAGCAAAATCCAGAAGAAACCAAGCAATGACCAAGAGCAGGATAAAAATTAGGGTTTAATCTCAAATTTCTGGCGTTTGAGAAATGTTGGGAGTCGCCACAGGTTTAGAGCCAATGACCACAGCACTCATCATAGGAATTTCACAACGATCATCTCAGATTCGAGGCAGTTTATACGTAGCAATGCGCTGATAATAACAGACTGCCAATCGATGCTTGAAAACGAATCTTCGGAAAGGATGCCATTAATTGATAAATAAGGGAAGCAGAGAAGGGTTTTTTTTTTGGGCCAATCGATCCAAGATTGGAGCAGGGAGGATCATTGACGAGAAGCTACCCTACCCTCCATTTAGAAATGTGAGGAGAGGCACCGAAAGAAGAAGCACGCTACCTAGAAAAATGTGTGAAGAAGAGTGAGGGAAATTGAAGGAGAACACTGTTATTTACGCACCACAAGAACTTTGAAACCTTGAAAGATTGAAGTCGATAGGCAAAGCAACAGAAAGTCTAACGCTTTGAAGCTGATGACCAGAATTGAAACACAAGAGAAAACAGAAAAAATCTCAATCAGTTACCGAAACAGAATAAGGTTGACGCAGATGCTGCTGATTCTCTTTCTGCACAACGAGCATTCGAAAGGGCGAGTAGAAACTACTTACGGAACCAATCTGCGGTCAACGAGAGGCAGAAGGGCGATACTTCCCAACAGAAGCAGCCCGAACAAGCCTTCCCCGAAAGAGGGAAGAGTGACAGGAACCTCACCTGAAAGAGGTGAGGTTGGCCCCAGCTCCAGACTCCACGGTCCAAAATCCTCCTCTCCCTCCCCCTTCTCAAACTTCTTCTGTCCGTGGGTATAGCACACCACGACTTCCCCACCCGGCTGCCTTTACACGCGAAATATACCAACGGACGATTCCCGAACAAATACCGAAAACCCAAGCAGGCTAAGTTATGACCCCGGCCGCGTCAGGGATCGATCGGGCATTCCACTTGCGGTGATACCCTCCTCTCATCTTGATCCCCCGACGGACGATATCCCAAGAAAATAATAATAATAATAATGTTATTATTCTTATTATTAAAAAATGAAGAGGGGGGTAAAAGCAAATTCCGATCGAGCTCCAAGGTCCCACTCTTCTTGGAGGTTCTCCCTTAAATTGCAGTCATTGACTTGATGACAAGCCAACATGTGGTAGACAACCCAATATCCCATCAAAAAAAAACCCTACTGTTCCGCCCATTGAGCTGGTCAGAGATCCGTCTAGAAACTGGGCAACAAGGGGGGAATGAAAACGGCGGTGTCCACGTGGCAACGGAAATGTGCGGGCCTCCAGATTGAATCTAGATAGCATGCACAGCTGTCTACGCGAAAATTTTATATAAAGCAGCTCACCTTTCGTAAACTGCCGCACATGAAAACTAGAGAAAGGACAAGCGAGCTGTAATTCGACAACAGAAAGATCCATCTGAAAAGTACTCCAGTCAGTGATACTCATTCTTCAATGCACCATTTCCACGGTAGTGAAAAACGAGAGCGTCAACACAAAATCGGTCGCATACATCTTGAACCGACGATTTCCTTCGATTCGTAATGGCAGATTTCACGCAGAGCGGAGTGATGATCAACGGAACATCGTCGGAAGGAATATCGGGAGAACACCAGAAACAAGGCAGAGAATTAAGCCAGACGAGATCTGCCGCTCTCGCTGCCTCGAATCATAAAGAAATATTAAGTTGCAAAACGGATCGGGAGAGAAATACGAAGATCCCGACTCGCCGACGGACGAATCGGACTCGAATCCTCACCTGGTCGCGACGGCGCCCCGGAAACTTCGGCCGGCGGAGAGCTGTGCAGAACCGCAGAAGAGGGGCCTGGACAGGAAAGGCGAACCAGGCGCTTGAGCTTACGGTGTGCGGGGGGGGGCAGCAGGGGGCGGGAATCTCAGCCATTCGACCTGCGCATATAAAACGGAGGCCCTGAAATATCGTGGGATCGGATTAGAGATCTGCTGATGGGTCCTGTGGACCCACGACACTTGGTTAATATATTCGGATCCACTTGAATCGATCTACCCATAAGGGGGCCTATTAGTCAATTTTCATTCTACAATCCTAAAATCGGTCCACCTTTAGAAGGCCCAGTCCACACTAAATGGGCCGAGAGGTCCCGAGTGGGCCAGGCTGGGGCTGCAGGCAGGCCTTTCGACAGGACAATTGGGTCTCAACCTCTGACAGGGATCCCAGTTGATGGGCCTCCTGGGGGTTGATGGGCTAAGGTATTCCAGTTGGCCCATATGACAAAACCGTTGGGCCTAAGTGCCGATATACGGTTTGAAAAGCCCAGCCCGTCGACGCCGAAGGAAGATGGGGTACGTGGCCCTGAAAAGGCCGCTCCGTCCCACTTTTAATGGGCCAGGCCGGGCATAATGGACCAATTTGAAAATTGGGTCGAAGACGTCCTCGTTGCGGTCAACCATATAAGTTTAGGAGATCCACAGAGGGATTAAAAAACGTTTTTCAAATAATTCAAAATACCAATTTTAGTCAATTACGCCCAAATAGAACCTAAGTGCACGCAGCCTTTTCATTTTTTATTGTGATTTTTTTTATTTTTGGTTTTTTTCCACATAGAAATTATGTTTAATCTTATATATTTTCACGATAAAAAAGGCCTTACGAATCAATAAAGTACCCTCAACTCGAGTAATAACCCAAAAAAAAAAAATCCAATGTATCACAGTTATCACTTATGTTAGCACTGATGACATTATTTTTGTGGGAAATAATGAACTACTTGAATTGTTACCAAAATGGTAGTTAGTCAATGGAGTCAAACATATAAATTATTAGAAAATCTATCTATTTTGTCATGAAAAAAGCAGGCCTTATGAATCAATAAAGTACCCCAACTCTAATAATAATCTAAAAAAATCCCAATGAATCATGTGTTATCACTTCTATTTGCATCGACGACATTACTTATGTGGGAGATAATGAACAGCTTGAATTGTTACTAAAATGGTAGTTCATCAATAGAATCAAACATAGAAATTTCTAGCAAAGCTTTATATATTCTTCATGATTGAAATATGCCTTATGAATCCTCAATTTACCCCAACTCTAGAAATAATCCCAAAAATCCAATGAATGACTTGTTATCACTTCAGTTTTCATTGACTACATTACTTATGTGGGAAATATGATCTGCTTGAATTGTTACCAAAATGATAGTAAGTCAACGGAGTCAAACATAGAAATTCCTAGAAAACCTATCTATATTCTTCATGATTGAAATATGCCTTATGAATCCACAATTTACCCCAACTTTAGTAATAATCCAAAAAAAAAACAAATGGATCACATGTTATTGCTTTTGTTAGCATCGGCGATATTACTTGTATATGAAATCATGAAGTGCTTTAAATCTCACCAAAATGGTAGCCAACAGAGTCAAACATAGAAATTCATTGCAAACCTATCTAGGATTTAAATATTAAAATAGTTTTTATTCTTAACTCATTTATATGGTTGGCAATTTAGTGTGATTAATTAACTTATGATGCCAATAGGACCCTTCATCCACCTACTCATAGTTTTATTTTTACTAACCAAAAAAGTTGGTCATTATCTCTTTCTTTTGTCATCCCAAGCTGTCACGCAGATCTTCGCGCACCTAGTTAAGTCGGCACCTAACAAGGAGATACCAAACAAGACAACTACTCTGACACAATTTGACTCGAAGCCACGTATATCTTGACAACTATTCATGTCCTCTTCCATAACAAGATCCACGTGGCCACACTTTTCTTTCCGCTATTAAAGATGAAAGTTGTAGAATGGGTGAAGAAACAAGATTCTTAACTCTATCCAACATATCTCTTCGAGGAGAAGGATCACCAATAAGTAGGTTGCCAGACTAAAAGGCCCAGAGATTCAGCAAGAGGGGACATTTGTTACCCACAAGGCTTTCCAGAGGTTGCATGAGGACCGTGTGTCCTACAATGCCATGGCCCATTCTCTCTCCTCACTATAGTGTTCCACCTCACATAGGATCTCTTCCCCTTCTACTACTTTGGGCTATTTATCAACCGATTGTCCATGATCACTAGTGCATGAGTCAAGGAGGTTCATTCACAAGCTCTCGCTTAAAGACCGAGTAGTTGAAAGTTCTACAATTTCTCTCAGGTACTATTATTATGAGAGATTGGGCACTAGGAGATCAAGTGGAGGTTGCCAAAGGTAGAGCCACAGAAAATTTCATTCTAGCATGGCAACAAATCCGTTCCCCGATCATTCTACCCTTATTGCAAGGGGCAGTCTATTTGTGTGCCATCATGTCGATCATGTTGTTTGTGGAACGGGTGTATATGGCCATTGTGATCCTATGTGTGAAGGTGTTGAAGAAGAAGCGATACACCAAATATAGGCTGGAGGATACAAGGGATGATCTTGAAGGCAACAACAATCACCCTACAATCTTGGTTCAGATACCCATGTATAATGAGAAAGAGGTATGATGATTTCTCTCTCATGTTCTTCAAATTGGGGTTTTAGTTTATCTTTTTCACGAATTACAAGAGATCTTTAGCCAAGCATTGGGTAATATAGGAATAATATGATGCTCAATGACTTCCTATATTGTCATCAAGAGACTTGAATGGGACAATGCATGCAAAGACGACTTCCACAAGAATTTGAATTGCATGCAGATTAAAATCTACAAACATCATGAATCGAATTAAACTTCAAACTTTCATAACTAATTTTCAAGTTGTTAAGATATGAATCAAAACATTGAAACCAGCTCAAAATAGAATGTTTGGCATGCCATTCATGATATTCGGTGCTTTAATGTCAATCCCCCCCCCCCCAATATTTGACCTAAAATAGAAGTCATTTTTACCACTCAGATGCTAAAACAACGATTTGAAAGAAAAATATTCATCAAAAAACGTCAAATGGCTAAAGCAGGCAATGTCTGAAAAGAATTATACAAAGACCAAGAGAAGAAAGCTCTAGTATGTGCTTACCATCATTGCCATGTATGAGCATGAACAGTTGCTCATTTGGTAGCAGCAACCAACATAAATGATTGATCATCGAGAAATAGAGTGACAGTCTCCTCTATCTGTCCAGGTTTACAGGCTATCGATTGGAGCCGCCTGTGGTCTCTCCTGGCCGCCGGATAAAATTGTTATCCAAGTTCTTGATGATTCAACTGATCCAGTCCTCAGAGTAAAGAGAAAAAAAAATCTTATCTGCTTCCACTTTTGTGCGAACCCTAATTTCAAAGAACTAAGATGGAATATGTCATGTCTCCCCATTTTCTTGTCAGGAGCTTGTCGAATTGGAATGCCAGAAATGGGTCAGTAAGGGGGTCAATGTCAGGTATGAAACCAGGAGCAATCGAAATGGATACAAGGCTGGAGCCCTCCGTGACGGCCTGAAGAAGCATTATGCCAAGGATTGTGACTTCGTTGCCATATTTGACGCCGATTTTCAGCCCGAAGCAGATTTTCTCTGGAGAACAATCCCGTTCCTCCTCAGCAATCGAGAACTTGCCCTCGTCCAGGCCAGATGGAGATTTGGTGAGCGGGAGAGGGGTTACTGATGAGGGAAGGGAGGGGGGATACTGATGATGGAACTTCATTGCCAAAGGGAGAGTAGCTGTTCAAATCTGAAGGGGCCATTGGTGATTTGGTTTGGTCTTTTTCTTCATTGTGCAGTTAATTCAGATGAGTGCCTGATGACGCGCTTGCAGGAGATGTCCCTAGATTATCACTTCAGTGTGGAGCAAGAAGTGGGATCCTCTGCATACTCTTTCTTTGGATTCAATGGTAGCTCTCCCACAAGGAGTAAAACTCCACGTTACTGCCGTCTTTTCCCCACCCTCTCAGCCTAAAGAGATCCCGCTGCAATCAAGGATGAAGAACATGAGTTGGGAACACATTGGACTGACATGAACTACGGATCGTTTGCAGGCACTGCCGGAGTTTGGCGGATACAGGCGCTAACCGATGCTGGCGGGTGGAAAGACCGAACAACAGTTGAAGACATGGACCTGGCGGTCAGAGCTAGCCTCAAAGGATGGAAGTTCCTCTTTGTGGGGGATTTATCGGTAACTTCTTTCTTTCGAACGCCGGTGACGGTACCTCTCTACACATTCCTGCAATCTCATATAAACGAAGAAAATTTCTGAAGAATTTTCCCCCATCAGGTTAAGAACGAGCTGCCGAGCACATACAAGGCATACAGATACCAGCAGCACAGGTGGTCTTGCGGCCCTGCAAACTTGTTCCGGAAGATGCTGAAAGAAATAATCTACTGCGAGGTGATTTATTTCTTACTCTAATAGCTCAAACCGCATTGAGAGCGGAATTGATGAAGAAAATATACGAAGTTACCGTTTCCGGGGTTTCTGGCGTTCTATCCAGTTCCAGGTAAAATCTAACAGAGAATCTCCGCCATTGCAGAGGGTGTCGGCGTGGAAGAAAATCCACGTGATCTACGCGTTCTTCTTCGTCAGGAAGATAGTGGCTCACCTGGTGACCTTCTTCTTCTACTGCGTGGTGATCCCGGCGTGCGTGCTGGTGCCGGACGTCCGCCTCCCCAAGTTCGTCGCCGTCTACATCCCCTCCACCATCACCATCCTCAACGCCATCTGCACACCGAGGTCGTTCCACCTCCTCATCTTCTGGATCCTCTTCGAGAACGTGATGTCGCTGCACCGGAGCAAGGCCGCCATCATCGGCCTCCTCGAGGCCGAGCGAGCCAACGAGTGGGTCGTCACAGAGAAACTCGGCAACGCCCTCAGGCAGAAGCCCGCCTCCAAGCCCCTCAAGAAGCCCCGCTCTCGCCTTGGTGACAGGTAAGTAACCACACCTCCTCTCTACTTGGACCTACATCACCCAGTATCAAATAGGCCCAGCCCAAATATTTTGTACCAGAATCCGGCCCAATCCTCTCTCTCTCTCTCTCTCTCTCTCTCTCTCTCTCTCTCTCTCTCTCTCTCTCTCTCTCTCTCTCTCTCTCTCTCTCTATCTATCTATCTATCTATCTTCAAGTTGATAATTATAATTGTGTTTTTTTGATAAATATGATTACATAAAAAGTCAACGCTAATTTACGTCAGCAGGATCCATGTCTTAGAGCTGCTCATGGGGCTGTTCCTCTTCTACTGCGCCGTCTACGACATCGTCTTCGGCAGGGACCACTTCTACATCTACTTGCTCCTCCAGTCCGGGGCCTTCTTCGTCATGGGGTTCGGCTACATGGGCACCTTCGTCCCCAACTGAACCCCCCCCCTCCCCCCTTGTTAAGACATCCTTTTTCTCTCTCTATCTCGCATCTCTGTCTACGTCTATATAACTACGTATTCATCTGGAATAAAACGTGTGAAAGCCCCCCTTTAGAGAGAGAAAGTGAGTATTCTGCAAACAGTGGAAAGTAGGTTCAGTTTGGGTCCGAAAAAAATAATAAATAAAATAAAATAAAGATCTTTCGTGGGGGGCCTCTAATTCGACCAGATGGAAGATTTTTCGAATAAATATTTTTTAAATAATGGGAGTTCGCCGTGAAGGCCAAAATGATAAATATTTGGGAAATTAAAAAAAAAAGGGGGGGGGGAAAAGGCTACAGGAACTGGTCGAGCTCATCTAATTTGACGTCATTTTCTTCTCTGGTAGAGAGGTTCTTTACCCGGACCATTCCCCTCTCCCACTCCGAGCTCCCTACCAGAATAAGGCGGCTGGCGTTGACCCGCTCGCAGTGCTTGAAGACCCTGAAGAGCAGCGAGAAGCGGGGCGGTCAGAGGATTCCCCAAAACGGTAGGCGTAAAGGAGCTCAGAGACGGGGAGGAGCGTACCACTTGAGGCGCCTGTCCTCTACGAGGTCAACGCTCTGACCCCTCCGCCGGAGGGAGGAGGCGATAGTGGACGCGGGCCCCTCGAGGGCCGCGTCCAATGGGAAGACGATGCAGTCTACTTTCTGAAGCAGGTCGGGTAGGAGGCCCTTTTCCTTCAGAAGCTGTCATATTTCACGGCTTCGTCAATGGACTTGGAAAATATAAAGATTCTCAAAGAAAAAACATCACCCGTCCTGTCTATGGGAGAGAGAGAGAGATACAGGGGGGGGCGGCATATCTGATTAAGGAAAATAGTACTGATGAAGATGGGCATTCGTACCTCTATGATGACGGCATCTCCAAAGCCAAAGCCACATGCAGGGACCTCATCACCCCCGAACATAGACAGCAGCCGATCGTACCTTCCTCCGCCGCAGATGGCACGCAGCTTCCCTTCTCTGTCAAACGCCTACAGCACCACCATACAAAGAGAGATAAATAAGATAGCCCATGAGCGTCGAGCTCATCTCAAACTCTTCTCCTTCACTGAGCTGAAAGCCGCAATCTTCTACATTTCCACGGTCCATATCAGATATTTCAGAAGAATACCTCAACAAAGAGAGATAAATATATAAAATATTTTCGCCAATATAAAACAGGGAAAATAGGACTTCAACCTCAAAGACTATCCCCGTGTAATATGCCAGCCCACGGACGACAGAAGCATCAAACTGGATCCACTGAGAGTATCCATAGTTTTCCGCAAGTGAAAAAAGCTTTTTCAAATCCGCAACAGCTTCCCCATCAGAACCCAGCGCACCTGCATAGCGGCAATGTGAGGTAAATCGCTGAGAATCTATGTCCACAGGGGAAGAGCTGCTCCAATGGGTTTGAAACTAGAAGCGTGCTTGCCTTTTCAAAAGACTAGAAAGGAGAAGAGAAAATAATGTTAAACTGAGGGAATGAAAACTGATATCAAGAAAAACATGATTTCTGCGTCCAAAATTCTCGTGCTAAACTGCTCCATGGGTTCAACCTTTCGAGGAATTAAGCTGAATATCTGATGGAGCTGGTCGGTAATGAAATGTAATTGATTATAAAATCAATTACCAAGAAAGGGCTAGCTGTGCGTGTTCTTTCTTGGTCAACGGCCCACCGCCTAAAGGAAATGGATATAAAAGTACGTGGTATTTTACCAAAAGATGGTCGGTAATGGAAAGTAATTACAACTGCTGGTAGTTGATTATAAAATCAGTTATCAAGAAAGAGATTAATTGAGCCTTCAAAAAGGCTATCTGGGCATGTTCTGTTTTTGGCAACTGCCTACTGGCAAAAGGAAATAGTCATAAAAGACTCGGGTGTTTCACCAGTTCGAGCGCATCCTTGTTGGACTGCTTCTATCTTGGATTCTTATGCAAACAACAAGCGGTCACTAATAAGTAAATCTTCTTTACCAAGGGGACATACACAAAGGTGAAGTAACATGTGGTATGAAGCTGTTCCATCCTATCAACAGCAACCATTTCTGAACCAATAAAAAAAAAATAATATCACCAGCCTTTGCTCCGAAAATGAAATAAGATTTCATTGAGCAGTCCTAAAAGATGTTTCTGAAAGGAATGGTTGTTTAAGGGTAAGAACGGTAATAAAAGCATCCATCGTACGAAAATGTCATAAAGTCGCAATGAATAGACAAAGGTTTTGTCAACTAGCAAACCTTCCAGATCAGCTAATGATGTGAGAGAAAGAACATCAACTATTCCCTTGACAGCTTCTATAGATACCCCAAGTGACGTCAGTTCCTTCTCAATCTCGTCCACAGGTATTTTTCCCAACTGCGACGGAAAAAAGGAAGCATTATACTACCATGATTAAGATATGTATTGGCCATAACAAAATGCATAGATGCTGACACATGTTTTTGGGGTATTGTTCACTAGGGCGTCTAAGGCCATTTTACCAATCTTCTCATTAGAAATTTAACCATGGGACATTCTAGGTTGACAAGTAAAATTTGGGGGATCCCTTCCACCAATCACAGCTAGAGTTCATTACAGCCTTACGGTGAACAAATACGTTTATCCTTTAAAATTGAAAGAAATAGTGAATGGTGGTAGGTATTGTGAAACTTTAGGTAAATTTAGGCTTTTGGATCTCTCAGGGAACAAAGGTTTAATTCAATAATTTAATGAAAAATATTTAATGGTTTTCTTTTAAAAAGTTAAAATATGAATTGACATACTTTTTATTTCTTAAAAAAAATTGGTTTAACGTTTTTGTGAGACAAATGCTTGCATGACCATTTGAGGATTTAATAAGTTTGACTCAAATCTTAGTGAAGGTATATTAGCATGCCTCAAGAAGTGACTACCCACAGAGGCTCTCTAAGTATCATGAAAAATTCGGCGTACTTACTAACTAGGTTTAAGCTTGATCTGGGGACGATTACATTCATCTAGGACATATGAACCGACAAATAAATGATTTTTTAAAAAAAATTCAAGTCTTGAAACCAAAAACTTCTGCTTTGGTGCCTCCAGGTTAATCTACTTTATACTGTAAACAACTCCAAGAAGCAACAATACGATTATGATTCAATCGTTTGTATAATAGTATAAGCCTAATAGTTTAAATGGATGCAACTCAATTACCGCTCTACCTTAAATCTAATGGATGCACATTATATCTTGCAATATCATCTTCTCGCCTTAACTTTCTCAACCTTATTGGTCCAAAGACTCGTACATGATGCCACTCCTGGGGGGTTGGGGTTGGGGTTGATGCTGGGGCTGGGGGATGAATCTCCTCAGTAGGTCAAAAGGGAACCAAACTATAAATTGCAGCCAGCAGTATCCCTCTGCGATCTGGGGGAAGCTCATTCAGCACAAGGATGGTGGCATCTCATCCCAATCCAGAGGCTCTGACCACTACGAGACTACAATGTCCTGGGTGTTACCACCATAATGGCACGTCTTCAATAAGGCGTTATTACCACCGTAACATATCCTACTGATATCAGCAACTGGATTTGGATCACGCATGGAATGCCTCGTACATACATCTGTTCAGGTACACGTGTGTTCACATATACACTTTTGGATAGGGTGACCCAGTCTCACGTGTATATTCTTTGCAGCACTTTCCCTACCAGTTACCTTTAATTATCGTCCACTAAAAACAATACATTTCCCTCAGTTCAATCTTACTCAGTTATACCTGTTAAGGTGAACTACAACAATCCAATATTTTAGTTAGTTCAAGTTTTCAGGTTGCATGAGAATTAGTTGATTTACAAAATGTCTAACATGGTATCAAAACTGTCAGCACGCCCATTTTAATTTTGCTTACTACTGAAACATCTGAGAGATAACATGACATAATAAAATATCACAGCGTAATAAAATATGAAATAAAAAACGTAATGATACTCACTTTATCAACAATCACACAAACTTTAGTGAATAAAGCCTTGGGTATCGAAAATTTGTCCAATGCTGCCTGTAGAACCTGCAGAAATACAGGCAATTATAATAATTAAGGTCTCTGATATTTTATAGACGTGTCACCCCAGCTTGTAATAAAGATCAATGGCAGTCGAATTTGATTTATTTTTATTACTTGTGCCATGTGCAATAGAAACAAAAATGGCCCATCTACTTATTGGTTGCTAAAACGGCATAATTGATGTCACCGTGTGATGTCCTCTTTGGTGATCCTTTTTGTTGGTCTCAGACAACGGATAGCATCCATGAGTTGCCTAACAGCAGAACAGAAATGAAAAATTATCTAACCTTTCATGATGACATGAATGCATTTACTCTATGAGAATTCCACAAGCTTACTTTCTCGCTCTTGTGAATAAAAGTTGTTTTTTTTAGGAAACTAAACGACGATGTTTAATTCCTCGCAAATAATATAATATTTAAGAAATTGGACTAAAGGTTTATTTTATCATTGTGAGATAAAAAGGTATACAAGACAGGAAAGATCTACATGCCAGTTTAGTCACCAGATAAATGAGAGAAATATGTTATCACTCAAATATTAAGGCTACGAAATGTAATCTACCAGCTCTATGCTTGCAGCTGTAACCCAACTCCCTCCTTCCACTATAAATAGGAAGAATTTTAAGAAGAAAACGCAGGAGAACATACAATCAAACATAAACGGTTGTCAAAAAAAAACAGGAAATGAAGTATGATGTCTGATTGGGATGTGGCCTTGCTTCAAGGATCGATGTGGAAGGATCTCGGCAGTGTATCCCCATATTGATCCCAACCAAACGATCCCTACTAAGAAAAGAGGTTATGATATACGTACACAAATTATTTTTTAAAATGATGGAGTAATTTTAAAATACTTGAAAGTTAAAAAATGACAAATAAATAATAGGAATCAGGAGTGGGCATTATTTGCTTCACAATTAATCTTTGGATTAGATTCCTGATTACATATGATTTCGACCCCATGAAAACACAGATTGGGAGTTAAATTTCTTATGAAAAGGGGTTTATAGGTTTTTTCTTTGCTTCATACTGTAACAGGTTTTTTTTTGTTTCTATTTGCGTACCTTTCGGCTTGAGACTCTTATTCCTACATCCTGTGCTGTTATCCCAAGCCGTTCAAACAAAAGGACAATAGCATAAATTAGTTCAGCCTCAGCCTGTAGGACCATACGACAAAATGGGCAAGAATTAATAACAAGATCCATTCAAATGTAATAGTTGAAAGAGCAATCCCACAAATATGTAAGGCTAAATGGACAGGGATCAATAATTATATCAATATAAATTCTTTTAAATTTAGCCAAAAATTGAAAAAGAAATTTCTGTACATATGAGGCTGCCGTACTTGGGCCATTCACCGGTTTATGCACACAAAAACCAGAACTGTTATGACAATCAAACAAAAAGTTGATAGTCATACGCTTCTTTGAACCAAACAGATAGGAACACCAAGTGGTGTCAAATTCTGAGGGGTAAAATATTCGACTATTTTCCCGGCGAAAATGTTAGTTTGTTCCAATTGATGATTGTGTTAAGTAAACAGAGTGGAAGATAAACGTTTGTCAGGAAAATGCCGTGCCACTTCATTTTTATCAGTATAATATTAACACGAAATTGTCAGGAAAATAATCTATTGGTCATCTGTAGTCTATCTCACCCAATCAACTTACGATCGCCATGGGTAATGGTTTCAGAATTTGTTGAAACCACCTATTGGGAGACACTCACAGCCGAAGATTTTTATAAACTTGAATAGCGATAAGTGATTTTTACAAAGCTTTCACTAGGCCAGGAGAAAGAAACAAGAAGATGATCAAAGCTACCACCAAAGTTCTGTAAGATCACTTCACTTCCTGATTAAAACATTGGAATCATGAAATAAATGAACAAAAAATCCAAAATTTTCATTTTTTTTAAGGATTGTATGATGCTGTTAAACAATGAGCTCATATACCACATATCATCCCGCTCTTCATACTTTCATGACTTTATTTTCTCTCCGGATCTTCCCACAACGACCAAAGTTGTGTAAAACAACTCCCAAAATTGATCTCACCTATCAAGCCCGATCAATAACTCAATTGAGAAATTTAAGGTTTTCAAAGGTGCATGGAGCATCATAGGTGCGAGAGGTACATAATCCCACCAAAAGCAGCATGTCGTTCAAATTAGATGATACATCATTTAAACAAGAAATCGCTATGAAAAATGAAGGTACCTCAGATATCTATTATAGGTTATACATAAGAAATCAATCAAAAAGGAGTTTGAGAAAATATTATAAAACATGCTCTGGACCTGAAATCAAGAAACAAGATGGACCAATCTTAAGTCCCGAGCAAGAAAATTCTTGGGGAGGCGCCTCTAATCCTTCCAGTTGGTAAGTAGGAAAACAACTAAATTTTCCCATAGTACAGTACAAGTCCAAACAATCAATACCTCAATGTGATACCTCCAGAACTAGGAACTGCCTAGATGAGGAATAAATAAGGCAAGAATCAATAATAGAATTTTATTATCAGTAGAGCCAAGAGGGCAAAATGGATCCATCACACATTTCCCAAAGAAACATAGGGTAAAAGATAAGACTAGATATGATGATGCATCATATTTTCTGGACTGGTTTCAGAGGGAACACGATTTATACTCCATAGGGATTACCTTCCCTTAAGGATTTCCCTGGAAGAGACGTTAAAGGCTATAACACAGTAATTTGGGAAGAATAAATTGAATAATCAGATTCTTCACTGTTAGAAGTGGAAGAGACATAAACTTTGGATACGGTGTGAAATTGGATGAACTTGACCAAGAAGAATTGAAGAGTCGCTGAAATAGGCTCATAAAAAGTTATAATTTAAACTGTATAAATTTAGAATAGAACGCCTATTAGATTGCTGGTCATTCAAATCTACTGTGCACACCCGAACTTTTGAAATTCCAATGATATCCATATTCCATTGATAATGCTCACGGCGTCTCCCTCTTGTCATTCGCTCATAACGCCAGCATTGTCCTATTGTAAACCATTTCAGAGGAAAGGATGCAGATTTCCTGAGAAGAAGAAAAGTCAAATATTTCAGTGTACTGCACAGAAAACAATATTCTGAAATTAAAATTTATGTCATTATAGGTTAATGTGAAAGGAGAAAAAAAAATCTAGACCCCTGTTTCATAACAAGCCTTGCCAAGGAAGGAGTGATTTCAGGCCTCAAGACAACTCGTCGTCCTCCCTTATCCTCAAAATTGTATAGCTGATAAGCAAAAGTCATCAGGTTGGGATAAGCACAATTCATGATAGCGATTTAGAATAAGCACCAGAAATGAGTTTTACGGAAATAAAGGTACAGACGATTTCAGATTTCTCAACAGACAGTGTATAAAATGACTATACTATTACGATTTTGCTATGCATTGACTTTTAAATACCTAGTTACAAGTCATGAAAGACGTAGGGGAGAATTCTAAATATCCCATAGTTACACGTAGAACTATGTGGTTCCACATACTACGTGACAATATCAACAGGTTCAACGCATGGTACTATTTGGTTCAATAGATACGAGTTGAATCGATTTTCCAAGACACTGAACCCTAGTATGAGTCAAGATTGTTGAGACGCAAGTGAGTTTTTTAAAAGAAACTTTGCTCATGTGCTTGTATGAGCCATATCCAAGCCAGTCTGAATCATTCCAATCTACAACCAAGTCAGGACAATCAACTTTTCACTCTCCAATCCGTGACATGGCACCAAGCCATCCAACATTACTGTACACAACAGGGAAATGAATACATTCCCTCTTCCCATGAACCTATCCATATAGAAAAGTCTCCAGTTAACGAAAATTTTAATTAGGTGACCGTTTTCCTTTCATGTAGGATAATTTAATACCCCGGGTAGTTGAAGACATTCTAAAAATATAAATACAAAGTCTTAGATATTTTATCAAAAAATGATATTAATAATATACTTTATCATATTTCACTAGCATGTTCTATGGGCCAATGGCACGCCTCAGACAATTGTGATAATAATCTGTATAAACAACATTCTTAAAAAAAATCATGTTGTCAATGTAAAAGTTAAGAACGTCTTCAAAATCTCATAATATTCGTTGAACTTGCAGAAATAGATACCAAAAATGTTAATCAGATATTTCCATCAAATTTATTTTACTTGTGATCTAAATCAGCCTTCTCCTATTGTTTGAAATTTTAATTTCTTTGCCTATAGTGTGACATACACTTTTTTATGCACATAGGATACTCAACTGCATGCTTATGAGTTTTGGTAAACTCCAATCGTCAGAAAGAAAAACACACCTGCTGAGTAATTTCCTCTCCGGCTTTTCTAATGAAGAGCGCTTCCGATTCCAGCACTGGAAAATCTACCTCTTCGAACGACAGCAACCGGGAGACCTTCTCGTAATCATCGCAATCACGCATTAGAACAAAAACTAATCACCGTGATTCCACGACTGCAACCCGTCCGGTGGCAGTTTCCTACCTCTCGAAAGTTCTGAAAAAGCCATTGACGCAGCCTCATCTCCTCGGGAGGGAAATCCCTGGTTCCTCTCGGGGGATTAACATCGATCGCTGACGGTTCCTCCGTCGACGTATCCGAGGCACCCTCATCGGTTGCAAGCGGTCGGGCGTCATCTGCGGAAGAGGACACGGCTCCGCAGCAGTCGTTCCATCAAATCCACAAAAATCACATCAAGGAAGGTCATATGAAGGTAGCATTTCCGCAAGGCCCTCCTCACCTTGTGCCGCAGTGGACTGGTGGAGTGAACTCTGAGAGATGGCGAAGACTGGAAGGGGCAGAGGAGCGACCCCCCACCGAGATCGCTGCCTGAGGAGGGGGAAGCTCTGTGCGATCGGGTGGGAGAGGATTTTAAGGGAATTGGAGAGCCGGGGATGGAGGAGGAGGATGCGGTGGTGGAGGGTGTGAGCGACCGAGGCCATGGCCGACTTCAGACGGCTCGCTCCCCCTTGAAGGGAAGATATCCGTTAGAAGCCTACTGGCTCTGCGCCTCCACGGGCTCCGGGCCGGACCTCACCTCACCCGGGCCCGCCTGAATCTTTTAAAGCTCGGCCCTAAAAATCAGATAGGGCCAGTTTTTTTAAGCCCAAGCCCGGAAAATACGGCCCGGACTGATGATTCACAGTTGCCTCTGAGTTCCTAAATTTCTCACCGGACTTTAGCCATCTGTAAGATGACGTGTGTGAAAACTGACCGTCGATTTCATATCGACGGCTAGTGTTCCGCCATGACGTTTACATTCGTCACTTGCTTCTCTCTCATTCGAGTTGGCTCACGTTTATACGTGCGACCATTCGAGAACTCGTTTTCCTCGCGGTCTCCTTCCCCCGTTCTGTCCGGAGTCCTCCCGGTGATCCCCAGGCCAGGCATCGACCTAGAAGAGTTCGCACTGGGGAGCCTCGCGCGGGGTTTGTGGGGTCTGCTGCTATTCTGAACTCTGGATCGAAGATCCTGAGGCGTCCCTTTCTCGCCAATGGGTTGCTCCTCCTCCTTCCCAGGTCATTACTCACACATCCCATCTAGTCCCTCTAAAGATTGTCTGATTGTTAAACATGGTCAGATGCCAGCTATTTTTGAGGTTCAATTTATTATGTTTATTAATCGGTTTTCCTTTTTATTTTCCAATTTCGGGTTGATACTGAGAGTTATGCGGCTATTGTGATCAGAAAGAAGGTTCATCTTGATGATCCCTTCCATAACTATTACGGAATCTTTGAAAATAATTTTAATCATATTTCATCGAGGAAACCTCTATGATGGAAGAATTTATGGGTGAAGAGGTGATAAGAGTGTCGGAAAAGGAAGGATGTAGAACGTGAATGTAGACGTATCATCAGTGTTTCCCGTCTTCGCGCGAAAAGAAGGATATATTTCAGTGGTGTATATGGTCAGTAGTAAGCACCAGAAAAAGGATCAGGTTCTCTTACACAGGGTCTAGAAAGTGAGGGTAACATGGATTCATTATCATGTTTGATATTCACCGCTGTCTTGAAAAGATGCCACAAAAATCATGTTTGATTTTCTGAGGTGTAACAGAAATCCTGTCATCCCTTCCGGGTAATTTACACCATGAACATTGACTGTACAAGATGACTAGTTGATTGAGGTATTTTCAAAACTTCTACCCCACATTTCCTGTGCATCAAAGCATGAAAAATACCCTAAGGCACCTAATGGGTGTTAAAAACGTTGAATGCTTACCAAATAATAAAAATGTATTAACTCTGGTGAGGATTTTAACATTGTCGACTGAAATGAGCTATTTTACGTGAGTATTTGCATAGAAGGTTCTCTATCTTTCATTATCATTTCCGTAACTCTGCTTGTGGTTAAGTTGTTTTGTCTTGCATGCAAGTATTTTATCCTCGCTTCCATGACTTGCTACCCGTATTTACATGGTGGGTGAGTCATTTATTTAATACGGTGCTGTCTGTGTGAAAACCATTATGGTTATTTTATGCAGAAAGGATCCATTTAACTGAAATTCTTCTGGCACCTATTGTTACTTTAATATGAATATTAGCACACACGATTGGAAAATCTTCTCTCAAGAATTAATGTCGATCTAAGTGTTCCTTTTCCATGTAATAATATTCTTTACATTTAAATTATCATTCATACCACTAGATTGGTCGGGAGTTTCTGAGGCTATAACGGATATATTTCTTTTCTCTGCAGCTAGGAATACTTCGGGGTTGGGGAATCTGAACGTCAGTGATGCTACAGTCTCAGACTCGAAAAACCTGAAAGTCAAGGTAAGTGGGCTTACTCTTCCCCCAATGTGGTCCTGTTTTCTTTTGAATTCTTTTTGTCAAAAAGCTGATATTTTATTGCTGATACTGTATACTACAATATGTGATGTCAGAACATTATAGATCGTCTTTCATCGTAATAGAATAGGATTCCTGTTATATGCTCTAGGATGTGATGGTACCAGACCCAAGACAAATGCGAACTTGGCTGAGCTAGTTGTTATGCTCTCCTATGTAGCAACTTGGTGTAGGAATGTGTGCCGTAAAAGAAGGCGTGTGGCCGTGAGTCTGAGCTGGCTAACCTTGTTCTATGGTGCCAAGGATGGTGAATTTGACGCATAAAGTATTGTTTTGCCGGTATTAGATAAGTCCAGTCACTTGGGTATGGATGTTTAGTTAATAATATGTTTAGATGTAGTTGAATTAATTTCTACCTAATCTTGTTTCCAGTTGGTACTGTTGGGGGATTCTGGTGTTGGGAAAAGCTGCATTGTCCTTCGCTTTGTCCGGGGTCAGTTTGATCCAACATCTAAGGTAACATCATATATATCAGTTGCCATTATCTTATCACAAAATAGGATTATGGTAACTATTGGTTTATGATGGGTTTCAGGTGACTGTTGGTGCTTCATTCTTATCACAAACAATAGCCCTCAAAGACTCTACGACGGTTAAGTTTGAGATATGGGATACTGCTGGTCAAGAGAGGTATGGATTTTCACATTTGAGTGACACTATTCCACTCTTCACGAACATAAGTAAAAGAAATTATCCACTTACATCACATGGGCAAGAAAAGCAAAAGAAGGAAAATGTGTCTAATAGATGGGGGAACAATCTCTACTTTCCTGGTGACAGCAATTGTAGAAATATTGCAACATATATTCTATCATTTCCAGAAGAACGAGAAGTGAAATACCTAACCCGAGAGAAATGAAAAACGATTATGATGTTCTTCTGGTTTCCTTTTGATATATGAAGAGTGAATGGATTCATCTACACGTTTATTCAGTGTTTGAATGGATTCATACTTTCCTAGTTATTCTCTTCGTCACTCTTTTTGAAACAGGTATGCTGCATTAGCACCACTTTACTATCGAGGAGCGGCTGCAGCAGTTGTAGTATATGACATAACAAGCCCAGAGTCATTCCAGAAGGCACAATACTGGGTCAAGGTATTTTCTTGGCTTTCTTGACTTTCTTGATCCACTCTTTATGGGTTGACTAGACCGCTGACTTAGACTTGACCCAATGAAGCAGTGAACCAACACTTCTTCTTTTCTGACAGATTGATTGAGTAGTTGGTCATTTATTATATAAATTCCTTGTCATTTTATTTATCATGCTGCTGATTAAAACTCTGTTGTGATGTCTTGAAACCGGTGGGGCCTGTGGAAAAGCTGATATTTGGCATTATATAATTACAGGAACTTCAGAAACATGGAAGCCCAGATATTGTCATGGCTTTAGTCGGTAACAAGGCTGATTTGCACGAAAATAGAAGTGTGCCTCTTCAGGTGACGATAAAGATTCTCATTAGAAGTATTTAATATTATATTCGTTGCCATTATAAGATAGTAATCGACTGAACTATTTTAGCTACCCGGTTGATGCTTCTTTGTGTGTTCGTGTTGTCAAGGATGCCACTGAGTATGCAGAGAAGAATGGGATGTTCTCAATTGAGACATCAGCGAAGACTGCCAATAACATTAATCAGCTGTTTGAGGTACGGAATTTTGCATCTCGATAGAAATAAATGCAAGTCAAAGCTGATGTTCTTCGCCCATGAGGGCTAGTAAAGCCCGGTTGGGCCTTTTTTTAATTTCCGGGCTTCATTTTTAGGCCCAGGGCCCGGAGAGAGTTGTTCATGACTATCCTCTTTTGGCCATCTTGGTTCATCACCGGTTGCAAGTCTTGACTGGCTGCTCCTTCACTGTTTCAGGAGATTGCCAAGAGGTTGCTGCTCAGGACGACCTCCTCTCCCTCTTCCTGACTACCGTCGCTGAGAATTTCCCGCATTCATCAGTGCTATACATGGCGGAGAATCATCATATCTCTCTGGTTTGTACCACAAAACCTGGTGTGATGTAATTTAATGGCTCCTGATGAAGTCTTGATCCATGTTTGTGTGAAGCTTTCCCAGGTCGCTGATGTATATTTTGGTCAAATCCACATCATTCGTTCGTATTTTCCTAAACTAGAGAACCTGGGCAACCGGATCTCTCTCTCTCTCTCTCTCTCTCCCCGGCCCATTTATGGGCTTTTCTGGGTCTATCCTATGAAAAAAACCCAACCGGTTTGTTTCCCCCAGCATTAGAGTAGAAGAATCAGAAACAGAGAATCAGCCCAGTACACGTGGCTCCCCAGGTGGAACCCGGAGAACCTTAAAGCCCGTTGTTAAACGTCACCGCGATGACGGTATGCTCTGGGCTCTCATACCAGTTCGGACCGGTTTCATATATGAGCCAAGTCATCGGCCCACATGCACGGACATCAACGCATAATGTCAAGCCTTATCATTTTTCTTATTTTTTTTCTCAATTTCTTTGGCATTCCTACTAACATAAAAAATCATAAATCTGATCAATAAGAATATAATCCGGCACGTGTCCTCCGTCGATTTGACAGCTCCTTCAGGTTCCTCGCTGACTTTTTCGTCAGTGTTGCGTAAAGTCAGACGGCCACCGCATTCATGCAGCGGCGGCGGGCGATCGGGTGATCTCTCGCAGCATCTTCAAGGCCACACAGGGCTGATCGACGGGCACCTGGCCGACCAAGAAGGAGACCTTCGTCAATACTCCATCATAGCTCCCCTCTCTCTCTCTAGAGATTCTCTTTCCATCCCTAGACTCCCTATCTACTCTCTCTCTCTCTCTCTCTCTCTCTCTCTCCTGGTTTGATGGTGTGTGAGCCGATATTCCGTGGTGTGGCGGAGTCCAAAAGAGCGGACAAAGCACGGAAGGAAAAAGAACACAAGAAGACAGATCACGGGTCCTCCTCCCCGTCGTAGGAAGATATATATATATATATATAGAGAGAGAGAGAGAGAAAGAGAGAGAGAGAGAGAGAGAGAGAGAGCTCACGAAATGTCCGGCCCCAAGGATCCAGTAGAAACGCAGATTCCTATAAGACTTGGTGAACCCCTTCGTCCCTCCGTCGCCTCGGCAGTAGATGGGAGTTCTATTCACCGTATTGAAGTTGTTTAGCCCTTCCCATCTGCAGATGAACTCATTAGAGAACGAGCGAGCGAGAGAGAGAGAGAAAGAGAGAGAGAGAGAGAGATCACTTGAGCTTCTGGAGCCAGGCTTCGGTACCCTTGGTGGCGCATATCACGTCGAGCTGCATGATGATCAGATCATAAAAGGTCCCCCCCATCATCTTTAAGGAGTAGACGGTGCAGCCGCTAACAACAGGCTGGCAACGAGACGTTGACCATGGTGAGCCTACCTGTCCGTTGTAGACGGTGACGTTGACCCCTCTGGACAGCAGCTCGTCGACCTGGTCCACGTTCGAACAGTCAAGACTCCACCACTCAGTTGCAGCTGCCATTAATGGAGAAAGCTTCCGGGGTTACCTCGGCGATCCTGGGCTTCATGAAATCGTTCGACAGAGCGTTGAACACCGCATCCGACTGCCCTCCCCAGCTGCTCATCACCGCCGCCATTATGTTATCATCCTCGCCAAGATCATGGAGACCATTGTTTACAGAGCGTCTACGTACCTCACGTTCTTGGGGATTATCTTGAGCTTCTCCCTGATGGGGCCGTCCATGAGGCTGCCGAGGCCGCCGCCGGAGGCCGCTGCCGCCTTGGAGGCGAGATAGGTCGAGTACTTCTTCACGACGATGGACCGGGACAGCTCCGCCGCCGTCTCCGACACCGGGTCCATGTCGGAATCGAGAAGGAAGTTGTAGAAGTCCTGAGCACAGTCCGGAGGGACCCGGTTAGAGAGATAGAGAGATAGATAGATAGATAGATATATAGAAATATGGATAGATAGATAGATAGATAGATAGATATATAGAAATATGGATAGATAGATAGATAGATAGATATATAGAAATATGGATAGATAGATAGATAGATAGATAGATATATAGAAATATGGATAGATAGATAGATAGATAGATATATAGAAATATGGATAGATAGATAGATAGATAAGGAGGGAGAGAGGAGAGAGAGAGAGAGAGAGAGAGAGAGAGAGAGAGAGGGAAGATTCAGGTCGACCCGGACTCACCACAAAGTTGCTGCCGGCAAGGATGACGTCCTCGAGCAGGCTCCAGGAATCGGTGGCCTGCCCAAACTGGCCGGTCTTGATCTGCTCCTTTATCTGCTCCGCTACTCTGCATGGGGGCCGGATTTGGACCGCATTAGAGGGAGAAAAGCCTAATCTCTCTCTAACCCTCAGACCCGGGAAGGGGTGGTGAGAGTGACCTGTTGGCCTTCTCCAGGCCGCTGATGTCCAGACGGGAGACATCCCTGAGCAGCGGCCCCCAGGAAAACTGCACGCAGGATAGAGGAGCAGGATCTTGAGGGATTTTTATAGTAATCTGAATGTGGGGGTCTCTGCGACTGGAGTTTCAGAAGGACAGACCACGAAGTCCTCGGGAGAAATCCAGCTGTCGCCCAGCGCCACTCCTGCAGTGGAGGCGGAAGAGAATGAGAGGAGGAGGAGGAGGAGGAGGAGAGCTGTCAAGAGCCGAGAGAAGGACCCCCGAGTTGGAGCTTCAACTGGCCGGATTGGATGGCGTTGATGGCGGAGAGGGCAAGACTGACGGCGTATTTCCCGCCGTAGGATTCGGCGACAATGTAGAGAGGGCTGCGCTGGAGCTGGGGGTTCCTGTTGAAGAGCTCCTTCAAGAGGAAGGTCAGGTCCGCCCCCGCCTGCTCGTCGGTCTTCACCAGCGCCTTCTCGTCCTCGACGAAGCTGTACCCGGTTCCGACTGGGTTGTCCTGCCGGTGCTCCGAGAAGAAAGCCAAATCATTTTCAGAGCACTGGCGAAGACAGATAGATAGACAGATAGAGAGAGAGAGAGAGAGCGAGGCTGACCACGAAGAGAAGATCAGCCATCTGCAACCACGTAGAGCTCCGAGGCCTCAGATCGGTGTTCAGAGGTCCAATCTCTTCGAAATTGCCAATCCCGACGCCGGAAGCACCCTTTGATCGTGGTCAATAATGGAAAATCGCTTAAGCTTTCGGGCTACTTAATCAAAATTGAGGCATGATCATAGAGAGAGAGATAGATAGAGATAGAGAGAGAGAGAGAGAGAGAGAGAGAGAGAGAGAGAGAAGAGAGAGAAGGGGGAGGGCGAGAACTCACAGGCCCGCCCTGAAGCCAGAGAACTGTAGGCCAAGGGGCGGAGGGCTCGTCCACTCTTTGGGGACTCCGGTAGAGCCACCAAAACATGTGAGCCCCTGCATCAATGGAAGATAAATAATTAGAGGGAAGAACCCGGGAAGGTCGCCGGAAATCTGAGGAGGAGGGAGGATGAATTCGCTCGCCTGGTCGGACTTCCACGTAGCCCCACTCCTCCGACCCATCTACCGTGCCGGCGGCGCCGGCGACCCTACAGCTTACGAGCGCGAGAACATGGAGAAGGACGATGAGGAAGAGCGGGAGAGGACCTGGCGAGGCTCTCCCTCCCATTGGAGATGCACGGAAGTCGAAGAGAGAGAGAGAAGCGGAGTGAAGGGCGGCAGCGGAGATGCGGGGGAGAAGGTAGCGCAATGAATTGATGACACCGACCCTACTTCGAAACAGGCCGCGGATAATAATTGCAGCGAGGAAAGATTTCTCGGTGCGACTGGGAATAAGGAGAACAATGAGCTCTGTGTAGACTGATGGACAGATAGATAGAGATAGATAGGAAGATAGATAGAGAGAGAGAGAGAGAGAGAGAGAGAGAGAGAGAGAGGGGGGGGGGGGGAAGAAGGGGAAAAGAGGTCCAAGATTCTCGCCCGGATTTATCTGGAGGAGCCGTTTTTCGCCGGCTGCGGTTAGAGGGTGGAACGGAGGAGACGGGCGACGGGCATGTAGAACTAATAAATGAGCGGCGGAGAGGGCAGGGAGCCCGAAGAGGACCCGGTGGCGTGTTAACAGAGGCTTTTCCTGAGCTCTTCCCCTACCCACACGGGAGGACGAGAACCGGTGGACCAGCCTCCTCTTGGGACCCCGTGACACACCGCAACGTACGACCGGCGGCGGCGGCGCCGCCACCGGCCGGTCGCCGCGTCGACAAGGCGACCCCTTCCTCCCCTTCCCCTCGGATAGCGGACCTTACTGGGCCGGATACTTATTGGGCCCCAGCCTAAAAAGCCCTTTTTTCTTTTGTAGAGAGACAACAAAAGATACGCGAGGGCATGTGAGCCCGGTGGGGCCCACTCCCTCCAGCTGCACCAAAACCGGCGGTTGCGTTGGCAACGTCGAGAATATGGGGATTGTTAATGATCGATCCTCTGCGGGGGGGAAAACGGAAGTACATATCCAATTCCCAATAATGAGTTGGTATGCTATGACAATATGAGAGATTATTGGGCCGACGTTGACATTCGTCCGAACCCCCGGGGGACAGCCTGGCCTCGCCAGCAGCCTCTGGACTGATCTACTCGGGGCCCACCGCCCAAATAATTCAATTATCTCCACAATGTCAAACATTGGAAATATCGGAGGCTTACCAAGGTTTGGATTATATTATTCCCAGGTGGGGGAGCGAAGAATCAACCGCGGGACACGTGGATAGTGGGCCGTGAGCTGGGCCAACGGGGAGCCAGGCCCATCCAGCTAGGCGGGCATGTTTTATTAAAAAAATAAGGAAAAAGAGAGAATGAATAGTCGAAGACCGGTCGAGCGGGCCGCCCACGTGGCGGCGGGGTGGTGGTCCTGCCCGCGAAAGGGGATTTCCGGTGGTGGTCCTCGAAAGCGATTCCCTCCCCGCTGGGCCCAGCTGGAATGGGCCGTCCGAGTAACTCGGGGGGGCGTAGAAATGCGTTCGGAGGATGGGCCCACTCGCCCATGGCCCAATAAGAGCAGAGCTTTCCCGAAACGGGGTCGTTGTCGTATAAAGACGGCGGGCTTGTAATTGCTGTAATTAAACAAATGGGGGTGCCCGAGCGGCCGTCATGTGGTGGGTTGGGGCTCAACGGACACCTTCGGCAAGACCGGTAGGCCCCGCGTCCCCGGGTCCCACCTGCGATAGCAACGCGGCAGCGTCCGAACCGGGCCGGGTTGGATCGGCCCCGGATCGGGTCGGATCAGGGCTAAAGAATGGTGGGAAGGGGGTGATTCTTGCTTCGGTGAGCTTACCGGATCCTGTGGGGCCCGCGGGGGCGGGGGCGTTTCGTCTGCGTGTAGCCTACCGGTGGCGGTTGCTTAGGAGGCCAGCGGGGAGCGGCGGGGGATGCCCTTCCGCCGCCGGGGTTTGGCGGCGGCGATGACGTGGCCGGCGGCGAGGTCCTGACTGCGGTCGGCGGGCCTCCGCCTGTCTGGGGGCCGCCGGTGCCGGGGGGCTGAAGTCGTCGGCTCCTGTCCGACGCCGCCGCCGTCGCCGCCGCCGCCTCCGCCGCCGCCGCTGCCGTCGTCGTCGAGGAGGAATGTCGCGCCGCCGCCCGTCCGCTTTATCCCTTCCAGCTGCACCGACAGCACACCCACGATGAACCACCGCCGCCATTCCTCGTTTTTTAAGCAGGTGGGCCGAGCGAGCTTTAGAGAGAGAGAGAGAGAGGGAGGGAGAGAGAGGGAGAGAGAGGGAGAGAGAGGGAGAGAGAGGGAGAGAGAGGGAGAGAGAGGGAGAGAGAGGGAGAGAGGGGGAGAGCGAGAGAGAGAGAGAGAGAAACCTTGCAGCCGAGGGAGCAGAAGCGGACGGGGTCGAGGAGGGTGCGGGAGCAGATCTCGCAGAGGTGGGCAGCAGACTTGGCGGCACCGCCGATGCCGGAGGAGGAGGAGGAGGTCCCCTTGGGCTGAGGGCGCTCGTTGAGGAAGACGACGCGTGCGCTGTTAATGACGTAGTTCTGGACCCCGCTGACGTCCAGTGCCCTCTGCACCTCCGAGACCCTCACGACGTCGTGGTAGGACGACCGCCGTATCTTCACCCCCACCCGGCGGCGCCGCCGTCAGCACAAGCAATGAAGACAATATATATGTAGAGAGAGAGAGAGAAAGAGAGAGAGAGAGAGAGAGAGAGAGAGTGGCTGACTTGTATGGAGCGGTGGTCGGCGTGGGCGGAGGAGCGGCAGTAGAAGCAGAAGGCGCCGGCGGAGGGACAGTCGAGGCAGAACATGTTGCACTCCCCGCGGGCGGCGTCGCCGTGGAGGGTGCACGAGGCGAAGAATGTCGTCGCCAGCAGCGGCTCCAACCACGGCGGCGCCGCCGCCTCTGCCCCCGTCCCCGCTCTCCTCGCCATTATCGCCGCCCCAGGATCCCCTCCTGGGGCGCCCTGCGCCTCCCCACGACGGAATGCGAGCTGCGACGACGACCAGGGAGGAGAGAGGATGGACACCCAGATAGAGATAGAGAGAGAGAGAGAGAGAGAAAGAGAGAGAGAGAGAGAGAGAGAGAGAGAGAGGGAGAGAGGAGAGAGAGAAGGCCGCAGACTTATAAGTCTATAACGCAGCGATGCCTCCGGCGGTTGAGAGGAGGGGGAGACAGAAATACGGGCGGAGGAGGGTGATGGGGTTCGCGGTGGGTCTCTCTCTCATCTGATGAAGCCTCAGCCGTGTGATTTAGAGAGGAGGAAAGGGAGAAGTGGGTCCGTCGTAAGGGTCTACCGCATTTGACTTTGCCCGCGTTCTTTGCGTCTCGTCGTAGACAGCGTATTTTTTTTTCTCTAAGCAGGGCGGGCCCCACCGAGTAGGCTGTCCAAGCCGGCGATGGGTGGGAGGGGAGGTGACGTAAGAAAAAGGAGATGGAGCGAGGCCAGTCTATCAACCCTCTCGAGACATGACACCCCACGTGCGGCACCCGTGGGCATCGACCTCCCACGTGCCGCAATGTCGGCGTTCCAACTCACATCCCACGTCGGCTGGGCCGAACCTGTTTCTAACGGATTATGGGCCCGACCCGCACCACGGAATGGGCTACGTACGTGGGGACCCGACCGCTTTCCTCCAAGCGGTTACTTTGTTTATTGGGCCGTGACATAAATGGGCCTCTTCTCCCCTCTGCAGGCATCTTTTTGGGCCACCAAAAACAGAAAAGAGCCCAAAAAGTATTCCCGAGGGCCCAAACTGAGCTTCTCTGCTCAGTGATGAAATATATCAGGTCTCATATTTACTGAAAATGGCAGTTTTGCATGGGCTCTGGGATCTCAATCACCGGCAGATTAAAAGAAAAGCCAGAATGAAATAACATAAATTATGACAGTTACAATGGACGATGGAAGGCTAGTACCATTAGATGCTCCAAGCTCCGCAGTGAGCCTTAGACATTGGATGGCAGAACACCAAATGGGTTTGGAGAGTTGACGAAGACCATACCACCGCGGAGACTCTGCGACATGAGACAGTTGACTCCTGATAGCAGAAACCATGAGCCCGACCTTCAGTCACATGAAAGCTCAGAGAATTATGGCTGGTGATAGATCTTCATGGAAAGAATGAGCTGACCCAATTCACAAGAGACGATCGGTGAGCTGTGGCTGTTGACTGCCCTTTTTATGGAAAGAATGAGTTGAGCCAATTCACAAGAGACGATCGGTGACCTGCGGCTGCTGACTGCCCTTTTTATGGAAAGAATGAACTGACCCAATTCACAAGAGATAATCGGGGAGTTGTGACTGACGAGTGTCCTTTCATGGAAAGAAATGAGCTTACCCAATTCACATATGAGCTCTGAAAATCATAGCTGATAGTAGCTACGTGGTGCCAAAGGGTCAGCTGGAAGAGGCGGATAACGCTCTGAACCGTAGTACAGATTGGGGCCCACTGATGCTGACGGAGCATGAGCGAGGTGATCAAACATGTAAGGGCCAGGAGGAGTTGACGGGGGAGGCGGGTGGAGGTCTGACCAATAAGCCGGCTTGGGGGGACCCACGGGTACTGGTGGATCACGAGCTGGCAGATGGTGAGATCTTCTAGGCAATAGGGACGGCAGCTTATGATAGGCCAGGTGGTGAGGCTCGGGGGGGGGTGGGGACCCTGGTTGAGGTGGCGCCCTGTAGTTAAGTTGACCAGGAACGAAGGACTGTGGGTAAGATGAGAGGATTTGACTCTCAGGCCAGCTGGGTCTTCCAATTGGTTCGGTGTAGCGCATCTTCTTTGGCAGTGGAGTGTTGTTGCTCGGAACAGTGAGTGAATCATGGTAGGGAAAACTCCTTTTAGGGTTGCCCAATCCACTGAGGATCGCATCTTCCTGCCGGGTATGGAGAGAAACGGGGCCAAATAGGAGGACTTTCAAATCCGAGCCCTCCATGTAACCGTTCCTGAAGCTGAGCAGGTGATCAAGGGATCTGTCGATGCACTCATATATCTGCGGAAGTTCAAGTTTCCCCACCGCCCGTGCACAATTTTGAGATCGGTCCAAGAAATCCTCTACCTAAACAAAAGAAAATGGTAAGAGGAATGGGCTTTGGATAATATGCTTGATTATGAAATGTTCTACGATGTGAAGGGAACTTACACCAACATTACTGAAGCCCCAGTTTTTAGATATCCAAGATCCCTCGTAAGTGCTTGCACATAGACCAAGTTCCCATAAACTTCTTACGGATGAAAGCTGCAAATAACAAAAGTGATGCGGATATTGCATGATTTTCGGAAGAAAAAAGACTGGAAAGTGAACTATAAGTTCAAACAACTGTTTTGCTGATTCTCCAAAAAAGCATCTTATTAGTCTGTGTACAGGCTCAGAGCATTCTCCAGCAGATAGGAAATGAAAAATTCTACCTAATAGTGAGGAGAAGCTATATGTAATGGTTGTGAGCTTCCCACCGGAGAACCCAGAAGTTGTTTGTAAGGGAGTGGGGGGAGAATGGATGATAGCTTTTGGAGGATCTTGTTTTATTAATGATGATTCTCTTGATGTTTAATGATAATGGAAAGTGCAATGATTTCTGTTTCCTGTTACCATTTATTTTACTCAACGGTGATCTTCTTCTTCAGATATTTCTCCATCTCTGTGGCAGAAAAGGATAATTTACCTTGCTCAATAGAGAGACAAAGAGCTCAGCTAGAGATTCTTTATTTTCTCTCCCAAACTGTCTGAATTCATGGACGACCTTCTGCACACTGATGGGTTGTTGACCATCTGACAATAAGAAGCAAATAGAAATTCTTGTCGACAATATTTCTGATAAGGAACAATGAGTAACCTTCAAACATCAAGCAGTCAATGATATGAACCTCTATATATCTAGACGGGAGAATGAAAGGTTAAAAGAACGCACGTGATGTGATTTTTCTCCGCATTTTTTTTTGGACATTTTGGCATAAATATCATCGCATGCAATATTACATATAAACTATGGATGAGCGTTAATAAGACTTTATTGCAGGAAAAAAATATATATATGACAAGTCTCTGAAATAGTCTCCCGGAAGATATTACCTCTCAAAAGTGCAGAGAAAGGGGGTAGTATAGGGGGATCTCGAGTCTGCACTAGAAAGAATGAAATAAAATGTCATCATTAAAATATTTTTTTAATGAAATAAGATTTCATCATTAAAGAAAACCCAAGTATATATTCTACAGCACGTCACTAGACCAGGGATTACACTGGCCCAGAAGACTTGGAAGTAATGAATGGCATGCTTCCACTGAAATCGGTATGTTACATAAGTGCGATAATAAAACGAAATAAGTTAGTACGTTTATTACACATAAATTTAAAATAAAACTGGGTCCATTTTCTGTTTGAATATAAAAAACGGGACCACCTACGTAGAAACACAATTATCATGTCCGGCAGGTGTCCAAGTTCTTGAGCTCCTAGTGAGGGAATGCTTTCTGAATTTTCCTCATCAAACGGAACCAGCAAATAAGGCCCTCACGCGTGGTCAATCCTCAAGATATCATTAAGTAAAATCTTCACCACTTCTATGTCATCGGGTCACCAGTACTATTTTCAATCAGTATGCAAAAAATGGTAGCATTCCTCATTATTGGTCTTTCAAAAAGATCGAAAAGAAGGTTAGTTTATCCTGCAGTCCACCACATGGAAGAAACCTTCATGTTCAAAAGACAACAGGGTTTCTGTCTTTGGTATTGATTTTATTTGCCTCTCTTGATTCACGATTTTATGTCCCGTTTTTATGAAAGCGGCAAGAGAGAGAATTAAAGAATCTAAATGAAAGATGAACACCGTGAGACAGAGAAAAGGTGAAATTCATATTTTTGGGGACAAAAGAATAATTTTTTAATAAAATATGCTTCAATTAAAAAAAATCTATGGATTCCACCTTCTAGAAAAATAGATGAAAAGATTCGCAGAAGTCTAAGCAGTGCATTTTTTTTGAAATAGAACAAACATTCATTGAAGATTTCAAGTGATGATGCAAATGAAAAGCAAATGAGATTTCAAGATAAACTCGAACTATTTTTTGTACCTGCAAATGAAAAGCAACCAGCAATGTAATGGATAGAGAACTCAGTGTATGATCTTTAGAACTGTTGATGCGATGAGCCTTCGCCCAAACCTTTGTCTGCATGAGAAATAAGATAATTACAAAGTAAAATTAAAGTTCAGATATTGAAGAAACGAATCTCAAGCACGAGAATATGATCAATCTTTCCAGCTCAGAAGAAAATTTCCAGATGTTACAATAACCCTCTGCAGGGAAGTGCTAGGGATCGTTACGACTAACATTCTTGAGGGCTTAAATACAGATAAGTGTACTAAACTGGGGAAATACAGAAGGTATTATGACAATCAATAATGAATCGTGTATTAAATCAAGTTATACCAGAAAGCATAGTATCCGAAACCTTCCATCAACCAGACACATCAGATTGATCATCATGGATCTTGAAATACCATCCTTATTTTCGACAGAAATATCACATTCAATGCCCGTACCACGATCGACAACTTTCAGAACTGGCACTCTAGCTCTCATAATCGGTAACACGCCAAACACATTTCCTTTCCCTATAACATCATAAAGATATGATTACTGCATTGTAAACACAAACGTCAACAATGTTTAATGAGATAATTTTATCCGTGAAAAAAACTTTTTCAATAAAAAAATTTCGCTTTAATAACCACGGTGCAGATTGCATAAGGATAAGAAATAAGGGGAAGAGAAGATCATAAGTGGAATTGAAAATAAAATACAATTTTGGCATGATGAAAATGAGCAGAGTCTCTGAAAGAATGGAAAACCAGTATACCATCCATGAGCCCAGTGCCAACTATTTGGGATTCCATAAGGACGATGGTGATCACAATAACACACTATGACCGCTTCGATTACTCACAACTACAGCTACTGGTTTTATGAGCGCCTCTTGTCAGGACCCAGCACGCAGGATACGCTGGATGGGATAGAATTGGAAAAGCATTGGAATGCTCTGATGAACATATAATTCAATACAAACAAATCTGCCATAGACCCAAGGTATGATGACTACAAAAAAATTTGCATACCAAGCTTCCAAAGATAAATGATGAATTCTTTTAGCGCAGGAAAATGTTAACATGAAGACATTTCCATAATAGACATATCTATACAGATTCATTCACTTTTTTCATGAAACATGTCGAGAAATGGTCCCATGCTGGTTATCGCAGAAATAGACCTATGATCATAAAGTGGTTTTGATTGGAACGGCTCACTAAATCTATCAGTACAGATCTCACTCGCCTGTGTGATAATCATATTACCTCGGAAGTTGCAAGTAGTAGTTTTTCAATGATAATAAAAGGGCAGAGTAGAGGTGAGAGAATAATCTCAAGATTCAAATAATGAACCTGAAATAGAAAGAACGCTTTAAAGGAAAAGAGGAATTACTTTGGTGCGCATAAAGAACCTTGGCAAACTTCCTAAGAGCAGAGATCTTCCTCTCCCGAGGAAATGAAGAGGTTTCATCAGCAATAAAATTAAGAGAGAGATCCAAGTCACTTTTAGGGGTAAACATGTCCATCACAAATGAACCAAATGGCTCCACAGTAGGAAAACCATTGTTATAGCCTGAAGATACAAGAATGCCATTAGCTCTTACTTTGAACAAGCGAAGAAAGAAATAATATCACTGAGAAAAAGACAAGGTACACATACTTCTGACAAAAAAAATCGACTAACATTACCAGTTTTTCTGTTCAAAATAAGAGTCTGAAATATTTTATAATCTAAAATTTTAAAAAATGTGTTATTTTAACAAAAAATTAGATCAGAAGGACTTATAAAAATTAAAAAAAAGATTGCGAAAAAGGGTTGCAATCTGTAAATATGCCAACATGTTTTCATGAAGGCAATCATCTATTTCGGTTTTCTAATTAATTGACTCTAGGATCCTCCATTTCAACTTGAAATATCAAAAAATAAATATTGGGACATGCTGCAGGGCAAACAAATGAGCATATTACTTTCACGATACACCAACAATCAGTAAATTAAAGAGTTAATATTTCTCTGCTATAACTAACACATCAGAACAAAGAAAAAGCGAGTACGGAAGGCCAGAAAGTAGAATTTCATGTATAGCTAATTTACCATATGTCTCTTTCGCCATAGAATCAAATACATGGACCAAATGTCTGCGATGTTCATAGTCAACTTTTCTTGGGTGCAGAACGTCATACGCATCTAGTAGTAAGACCTCAAGAGCAGAAATGCAGCGAGGACTGAATCTATACAGCCGTGACACTTGTAACTCAAGCTTCCTTGATCTCTTGCATAGGTCTAGATAAATAGAATTAAGAATTTAAAAAGGAAAAGGTAAGAAAGAGCGAATAAACTACAGTTTTAAGAGCATTAAACTTGTAAAAAAGGAATCAACGAAAGGTAGGATGTACTGTAAAACTTGATGAATAGATTCAAAAAAGAAAAGGCCGTCTTTTCTTTGCCAAAACCCAGGTTCCCTTTTTTGGATATCTATGATGCATGCTTGAGACGTGAAAACAGAATCTGTGCATGCATGCTAGTAATGCTAACTTATTGATATTTTAGCAACTACAATAAATTTTTAAATGTGAATAAAAGTGTAATAATAAGTTTTTCATCTGTAAAATAATATAGCAGCCATTCATACAAATGTGAATATTACAAAAAAAATGTGCATCTCAATAATGAGAGTATAGTAAATGCTTTCATTTAATGTTTCTCACAGTGATATGTACCGTTCATCTGATGATCCATACATTATAGTTTCTAGTACAAAATCGATGCAGCAGATACCCAAAACATATTGTATCTAAACATTAGTTATTGGATAGAATTTTGATACTGAAGTAATCTTTACCAGAATACGAGTAAAGTAACAATATGATCAAAGTTTCATATACCAAACGTCTACCTGTATCATCTGACTCCATGATTCACCAGTTCCTACAGACATTGCAAAATACCGTCAGAATCTATAAGTCAATAATGTAAAAGATGAAATCAAATAGTCAAAACATCCCTGATAAAATCAAATAGTCAACTTACGATTGTTGGAAATAAAACTAAAAAAAAAAGAGAATGTTAGAATTAAGTGGAGGGACAAATATGTCAATCATGGCCTAATATCTAAAAAAACTTCGACGTATGTCCTGGATAAGCGATCAACTTCATGTCAGAATTCTATGCCATTTCAAGCCAATGATTACAATTCAGCTTGAAGATCATCTCTTTCTCAGAAAGGCGACGCCACAGAACTTTCAACCGTACATTGCAACTCTTGCGGTCATTTGGGAGGAGCCGCAAAAATTACATATTTAGACGTGAACTGCTCAACTAATAAAGTTTCGCTCTTTATTTCTACATGAGTGAGAGAGGGGGCAAATTTTCCGTGATCAGGAAGGAAGCGGTTCCACTATAATGAGAGTCTCCGGACTGTAGAAAGCTGACACTATGAGTTACTTCTGTGTCAGAAGTTTTATGAAGAGTTGATTTACGCTTGCAGATCATTGTATATATTTTTGACACCTTATGAATCAGTCATTGCATACACTCTGCCCAAAAAAAATAAAATCCACAAAATTTACATGAACAAACAGGTAAAACAGTTAAGTTTCACGAGAAAGTTTCAATCCAAGATGAAAACTAGTTGCAGTAACAACAATAACGCCATCATGATCATGAAGAAGACGATAGCCAATTCGACTGATCATTCCGAGAAACTAGAATCTAGAACAACCGGAAACAAAGATGAGGATATAAGAGTGGGGCATCTGCGAAAGCTGTGGCGAAGTCTCCGGTGGCGAAGGGACCGTGTATATGAGAAACAGACGGCGAGAAGAAACCCAGAAAAAGAAACGGGTGGTCAAGGTTCCCCCGGGGAGGTAGGAGGCGGTGTACACACCAGGCAAGTCGAAAGGGATTTCTGGGTTTTTCCTCTGCTCGGAATCTGCGGCGAGCTTTCACCGGTCGTAACCTCCTTCCTGCCGAATCCCTCGGGCTTTCGCAATTCGCCTGCTTCGTCCCCCCTCCCCCCAAGGAACAAACTGCTGTTCCAACTCCAAGGAAGCGGGATGATCAAGCTGTTACAGAGGGCATCAGCAGATGGCTGAGCCCAGCCCCGGCCGCCCTCCAGTTCTATACGATGGGAAGATAAAAACCATTCGGAAAAACAGGAGCGACGACAGGCCGGATCAGGCTCAAGCTTCAACTTCGTGGCCCATATGAACTAAGCCCAGGTCGGAGTGACCTTCAATGAACTAAACCTTTTTGTACGAATGAATAACTGGAGGTGCAGGGACCATCCTCCTCTGCGTCGGGCTACACTGCTCTTCATACTGTCCTTCTACTCCGCCACACTCCTACGGGCATCGCCCAAGCTGGAAGGCGGCGCGGGTCCGTCCGCCATTGCCTTTTACTTACCTTTAAAAGAATATTTACTTTAGTTATCATTCCTCGTGCATTATTCGTTAAATTATCAATTTACCCTAATTGTATAGGAATATTAATATTACTTATTTTTTCGTGGTTTATTCCCCATAACTCTGTGCATAATATTACCGCCCTCCATAATATTTCCTCATGCGAGCGCAGCATTTCCACAATAAATAACAATTATTATCATTATTATTGTAACAAATAATAATATTAATATTCCTATTATAGACAGGGTGAATGAGAGGGGGAGTGGTAATCAGATGGAAGAACCTGGCAAGGTGAGTGGGGAGCGGTTTCCTCTTTTGACTGCGTGGAGAAGGGTGGGGGAGGTTCGTCAGCTTCACAGCAGGTAGTAGCCTCTGATCACCTCGTCAATGAGGGAGCGGCACAGCGGGCAATTGCCGCCCCCCCCGACCAGCTCGTTGGCACACTTGGTGCACGCGCACATGTGGCCGCATCTGAGCCAGAGAAAGAGAGAGAGAGAGAGGGGCATGAGATGGTCCGTTTCCAGGAAGTCAACGGAGAGAACAAGTGGGGTGGGTGGGGAGTGGAACCTGTAGAGAAGTGAATCGATGGGACTGTCGCAGCAGACGCAGCAGGCCTCCTTCCTCACGAGGCCCCATCTGGGCACGTTGACCCCCACTGATTCTTCTTCGCCTGCCGTACACGCTGACCGTAGTGTAAGTCAAAGAAACACAGGCCACGGAGGACAAGGTGGGAATATAGTAAGGACCTTGCCCGGCGACCGACTGATGACGATTCAGGGCGGCGGCGACTTACTGATTTATCGATCGCTGCAGCTCCACCTGCAGGCCCATGCAGGCCTCCAGCATCCTCTGCATGTGGGTCATTCTTCGCTGAAGCCTGGCCACGTCCGCCCTTAGATCGTTGACTACGTCCCGCTCCTGCACGTATAAGAAAGTATTCGGCAGCTGTTGAGAACCCACAGCAGTTCACGCCTTCCAAAAGCAGCGGAAGCTGTGAATGTGGCTTACTATTTCTTCTCGGTGGAAGCTGCGACGAGCCCAGTTGGCGGGATGCATCGCCCGATGCCAGAGTGGCAGGGAGGCGGCAATGGAGGTGGAGACACGAGCAGTGGGATCGAGGCAGAATCCTCTGGGACATCATCGTTCCGATCACCTCCACCAGGAACCTGATCTTCCGCTGAATGGGTTTGGAGGTCCCATTCAGCTGGGGAGTGGGCTTGCCTGTGAATATACGACTGAATCAGTCTGTCTAATCTCTCTCTAAACCCACTGCGAAGAAGATTTGAGACACTCCTCCTGAAAGAGGGGGAAATTAATCGTCAACAGGCTACAGCACGCCAGAAAAAAAGAAGAAAAGCTGGAGCCAATAAACTACTGAGCAGCTCTCTGAGTTCTGTCCTATACACGTTGTCATCGTCATCAGGTGGGTTGAACCCATTGACCCTTCTGACAGGTATGGATGGTTGACTTCTTGAAGGAACTGAAGAGCCTCCTCTTCCCAATTCTCAACTGTCTCACGAGTCTCATCCTCGTTCCACTCGTGGACCTCTGGTTCATGGCGATTACTTGACGTTCCCTGGGACCAAATTTGGTCAATGCTCTCCTCCCAATGTCCACCAGATTCTTCTCCTAAACCAGAATTCCATTGACTAAATCCGGCTTCACCCAACTGCGGCCGGCCACGTCTCTCATCCTCTGGTTCTTCCTGCCGATTCTCTCCTAAACTTCCATGGGGGCTGGTGCCCCCCAACTCGCCCATTGGAGTCTCAGACAACTGACGGTCATCATTGCCTTCATTACCAGGTTGAGACTGTTCACAGCTAACAGTTCTGGGTTGCACAGCAAGGTGCGGCTGAGGCTGATCACTTCTGGTACCATCAATGCTATGCCCAGATGAAGCATCAAAATGATTGCTGGCTTGCCTTCGAACACTGTTTTCTAGCCTGAAGCGAAACCCAATATAAACAACAAAGATAATCAACATGGATTACCTCGTTTCAAAAGATCCCAGTAGAAAATCAATACGATCAAGTCCATAGTTCTGGTACATTCAGCATGAAAGAAACATAAGTAAAAAAAAACACATTTTCAGATCAAACTAGAAATAAATAAAACCACTCCCCCAATTGTGTTACTTGTTGCCTTTTCCACAGGCCTAGAAATAAGTTGGCTCTTTCGCACAGTTTGCCCAGAGGCTCCTTGATTCAAGAGTGTCTATTGTTGTCAGCGAGAAAATCGATTCTACTTACAGGAAAGAGTATTTCATTTGAAAATATCCCTTTCAAAGCTGTATAGATCACCGATATTTTCACTTAACTTACAGGGGATCTCGATCCTCATTTCTAGGGCGTTCATCAACGCAGAATGCAAGAAATTTCCCGTAGTCTACCTTGATCTCTTTAAATACACTCCGGTAAACAACATAAGTTCATGATTATCAGGGGTGGTCCAAGGTATCATAGACCCTGTTTGATGTAAGATAGTTCCCGGTAGAAAACAAACCTAAGTATTTTAACCAATATTTACCAGCGGACAAATCAACTAATGATAAAGCAAGTTCACATTTCACAAAAAAATCTAATTATAACCAGGGTTCATAAAAAAAATAAAAATCCGTACGGTAAATATATTTTTTTCTACGTCATTGTTTAATATTTTAATTCGTTTTAAGATCATCACTTACAAGTAGGTAACAGAGGTGATTTTTTGCCACATTGGGGTTGATGATAACTGTGGTCAATATGCGGGACTCTAGTTTAAACCATAAACCCATATTGTCTATACACAAGTTCAACAAAAATTGCAAAAGACGAGTTTTTTTCTCGTTAACTTATCAAAAAATAAGTCAGAATTAATGGCAACCCTCGTGGGATCTATATCAGTGTCTTCTGATATCAACCAAGGGACAGTGAGTTGTTGGTCGGTAAGAGAAGTCAATAATCTCTTAGGTGCGTCTGACTGTACTTTTCTTTCAAAAAAGCCATGATGTTGAAAATATTCCACAGAGATCTCCATGGGAAGAACATGGCATTAGGATAGCATACCTCAGACAAGAGACCGGATGCCGTTGCCTTAGCTGACCTATTTCTCTTGCTGCCATGGAAGGTGACCTCTCCTCTTCCGTGGAAACCCCGTTACGCAAGAATCTCCCCCTAAGAAGAGACTGCAAAAGCATTCTTACTTAAATGGCGACACGATTCATGAGCTCATGCATTATGTACGCATGACACATAACACAGAAGAAAAACGAGTAGCTTCTTTTGTTAGCCGATACTGACATATGACGCGACTGACCTAAATGTGTAACGTGATTTTATTGACTTCTAGGAAGCAACTAACATAGAACATATACATATTAAAAATTTGGAAGGATCAATCTGTTGCACAGATCGTTAATTTTGACTTGAGATAAGTAGAAAGAGATATTTTGAAGATCAGATGAGGCAGTATTTTATCCTTAATGAGCTAAACAATATAAAGTTTTTTTTCATATCTGCTCAAATTGAGTAGTAGCCAGAGATGATCACATATTCCTTAACCTTTTTGCCTAGACTATTAGAGAACTTTGAGAGCACGTCAAATCACCTTACGAAGCCAGAAGCAGTTACCATCCCATAGCCCATTGCCTATGGTCGACAGAAAATTCTGACCACCTCCTTTCTTGTCGTTACAGAAAATTGGAACGTTGTATTGATTGGATGATGATGACAGAATATTCTGGGATAAAGGTTAAGATGATAATCTGTTCATGGAATTGGCACCTACACTATGATAATGGCTCTTGGCTTTGATCCAGGGACAGTTTACATATCTTGGGAAGGTGATACTGATCAACAAGTAAATCATCATAACTACCGATGGAGCTTGCCAGAACCACTAAATCAAATATATACTTGTAAGGAGAATAATCAATAGCTATTACTTACACAAAATGCCATCAAAGGTAGCTTAAAATGTGTTGGCAGTTCGCTGGAACCAAGAAGAGGAAGCGGGTCAGTGTGCCATATTTCAGGACGGAATATACCATTCAATCCCACCTTGCAGAATTAACTGAAAAGAACATTATTCTACTCTGTAACATTTCCTTTGAAACAAGAGCACACAGCCATGACCCAGTATAATCCGTATGCCTATCCAATCATTCAGTCTAACAAGGAATATAATCCTGGATGAAACAGACGTAAATAAGAATATCATCAGAAGAGAAGGCAGAAAAGTGACTACGTGCAGAATAGGGGCCATAAGGTACTTAACAGAGCAGAAGTTATATATGGATAGGAACATTATTTTTGCTGCTTGAAGGAGGAATCACTGGTCCGCAGGTAACATGAAATATCAGTGACCACAAAGGCATTTAAAAATTTAAACACAGTAGTTTATATCTGCTAATCACCATATATTCATGATCTCGTTTCAAGTCATACTCCCTCAGATCGACCATGACACTTTGACAATAAGCAGGATTCAAGTGTGGGTCAGCTTGAGAAAAAAAAAAAATGTGCTAACCTGAATGCGATTCCGGTGGGGAAAATCTGAAACTGGCCTTTGCTGAGACAAGTTCTGAAGTTCCCGCAGACTCCGCCGCTGCCTTCCCGCAGACTCGTCTTCAAGCTCCCTCCACCTCTGAAGTACTGACGACGCGCGGGTAACAACTAGTCGTTCCACCGTTCCCGAAGGTGTGGTCCTCCGGGAGACCCTGAGGAATGAGGACTCCAGCATCGAAACTGTGTGGAGGCCGGCGAGTGCAATGAGCTCTGACTCTCTGTTACGCTGCTTAATGATGGTGATCATCTCCTCAACCTGGCGGGCAACCCACCGGCTAATAAGTCTAGTGTGGTGACGCCGTGTCACCTCTGGTTCCGTCTGTTCGTCCCCATCCAAGTAGACCCGCCGCCGCCGTCGGATTAGTTTGTCGAGGCCCTCGGAGGCGACAACGTCGCCGTGGTCATCTGGTTCGCGGCCTGAGGAGCAGGACGCGAGGGCGGCGGCATTCATGCACCCATCAAGGTGGTCCCTAAGCAGCTACTCCAGCCCTCGGCAGAAATCGACCTCTGGCACACCTGCACCGGCCACCCCCTGCTTCTGCCGGAAGTCCGTCACCTCCCTCCACGATATCGGGAGAGTCCCTCGTCCGCAACCGCCCTACGTACGACGGCGGTGCCAGCACCACATCCAAAGTCCTAGCGATACAATTAGCGCTTCAGAACCGGAGCGGGAGAGCAGGCGTGGCCGCCTCCGGGGAGCAGCCGCCGTCTGCAGCTTGGACTGCAATGAACGATACTGTGGATCATGCACACATTCACGGCAAAAGAAGAGACAGAGACAGAGACAGAGACAGAGACGACCGGGAGAAGGGAGATCTCCATTGATATTCCCCCTCGTCACCAGCTCAGGAGGCAACAATCTCTATCGCAATCCCGATATCCACCGCCGACTGGCGAACGGAAACTCCATCCCCTATCTCCCGCACCTGCCGGTTTACCGACGGGATATAATCACGGGAATGCCACTCCGCCGACCACGGGAAAGTCGAAATTGATTAAAACGAGAAAAAAAGGCGTCGAATTGGTCGTGGCTCGGCAACAAAGTCAACGGTAAGATTGACCCGCAAACCGGTCCAAGGAGGAATTGCCGCATAGGGAAAAACTTAGAAAGAGACACGTGTCTAGATGCGCACGTGCGGCCGACAAATGCGTGAGACGGCTACGGCAAGCGTCCCGCCGCCATCGCTCTCCTCGCAGAACAGGCCAAACGCTCCCACCGCCACTACCGAAAACGTCGCTCTTCCGCATCTCTTCGATACTCTCTGGAAACCCAAGGAGAGAGAGAGAGAGAGAGAGAGAGAGAGAGAAACTTCAAGAGCACGAAGGTTCTCTCTCTCTGTCTCTCGCCATATCGTAATGAATCTCTGTGGAGTTCACCGACAGAGGCAGAGGAAGGTCGCCGGAAGCTCTACACGACAACGACGGCCAGACGGGGAAGGAGGATTGGGGTTTCTGAAGGAAGAGGGCGAACTCTCAAGGGAGCGTTTTCTCCTTGTCGCTAGAGGAGCAATCAACTTGTGCTTGTCGTCTATCTCCGATGACTCCCCAAGGTTGTAGGAGAACTCACAGTCCACCGCCACAGAAGAAGACCTTGGCCTGATGTGGTAAGCCAAACTGTTCGATTCCAGCTTCGAGGAAATCGGTAGAACTCCATAAACAGCCCCGCACGGTGATTTACTCGCGACATTGATGAAATTCGGCTGAATCATTTATTGGAGCCAATGATTGGATCTTATTGAAGGAGGAGGGCTCGGAGAGCTGCTTAAAGGGCCGACGAGGGCCGCGGTGAACTCCCAGAGCTTCCTGCCGAGTTCCTGGTCTTTGGCCTTCGACGACGGCTTGGAGATGTGGCAGTCGCCGAAGTATTTCCCGCTCACGCCGCAGACTTGGGGGTGCAGAGCCGCGTAGCACGTCGTGGCCGCTCCGATGACGAGAGAACGTCAAGACAAACCTTCCTTATCTACGAAGACAGACACGGAGAGCTCGAGGCCGCACACTTGCTGAACATTTTTCATCACAAGTCGCCCCAGCGTAAGCAATATGGCTGCACCAGGGCGGCAGAAGAAAGAAGGGAGCTTTCAGTAAGTTACTGCTTGGAGGCTGAAAAAAAGGTTTATAGATGGTTGTTGTTGACGGGCCCTATCGTCCGGAGGAAAGCTGGTATAATCCGTCCGGGCGTGACCTTTGTGAAGTTCAGGCCTACCCCTGCCTTTGAATCCGACCAGCGAGAGAGAGAGAGAGAGAGAGAGAGAGAGAGAGAGAGATGGGGCCGCACTGGACCTTTTTCTATCTTTCCGGGTTTCATTGCGAGGCCGAGGTCAAGGCTGTGCAGCCCATTGACACTTCGACGAATGTATTTTTCTTCACATAGTTGAGTTAGGACGTATGAACGGAATGTAGGAAAGGATGAAAAAGAGCTCGGTCTCTCACCATATGTGGTACTGTGGGATCTGAATAGACTCGTCATCACGACTCCTGGATGAACTGAATTCGCTGTAATGTTGATCCCCTCGTCCTGTCAAAAACAAAAGTCAACCACCCTCGTAGTCATTAGATGGGTAAACCGATAGGTATCAGCCTTCAATGATTTTCAAAGATAAAAAATTCAGTGCTTTCAACAGGTTCTTGATTTAAATATGGACAACACGAAAGCACAGTGAAGAGCAAGGGAAACGTGATTTTTCAAAGGGATAATTTCGTCTACAAGGAATGATAATATTCGTTGTATCAAGTTCTTCTGTGTTGCTTGAAAGGCATCGAGAAAATAAACCCATTGAGCCAAATTGTGTTCTCAAACCTCGCCAAAGAATACTTTGAACAGTGTGGTACCTTTAAACGTCTAGAGAGCTCGTTGGCATGTAGAATGTTAGCGAACTTTGACTGCCCATATGCTAGGACGGTATTGTATCTGTGAGCATTCCAATCTTTGTGAGAAGGTTAGAGGCATAACCGTGCATCTAAACAGCAAGGGGAAGCTGAAAATGATATTTTTTCATGTGCATGAAATTATTTAGTTGTGCTAATGGCACAGTTAAATTTTTCTGGGCTTGTTTCTCAGTTTTTTGTCCCTAAAGAAGGAAAGATTTTGTCTGGATTAACCCAACTCCTTTCAGAGCTGAATCTAAGCAGTACAGAGTCCGTCTGAAATTCCAGAGCCTACCGTAGTATACAGTATCTCCCTTTTGCCTGTTCCTTGGGTTATTGATACGAAATCACGGCACCTTGATGATAAGGAAAGATGATATTACTTACTTGGACTTCATATTGATCTTATCGAATCGAATGCCCTTTAGATATGAAATCGCTTGCGCCATAGATGAGAGATTGTCAATCCTTCCTTCGATGTTACTGCTTTCGGCTGCATTCTTCATGTTCTCCAGTAGAAGATCTGTCAACAGGAAGTGACCTAGAAGACAAGGAAGGCCATATGGCATGTCTGTGTGTTCTCCAAGTATTTGATGAGTTAGGGAAAAAGAAATACATCATAATCCAGAAAAAACTTTTCTGTGAATGAAAAGGGTATGACGATAATCTTCAGGTTTGTGATTCTCCTCACATTAGAATGTTCAGTGGGAGATTTAAACTTTTCCGGTGCCGTCGATTCCTTCTGTTACCTCTTCCGCCGTGGAAGAGGAGGAGAACCCCGAGGGTCCCTTCCTGCCGAGCCACCGCCACATTACTCTACCTCCCTCTCTTCACCGCGAAGACCAGCGGAAGTCCCCTCTCCTTCCTCTTCACCAACAGCCTTCTCTGCAACTACCACGGGAGCGACAATGGAGGAAGCAATAGCTCCGAATCCTCTCCCGCAATATCTTCCCTTGTCTCCGCGTCGAAACCTTCCTCAGAACAGAGGCGACGTACAGCCGACTGACCGATTTGGATAGCTGCGGATTGCCGCCGGGTATCATTCTCTCCGCCGAGTTTTTTATGGCGACGACGAGGCATGCAAAATATAATAATATATCATAAAACATTTATAAAATATAATATAGCATTAATCTTCAGGTTCCATTTTGCGTCGAGTTGGTCATGGCTCGGCAACAAAGTGAACGGTACGATTAACCGCGTGAGGCGGTCCACTGAGGAACGGCCGCTCGCGAAAGCGTGTAGCGATGTCCAGATGCGCCCGTGCCGGCGACAAACGCGCGAGACACCACGGTCGGGGTCCCGCTAATCTTTCGCACCTCTTCGAGGCTCTCTGGAAGCCCAAGGGGGGGTGGGGGGGTGTGGGGGGGTGGAAGAGAGAGAGAGAGGCTTCAAGAACACGCAGGTTCTCCCTCTCTCTCTCTCTCTCGCTGCCCTTACTGTGAAGAATCTCTGTGTTGTTCACCGACAGCGGCAGAAGAAGCTCGCCGGAAGCCACAACAAAGACGACCAGACGGGGAAGAAGGAGGATTGGGGTTTCCGAAGGAAGCGGACTCTGGAGGGAGCGCCGTCCCCTTGTCGCTAGAGGGGCAATCACCTTGTGGTTGTCGTCTATCTCCGATGACCCCTAGGTTGTACGAGAACTCACAGTCCACCGCCATCGAAGAAGTCCTTGCACTGACCACCGGTCGATTCCGGCTTCGATCAAATCGAAGAACGCCATCAACGGCCTTGCACGGTGATTTACTCTCCACATTGATGAAATTCGGTCGAATCATCTATTGGAGCCAATTATTGGATCTTATGAAGGAGGAGGGTCCGGAGAGCCGCTTCAAGCGCTGACGAGGGCCGCGGTGAACTCCCATAGCTTCTTGCCGAGTTCCTGGTCTTCGGCCTTCGACGATGGCTTGGAGATGTTGCAGTTGCTGAAGTAGCTCCCGCTCGCGCCGCGGAATTGCGAGTGCAGAGCCACGTAGCACTTCGTGGCCGCTCTCTGCAGAGGAGATGGTGAGAGGACGTCAAGACGAAACCTTGCTGAACATCTAGGAAGACACGCACGGAGAGTTCGAGGTCGCACTTACTCGCTGAACATTTATCATTATCAGTCGCCCCGTCGTAGAACATAGGGTTGCACCAGGTCAACAGAAGAAAGAAGGGAGATTTCAATAAGTTGCGACGTGGATACTGAAAAGAAGGTATATAATTGTTGATACTATGATATCTGAATAAATTAGTTATCACCCCTGCTGGATGAATTGAATTAGCTATAATATTGATCCCCTCATCCTGTCAAAAACAAAAGTAAACCACCATCATCGTCATTAGATGGGTAAATGTTGAGGCCCTTACAGCAAGAACTGGGCTAAGGAGAGTCCGGCCCTGCAGAAACTCCCCCAGTCCAGTGCTACGGTCGGGCAGGCAGAGTGGAGCGTATGGCGACAGGACGTGAGAACCCGACATCATCGGGGGCATTGATGTAGTGGATCCTGCAGGGCAGAAGACGAGGGCGGCGGAAGGATCGGGTGGTGAACCTGCTCAAATGGCAGGATCCGACATTGACGGATCCTGTCTGGTGGCGAGTCCCATCGAGGGAGGGCGTCAAGGCTCCAACGACGGCTATAAGTTAGAGGTAGCGGCCTCAGGAAAAGAGGGAATAGTTGGAAGGAACTCCCTTGAGAGCTGGAGACTCGCCACCTCGTATCGGCGACCTCAAGACCGTGGGTCTTGGTTTTGTATCGTCCTCATTCTGATCTAGTTCACCTTCGTCCTCCTGCTCCTCCTTCCTTCCCAATCTTTTACTCCCTTACGCCCTCTTTCCGGTCCGCACGATCTCCCTTCGTGGAGGTTTGGTTTTCTTTCCTGGAGTCAACGAGAAGAGTCATAGCCTACGTCAACGGGAACCCATTAGTAAACCAATAGGTATCAGCTGTCAATGATTTTTAAAGATCAAACTCCAAGTGCTTTCAACAGGTTCTTGATTTAAACAACGGATGGACACCATGAAAGCACAGTGAAGGAAAGGGGAAAAGTGATTTCTGAAAGGAGATAATTTCGTCTACAAGGAATGCTAATATTTGTTTTAAATTTTAAGTATTGTGTTACATCAAAATATTAATCAGTGGAAAATTCGTGAAACCTGCGGTGAAAATTCACATTTGAGCGTACATTATCGAAAAATCGTTGTCTACATCCATTGTATCAAATTCTTCAGGATTTCCACGAAGCTGTGGCTTGAAAGACTAGGCAGATGAGCAGAAAGGAACAAAGAAAATAAAGCCACTGCGCCAAAATAATTATGACAAAATTGTGTTCTCAAACCTCGCTAAACAATACTTTGCAAAGTGTGGTACCTTGAAACGTCTACTGAACTCCTTGGCATGTAGAATGTTAGCAAGCGTTGACTGCCCATAGCTAGGACGATATTGTATCTGTGAGCATTCCAATCTTTATGAGAAGGTTAGAGGCATAACCGTGCATATAAATAGCAAGGGGAAGCTGAAAATGATCTTTTTCAAGTGCATGAAATTATTTAATTGTGTTAATGGCATAGTCAAATTTTCTGGGCTTGTTTCTCAATTTATTGTCCAGAAAGAAAGAAAGATTTTGTCTGGATTAACCCAACTCCTTTCAGAGCTGAATCTAACAATTACCCGAGTCCGTCTGAAGCTTCAGTCTTTTTGGCTGCTCCTTGGGTTATTGATAAAAAATCACGGCATCTTGATCATAACGAAAGATGATATTACTTACTTGAACTTCATATTGATCTTATGGAATTGAATGCCCTCTCTCCATATACTACCGCGTGCGTGTTAGATGAGAGATTGACAATCCTTCCTTCGATGTTACTGTTTTTGACTGCATTCTTCATGTTCTCCAGTAGAAGATCTGTCCAGGAAGTGACCTGGAGGACAAAGAAGGCCATATGACATGCCTGAGTGTTCTGCGAGCATTTGATAAATTAAGGAAAAAAATACATCATAGATCTAGAAAGAATTTCTGATCATACCTACATGGTTTGTCGCCAATTGGATCTATATTCTATTCTGGAAAGAGAAAAGGGACAAGCCCAAATTCCAGCATTATTTCTGCTGAATGAAAAGGGTAATAAGATCATCGGAATATGAGATTAGAAAGCATGGAGTTGAAACGGATTCATAACGGATTGAACCGAATTGCTTATAATCTTCAGGTTTATGATTCTCCTCACATTAGAATATTAAGTGGGAGATTCAAACTTTTGAACTTTGTGGCACCCAAAATTAGATTATTTTGTATACCCTAAGAGTAAAATAAAAAAATACCAAATATTATGTAATGCATCTCAAGAAATGGCACCAAAATGTGACATCAATTAATCGTTGTATAATAAATCACATAAAATTAAAATTTATAAATCTAAAAAATATCAATTTTAAGATTTTTAAAAGTATTTCAAGACAGATATAGTACTTATAATTTGATGAAAAGCTCAAAAAATAATAAGAACTTTTCAAGTCATTAGGAGGATGTAAAATAATATCAAGTAAAATTTCATAATTATTATCAAATAATATTTTTTATAGTTTTTAGAATAAACAATGAAGAGAAAATCTATTTACAAAATTTATGAAAAAGGAACTTTTAGGTGCTGATGTCATGATGACATCAACACTTTCAACAAATGCAATTCGAGTGATAATAAAGTTATGTTCAATGATTTTTACATAAATAATACAGATGATTTAATTGATCAAATTAAGATATGTAAAAGCTAAATGACTCATAATTGATTAAAGAAGAGTTTTAAAATTTGAAATTGTATAAAATTCTTCTAATTTAAATTATAATAATTTTAAAATAAGAAAGACAGAGTTCTAATGTCGCAATAGTGATCACCAGAATTATGAATATTTAGGATGATTTTTGTGAGATGTCCATAGCCCCATAAGGTCTCCTTGGATATAAACAATGTGGGTCTTGATCCTCTTGCCAAGTTCAAAAATTAATGAGGTGGGTCAATGGAGCATCTCTAATGATTGTCACTTAACATACTAGAAGTTTGGCAGCATTTGAATTTCTAATAGTTATTACCTGATGAAGATGAGTTGAGTAGAGCTATAGTAATCTTAGGAGCTTCTTCTTTAAGTTTACATAATAAGAGAAGGCTTGTATCACATTGGATTTTCTCTAGAGAGGTGAAATTCATCTCCAAATAGATCGCCCTATTTTCGATGATGACATATTTGTCGATCAATCTAAGATCATTTTTTCTATGAATTTATAATCTTTTTATCTAGAATTCTTTGTAAAGTAATAATCGATGCTCTACAAATCATGTTCACAACATTTTCATTAATGGTCAATTAATTCCAACAACTTGATCATTGTCTAATGTTCCACAAAACAAATGTGAGTTAAATTAGATAAAATCATGAATTTTGACTTTGGTGGGATTGAAACCTTCATCGAACATCTAGTCACGTGAGAGATGGTTAGTGAATTATTTGCATACCTTTGACCTAGTGACATCATTGGCATGTTTTCTTCTTATAATGAAAGGATATTTTGGGTATTAAAATACTTAAATCACCACCAACAAGTGCCAACATGGGTTTAATCCCACATAAAATAACTACAAGTTTCAAAGTAAGGAATAACTAAAGGTCAGCAACGAACACTCTTGACAATAACACACTGATAGGGTACATGAACAAAATGACAACCTTACAATTATATTTAAACTTGATCTTGAAAGAAAAAATATTCATCAATTTATATTATGTATCTCCATACACAATATCAAGAAAAAATCTATGAGAATTGAAAGCTTCAAATTGAAGAAGGAACAAAGGTCATAGCACAAATTCTAGAGGATAACATGTTGATGAAGTATATGAATAAATGAGAAGCTTGATAAGTCTTCATTATCATGAGTTAATAAATAGTAAATAATATAGCTTTAGCCTTAACTCATGATAAATAGACTTATATTTGTGTTAAAGTGTGAAAAGTAGTTTTTAGTTGATTAACGTGAATTTTTAGATAATTATGTGATTTTATATGATTTTTACAATCTTACTTTTGAGATAAATAAAAGAAAAGAAATTAAAATAAAAATATAACAAACTAGGGGGACCCGTCAGCCAGCTGGGCCCGCAAGCAGATCAAAAGTGCAGTCGAGAGTAACTACGAGCAAGGACTCGAGTGACTTCGACCGATGGGGGCACATGTGCGCCACTCCCCTTCCACGTCACTCGTGGCCAACTAGCTGTAGGGTAAGGAGTGATCGGACACATGAGAGAAGAGACTTTGCTTAGAAAGCTAACATTACTATATATTCACCCGAAAAATCAGCGCACAATTGATGTGGGACCAAACTTGCGTCACACCTTCCTCAGAAGAGGTAGGCGACTAGCACGAGTTCGAGTCCTTTTAGAGTCAAAAGTCATATATTTTTATCTTATTATCGTGACTTTTCTGCAGATCGCTGGTGAGGAATTAAGTAACGAGAATCGCTAGATCATCGACAAAAATCTCGTCAATGCGATTCGTGGAGCATTGTTACTAAAATTGCTGAAGGATTCACGATAAAAGGATCGCAAATCCATCAAGTAAATCATCTCCGATTGATCGACAAATAAGCCGTCGTCGGGAAGAGGACGATCTACCGAGAGATGAGTCGCCACCTCCTGAGAGCATACTAGATGCGATGAAGAGCCTCCTCTTGTTGCGCGGACTTGAGGATGAAGCTCCTTGACACGTGCCCCACCTCCATCCAGCTCTTCTCCATTGGGTGACAACCACAAGAGAGCCACAAAGTCGTCATTTTTCTGCTTCGTCGGGTGACAGCCGTCGGAGATGACTCGACGACCCATTTCATTAATCTCTAGACTTCGTGAGAAGATCTAGAGATTACCCACGTCGTCTTTGTCCAAGGAGAGCCTTCAAAGCCATGGACACTACACAACGATCCTCCCAAACACTTAGGATTCCGGTGCATTGTCGACGCATCGCCGTCGCGACGTCAAAACTCTATTTTCTTACTTTCAATTTACTTTATGCTTCATTTAGTGATAATTTTTGTGATTTTAATTTACCAAAATATACTTTGTTCTATTACGATTCTTCCAACCTTTACAAATCTTAATTTGATTAATTAAATCATTTATAATCACTTACATAAGAATCGCTGGGTAGAACTCTATTTTCGTTCGATTCGTGTTCGTTGGGTGCTGATGTCATCTCGACATCCGCACCCTTATTTCCCTTTTTTGTGAATTTTAAATATATTTCCTTTTCATTTCTTAGTATAAAATTCATAAAAAATTGTATTCACTGAGACAAATTCTAATTAATTACTAAATATTATACTACATCCTTGTGATCGACTTGGAAAATTACCACTATTTTTAGAAGTTTTATTGAATTATAATTAATATATTTATTCAAAAATACTTATAAATATCCAAAAATTCGTATTTTCTAGTTTTATAAATTTTAG